TTGGTTGTTTCAATATTGTTGAGTTCTGTACTGTTAATGGTTTGGCGGATATGTAGATAGGTACTGAAAATGTGGGTTTTAGATTTATCGAGTGAAGCTGAGGACTTTGATGGCGTTCATTATGTCGCTTATTCCCTTTTTTGTTTTTATCTCTGGCCGGATAGGACAGGTCCGGAGATTGAACCTTACAGTCTTTAGATATGTGATCTAATCGGTCATGTGGACAATGGTCGGGTAGGAGGCTCTCTTTTATAGTAGCAAATTAGTTATTCTGGCATGCACACACCTCGATCTCTCGTTTACTTCGAATTCCTCGCTTGAGTCTCCTTCCCTCAATATCTATACATCCACATCTTCATGTCTCCTAAGTAAAATAATCATCCAACTAGTTGTATAAAACCTCTTATCCTCAGTGAGCTCTTCAGGTTTTCATTCAGTTAAATAAGCGACGCTCATCTTTGTTAATCTGAGATTACGTTGTTTATATTCTCGAGTGCAAGGAGTTTCAAAAAAGAAGTTTTCTTGTGGTTAATTCTTGGTACTTTCGATTCGTGGAGTGTTTGTCAGATATTTGGTCGCATATTTTGCTTGTATTGTTGTCGATATTGTTGTTGGGATCGAGATGAGATAAGATACAATAACAGCATGAAAGCATGAAAGTATCAATTTACAGGAGTCGAGACGAGCGAACCTGAGATCTTACGACCAGAATAATTCATTTCTATTCAAGCAATTCGGTTGCTTATTGATATACCAAGTTCCCATCTCGAGAGCGTCCACGTGTCCTAAGTGAAAGATATCGCAGTCTTGGTCAATACCTATTCATGAAGTTAATATGATAATCGAGACTATCTTTTCATATTGAGAAGTTGAGTTGTCCGATATGACCATGGCTATTCTTATTCACTGCCTACTTTTCGTGTTTTGCTTAGTAGGTATGTGATATCTCTAGTTGGATTGTCTCGTGCGCAGCCTCTCTCTTCTCTCTTCACTCCGAGCTTCTTATTCATTGGATTTATAGGTATAAATTCCTCTAGAACTTTCTACAAAAGAGCTTCGTCCATATATGCTACGCCTTGAAGAAATTGAGACCATTCAAAACTAGGTAGTCAGAGAAGTGAAAAAAGGTAAACTGCTTATATTACACTATGATTCTTTATGTTTTCAACAATTATTATTAAACACATCTCATTTTCATTATCTCATAAACACAAATTTTTACCACATCTTCAAACAAAAGTTTTCACTGTCAAATTATCAGAGCCCACCTTCAGTATCCTTCAAGAGTACATGATGATATACTGAGCTCGAGATATACTTACTGGGCCAAGATGGACTAGGCAGTTGAGGCCAAGCTCTGTTGTCAGAATTTTCAAAAAGAGAAGAAGAATGAGAAGCTCTGGCCTCTGCAGCTGAGATCAAAAAAGAGTTCTTGAACATCATTGGTATTGTCTCACTGAGCCATATTAACTGAAAAGGCGTCCGTACCTTGCGCGAGTGGGATGTTGAATATGGCTTATAAATCTCTCTCCTTCATGTTTCCTCGCCCAAGCGTTCGTGGTTAGTGAATGCCAAATGGTGTGGACCATCAGTACCTTGACTATCGCTGACGTTGGTACATTTCTTGAATCCGGATTCCTCGGGCCTGCTTTTTTTTCTCTTGCTTGCTTTCTCACTCATCTGTCATTCGTTGCCAGCGAAAGTTGAGGGAGACTGCTGTTTTCGAGATAGTGAGGAGATTAGCTTATACGGTATTGGAATGATTCATCTCAATCTTCCAACGAGGTATATAGCGCTCTAATATCAATACAGCTATCAAAACATAGGCATACGTAATGAGTACAAGTATCTTTTTAGCAGAAACGCTGTTTAGAGCTTTCTGACAATATTGACATCTTTCTCTGCAAAATTTAGGAAAACACGCTGAATTAGAGCATCAGAAGCACTCTGAAATACCCAAGATAAGCCTTGATTTTATCCAGTTTCCTGTCCCAGATATCTACATCTGCCGCGAGCTCTATATGGTTTCAGTATGTTTATTCTAATTTCCTTGTGTATACTCTGTGTCGAATAATCTTGAAACGACTTGACTATCACATTGAATTCATGACGGCAATATCGGAGGGCTCTCTTTCCTATATACTTTCTTTTGTATAGAGAGAATTTCATCAATTGATGGATCTGCTGTGGAATAATATCTCCAGCTTCTTCACTCTAGATCCACATCATGAAGTTGCAAGAGGCTGTTGAATTCAAGATGTTTATTATATAAGATACCGTAAGAGGACAAGCCAATCAACTAGTTACCAGCCAACCAGATTACAAAGACTTCAGGAGACAAGTATCTAAGAAAAGTAATTAAACCAACCTTCGACATTATTGACGCTTTTGTTGAGATTCCTCCTCTCTTTGGAATTTCAGCTCGCCCTATCATCGTTTATCTATTTTTACTGTCGAGTACCTACGCAAAGTACTACTTCTTTCTGTCATATTTCTCGAGAGTAGCTGGATATGACAACGAGTAGGTGAGTAGTATGTGGTGATGTGAACAAGATGAACATCCGATGGAAGAGTGGGCTGGAATATTTGTCCCTGTTGCAACACTTACATGAATATTCAGTATCAACATATGGGAAATCTTGAAGTTCAACCTTAATACTATGGCGTGTTTGATCAGGAGCAGTAACTCAAATTTGATGTTTATTGGTGTCCCGGTGGATGTTTATATAGCAATGCGTCGATCTTCTGATGAGTTGGACTCCGCATTATTCACTTAAACCTGTTTTGACTCTTGAGACTAAGAAAATTTGTTGTGCATGATTATTGCATGGGGAGAGAGGGGTAAGAGAATTTGTGGGTATCACAGGACTTGTTGTTCAATAGCTCCTCCGATCTCGCCTCGACGGGTGTTGAGTTGAAAGTTGGCGGTGTTGCTATCTAAGAAAGTATCAAGATAGTCTCAGTCGGAATATTGCGCAAGAAAGTTACGAATATGTTGAGATCCCAGGGCGTTGTTTGACATGGATGTAGATGCATACAATAGAAAATAGTCTAGAAGTTAAACTTGGAAAAACTTCAACAACGGAACTCAGAAGACGACACGTAAGCCTGGAAGCTTTCATCCTCATAAAGAGTACAAACAAAAGAGAAATGATAACAACAAATACGAACAGAAGGCGCAAAAGTATCGCCACATCCCAAACATTTTCGTCGCCCATTCATGAAGAGATGATATCATTCCCACACTCTGGACCATAATCTTATGCCAAAACGACCCCAAAATCATTCCTTTGCGCTCTCCGAGTTCTTGGAATTCTGAAAAATACCTTTAAATTCAGACCTTGATTTCTGGAGTCATCACTCGCCTTTCGTTTGATAAGAAAATCCTGATCACGAGCACCTGTTGATTTCTGCCCGGCTTCATCTATAGCTGTAGAATAGAGTCAAACAAAGCTAGAATACAGCTAGAAGTTGTGCAATGGCATTCTTCGGACGCAAATGATTGCGGAGGCTTTAGCGTAGGTGACATGTATATAAGGAAGTGATTTTCTGCAAGAATAAATCCACCAAAAGCATTAGAAGTCCAGAAGGAACATTTTATGGCATCTGATATTCGACTCGTGATCTTGTGCTTATTATTTCGTATTCCATAGCTAACTTAAGTGGGAAAAGGTGTGATGATCCAAAGTCTTCCTAGGGGGATTGAACATAGTTTTGACAGCAATAGTGAAGCATTTCTGCTGTTTATAACAATCTTTATTTACCTAATAATTATTGTCAATGGACTCTTCTTGCATAGTGCTCCGTATAAATTCACCAACTTATTTAGATGGGGAATTGGAAATCCACATTGAGTCGTAGAATACGGGAAGTAGGTGAAAGGAAAATTGCACGGTACTAACTCATTCTGCTCAACTTCTTTCCAGACTTACCTGGACAATATGGTTATAATTTCTGACATGCTTCTGACTAGAAAGTTTATGCTTCTGACATGTCTTAAATGTCTGAGCCTAAGACTTTTGAGCCGCGAGCGAGGAAAGACTGGAAATATAGTGGGCTTCCTGAATAGAATGTATGTGGATTTTGGTAATAGAGTGAATGGGTCAAATATCTAGGATTCATTTTTGCCTGACTGATGAAATACCTAGGCATTTGCTGTCTCCTGTTCCATCATAATCATTCTGCAATCATGGAAAGACACAAAACTTTGCATGTCGGCTTAAGACAATCAATGGTAGGTTACTTACATGAAAAAATATATAACCCATAACCCAGCGGAGGATTTCACGGACCAAATGGCTTGTAGAAACACCAATAAGCGAGATTCAGCGAGGGAAAGCTCAAGATCAAAACGGCGAAGAAATGACACAGAGCCATGTGCCTACATTTCCAACAACCAAGTCATATATAACATTGAAAAGGATAACTCCAAAGTAGTTGTTTGATCTACACGACACTGTCAGCAGAAGCAAGCAGCGATGATGAGCAAACTAATAACTGTGGTGTAGCTATAGCAAGGAACCCAAGGGTGAAACGGCAGCGAAAGATTATTTATTCTTCTCCTGATTCAAACCGCCTCAACTTTCCAAACATTTCCATGATGCCAGGATTAAAACTTAGAAGGTACACCGGAGAGGCATTTTGTCCCCATCGATATCAATGCGGTCCAAGACTCGATATATCCAATTGTTGGGAACGATCATGGCTTTTATGAGATATCCATGTCTTTGGGATAAGAAGTTGAATTATGAAATCAGAATGGGAGTCATATGCAACTCACCAGAGGAATAATTGTAGATTGTAAGGACAGAAGAACGAGTCTAGGCGAAGGCTGACTTCAGCATAATCTAAGCGCACAAAGGAAATATCACATTTTCTCAAGCACATATGGTAGACGAGCAGTGTCATATTCGTATATTTTGTGCCCCTCGTCCGTCCAGAATATGGACCTACTCGTACATTTTGTCCCTTTCCACTACTGATACACCATCCTTTCCTTACTACCTAGCAGGAGCATCTTCAAACTTCACTTTCCCAACTTTATTAACCTCCGCATAATGAAATCCAGTCGGTACATCCTTGGTTTGCTTTGTTACTTGTGAAATTGACTTGGGTTCTTTTGCCAATTCAATAGCTTCCGTTACGGCACCCGGTGGAGCATCCGCAATTTCATTGATATCTTTATTCGTCAAAACGTCGCTAATCCTTGTCGCCCTTGTAGACATTAAGAGTGTAGTTGGTCCTCTAAATTGTAAAAATAGCCTATCACCCCAGATAGTCCTTCTCATTGCAGTCCTCAAGGTGAAAGCTATCCTCTTCACAAAATTCCACGAATCTGTTTGTTGCATAACCCTGAAGAATTTGATATCTGGCAATAGCTTACTGAATCCCAAGGTTGGGACCTGTAATTTTAAGATCGAGGCCTTTAATCGGTAGGGAAGAGGTAGATTTTGGTTCATTGTGTACGCTACGACATTTCCTGGATGTGCGACGAATTCCTCCCCTTCTTTCAGGGTAATTTCGTAGATTCGACCTGCTCCAGCCAAAGCTACGAGCCCTCTGCCTGTAATTTGTGTGTTTCCCCAGTGAGCGATACTCATACTTCTGTTCATTGTCGGTGAAACAGATAGCCTATGGCCAGTCCAAGCCAGCAATGCATCTCTCTGAGTGACCATCCAATCTTCTCTTCCATCCAAATGCAATACCTCCATAGATGTGATCGGATTCTTCGTTGACACCAGTGCTTTTATGGGACTTGTCGAGGAGACTTTTTGATATAGGAAAGGAATTCCGAGAGGGGCTCGTCGAAATGGTTCAAGGATCGATAATGTTGATTGGGCCTACCCAATATATCAGCAAGCCATCCTTCCTATCCTAGTGCTTTCACCTCGAGCATGCTGACATTTTCTGCTTTTCCGCTCACTCCAACCAACGTTCCTCGTCGGGTGTATAATGTTTGCGATGCGGACAATGAGACTGAAAGAAGAGAGTAGGGCGCTCCAATGACTTCAAATCTTGCATCTGTAACACTTATTTTAGTATTCAGCCTCACTATCTTTGCGACGCTCGAACATACCAGCAGGATCTGTAGAATCAAGAGTCTTGCTTAAAAGATCGCCATCCAAGGGAGCTTCCGATGCGCTGATCTGAAAATTTCTACATGCGGCAGGCGTATTCTTAATTGAACGGAGCTGCCGCGCATCGCGAGCAACGCGGCTTACAGATGATCGTGAAATCATGACTGCTTTTTCTCTTTGATGTTCAAAGGGAAAGAAGAGAGGGGCTGCCGTTGTCGTTCGGAAAAGCTGCAGGAGTAGGCTGCATGTGCAATTTTCTGCCTTGTTAATCTTTAGGCGAGGCTGCAACATGAAATGTCGTAATAGCTTCGTACATTGTGGTGCTCACGAACTTTTTCTATATATTGGTGAATTTCTAGTAGGCAATTCATTCTTAGCTGATTTTCTTTTGATAAAAGAGAACGACATTTCTTTCAATTGTGCTTCTTTCACATTCCATTTTGACAGCATTTTCACATTGAATAAATTACTTAATTCTGGCTGTTTGTTGATTCCTTATCGATAACTACAACTTTATACATGGGGGTCTTCTTGGAATAGCTGAGGCATGCGCAGTCGATGATCTATGGGCAGTGAGAATAGATTTGGTTTACGATGAGCTTCCGAAGCTTACACAGCTTCCATGGAGCTTCTTGCATATATGCAAAAGCTTCATTGCGACATCCACGATGGGCACAGCCGGGGGTAGGCCTCAGGGTATTCACAAGCACCAATCGACTCTTGAAAGACATTCCCAAAGGCAGTGCTATTCAGAGCCAATCTTTAAGAAATGCGAAATCAGCGGACGATATACCTGGGTCGACGCCTGAGACGGCGAAAAAAGCCCCTCTTGCCATACCGATAACGGCAAGAAAAGATCCATTGGCCCTTGATGATAAAACAAACAAGGAGCAAAGGAAGGCGGACTGGGCGATTATAAAAGAGATGTCACAGTATTTGTGGCCCAAAGACAATATGGGAACAAGAGTTCGGGTTGGATTATCCCTCGGGTTGCTAGTTGGAGCTAAAGTGTTAAATGTGCAAGTACCTTTCTACTTCAAAAGCATTGTCGATGCTATGAATGTTGATTTTGCTGCTCTTGGAGGCACAGCTACAACCGTCGCCGGATCGATGATATTGGCTTATGGACTTACCAGAATTGGAGCTACTTTGTTTCAAGAAGTACGGAATGCTGTCTTCGCTAGCGTTGCCCAAAAGGCTATTAGGAGGGTAGCTTGCAATGTTTTTGATCATCTATTAAGACTCGATCTCAATTTCCATCTCTCGAAGCAGACCGGTGGATTGACTAGAGCTATCGATCGTGGTACAAAAGGTATTAGCTTCTTGCTTACATCCATGGTTTTCCATATTTTCCCGACAGTGTTGGAGATATCTATGGTTTGCGGTATCTTGACCTATCAATATGGTGCCAAATTCGCGGCTATCACAGCTCTCACCATGGTGGGATATACAGCATTTACCATTTCGACTACTGCCTGGAGAACAAAATTTCGAAGAGCCGCCAATGCCGCTGATAATAAAGGTTCGACAGTTGCTGTAGACTCTCTGATAAACTATGAGGCAGTCAAATACTTCAACAACGAGAAATACGAAGTGGGTAGATATGACCAGGCACTCAAAGCTTACGAGAAATCATCCATCAAGGTCGCAACATCTTTAGCATTCCTCAATAGTGGACAAAATTTGATCTTCTCAAGTGCATTAACTGCCATGATGTACTTAGCTGCAGATGGTGTAGCTACAGGAAACTTGACAGTGGGTGATCTTGTAATGGTCAACCAATTGGTCTTTCAACTCTCGGTTCCCTTAAATTTCCTTGGATCCGTATACCGAGAACTTCGACAATCCTTATTGGACATGGAAACGCTTTTCAACCTGCAAAAGGTCAATGTAGCTGTCAGGGAAGCTCCGAATGCGAAGCCCCTGCAGCTAACTAAAGGTGGCGAGATTACATTCGAGAATGTAACCTTTGGTTACCATCCAGACCGTCCGATCCTGAAAAATCTCAGCATGACCATTCCTGCTGGCAAAAAGATTGCTATTGTTGGACCTAGTGGCTGTGGAAAATCAACAGTCCTGCGACTCTTATTCCGTTTCTATGATGTTCAAGAGGGAAGAATTTTGATTGATGGCCAAGACATACAAAACGTGAGTTTGGAGTCACTGAGGATAGCCATTGGCGTCGTTCCTCAAGACACACCACTTTTCAATGATTCCATTGAACATAACATCAGATATGGTAATTTGGAGGCATCTGACGAAAAAGTCAAAGAAGCAGCACAACGTGCAAAGATTCATAGCATTATCACAACACTCCCCGATGGATATAAAACAATGGTTGGTGAACGGGGAATGATGATTTCTGGAGGAGAAAAGCAAAGATTGGCTGTGTCAAGACTTATCTTGAAAGATCCTCCGCTGTTATTCTTTGACGAGGCGACATCTGCATTGGATACACATACGGAACAGGCACTCATGCAAAATATCAACAGCATTTTGAAAGAGAAATCAAGGACTAGCGTTTTCGTCGCTCATAGGCTTCGAACAATCTTTGATAGCGATAAAATCATAGTACTGAAGGAGGGGTCAGTGGCTGAAAGTGGGACGCATAGAGAACTGGTTGATACTGGTGGGGTATATTCCGATCTCTGGAGTGGTAAGCTTCTTATTTCATTCTTATTATTGTGTGCTCTGTCTCACCATTTTAATAGTACAAGAAACTCTTTTTGCCGAAACGGAGAAAGGTAAAGAACGAGAGGTTAATATTCCCGACGTCTCGAAAGAGGAGAGTAGATAGATTTGATCGATAAGAACTTGTTATCTTGAATGGGCCAGATGCATACATGCCGCAGGGTAAACCCCCTTTCACATTTAAAGTCCCACCAATCGAGGCTGCATACAAGTGGGACTAGACTTTCTTGTGTGCTTCGAACCCCCGTAACACTGGATAACATTTACCCCTCAACCACTGTACAACAGTACAGACCACCAAGCATCAACTCTCAAGGTGAACGCATTATCGTGTATTGTTTATGTCTGTTTCATGATTTCAAATGAACAATTTATGGAATTGGATGAACATGACGATGATTGTGTTCGGGGCTGCACAAAATTGATCCAGACAAGCACCCACTTTAGAATTACTCGGGAAGACGGGTTCTAAATCCAGAAAAACAGACCCAACGAGTCACAAAGTCGGCTGGGGAATGAAGGCGAGACTGACAAGAGCCTTTTTAGCACTTAGTTAGACCTTTTTCCGAAAGGAAATTTGATTTGACAACGCTTAGATCATGTAGTGATGGGTCCAGATGGCGTCTTCCATGCTCTTAAATTCTTCTAGGGAAACATCCGGGGCTGCTTGGAAAGTTGGACTACCCTGACCACTTTCAATGTAGAAAACGTGCCAACGGCTGGTCGTGCCTTTAAGCTTGTACTATTCCAGTCTAACCCTCCGATCATGATCTGATATTATTGGATACTAGACGAAAATCCACACTTTCCATCTGAATGGTCAGACCATCCCAGTTTCCGAGCCACTCCCCATGAGGAGCGTCCACTTTTCATCGGATCAGTGCAGCTTTATTTGTCTTAGACTGTCATGGATAAAATGATAGTTCATGTAGAATCCTTGTATTTCACTCATTTCTTGTGGATTTTCGGATAATTTGGATGGAGCAGTATCCAAATTCGAGGAAATCTCAGGGTATACAATAAATGTGCAGAAATGCAAGCAGAAGCAAGTAAGAAAATCTATGGATGAAGAGCTACGGGGCACATTTACTTGTAGAGACTAGAGCTTTCTAATTGGCTTATCGCCAAGGACCAGAAGGTATTCTTTTCTTTCTGTCTTGCCTCAACAACTCGGTGAAGTAAAGGTCTGTTCATCTATTCATTCTTGAAAAATTCTGACTCGACGCACATTCGAAGTATATACAAGCACATAAACATCTCCAAGTCTTGAATTTCATCGACTGTTGTAAATATTGTACCTCTTCATACATCTACTCGCCGAATACAAACGAAATCTCACGACTTGTTTGATATTTGATCTTTACGAATAAGAATAGCCATTCCTGTATTCGTTTCGCAGATAATACAGACGAAGCACCTCTGACAGGCTCAGAATACTCTTTCCAAACTCGATCTATCTATCCTTTCCAATATCAATCTTTACATTCTCTGAACCAGCCAATCTATTCAGTCTCTCGCTTCTCTTCTCCTTCATTTTGCCTGACGGCCAATCCTCCCGCGATATCAATCTCACTCAACCACTCCACGCCCACAAACCCACACAAACGCAACCATGGTTAAGCTTATCGACATGATCAACCAAAAGTTGGAGCTCTACAGACTTGAGAAGCGATATATCAATAGTCGAAACCGTCGCAGCACATTTGTCTCCGATGCAGTATATGTAGATGGCGAATACTACTCTGCAAACAACACATATTCTGCAAACTGCACAGCAGGCGACGGAGACAGTGGAAGCAATTCATCCTCATCGAAGGAAAGTAAACTTTCAAAAGATACAACGGGAAAGACAATGGCGTCAACGAGATCGAAGAGATCGAGTCTGATGGATTGGAGACGAGGAAGTGTAAGGGGGAAGCATAGCGATAGGGAAGGGGCGAAGGTTAGTGTAAGGGAGTTGAATTGGGATGGAAGCGTGAGATCATAATTTGTAATTGCTCCTGGTGAAGAAGTGGTTCGATTCTTTAAGTGGATGCATTGTTGAATGCACACTGGCGCGATGCTTTTCAGCGATTAACCTTTTTCTTGTTTACGGATTTTATGAATTGTGATTACAGTAGGGGTAATATGTAGTTATTACCTTTTTTCTTGCCAAGTCGAGCATTTACTGCTCTGCGACTAGATGGTGGAGTTTATTCATTTTCTTTGTTCATATTTTGCTGGCATTATACTGGAGAAAAGTCGATGGTGAATGGGTCGGGGTACTTGATAACTGGTCAAGGGGTAGAAATCAAGGTGGTATCTCACTTACATAACAAATACTCTTAGATGGAGAATATAGAGTAGCAGATACTCATTATATAAAAGCCAAATTATCTATATTCCTATGAGGGTGCTGTTCAGCGTGTCTCTCATTTCATACTATCATAATTTCTCCAGGACTCTCAGGGTGAATCTTGTGGAGAATCTAGGTAAACTTGGGAAGAGTTATCTGTATAATCGTGAAGCAGGAATATAACGAACATGCTTCATAGCCCTTTTCTACTCGCTTGATGTTTCTTCCACCACTACTTTTCTCTCACAAAGCAGCAAATTCTTATCGGTAGATTTGGTTGAAATGCACAATCTTCTTTGTTCTAATAGTTTGAAACTACCCCAACGCATCAATTAGCATGAATGCTATCTTTGTGTTGCTGGAAAAGACACACTGAACAAAGCCTTCCAATTCCAAGGTACGCTCAACGAATCACAAGCCAAAAGTTGGATAGACTTCATGTGTAATTACATATATTGATATTTGAAATACAATTCTCTAAAATCATACGTCAAGATGAATTTCGATCCAGCTATGGAAGAGGCCGAGAGATACCTCAAACAGAGTCAAGGATGGGCCCCAGTACACATTGGTAAAGACTGGGTTGCCGTCAAGCGTCTGGTGAAGGTTCTTATGGTATAGCTACCCTGTTTGAATATCGAGGAAATAACCCAGATGTATCGCCGCGGAGGTTAGTGGTTAAGCAGGAAGGAGGCGCAGGTTTGAATTTGAAACAGGAGAGTAGATGATGCAAAGTCTTATGAAGTACGACAGTGACCATATCGTCAAGATATACAAGGCTTATCATCGGACTATGGGCACGGTAAGCTATTGCTTCCCTTTATGATTCAGCTCAGAAGATACTGCTTGCAGCGGAAGATGCCCTGGTACTATGCTCTACTAATATGGTCGCAAATAGGGGACAAACGACGAGAAGGACCGGGCTATTGTGGATTATGCTAATTGGCTGGATACTGATAAGAAGCGCGACGGCCAATATTAAGGTACAACTCAGGCGAAAACATGATGTCGCAAGAATTTATATAGAATTTGCATCTGGAGGGGACCTAGGAAGTTGGATGAACGAAAACTGCGAGTACCAGCCGCCCTCCAGAGGAATATATTTTTAGAATATGGGAATGTTTGTTGAAGGCACTGATGGTTTTGAAATATGGGACAGAGAATCCAAATGATACAATCTTTGAAAAAGCGCCAAAGGATCGTCAGCATCAACCAATTGCGCATTTTGATATCAAGGGGCCAAATAGTAAGTTGCTCCTAGAAGTAGAGCTCGCTTGCCAGCAACGGTGCTAATATTGTATAGTCTTGTGAGTAAAAGTCTTAGTACACATATTCTTTTCCATATTGGAGACAAGAAACACGAATGTAAACAGAGTGCATTACAGATATACAGAACCTCTATCAGAGGACCGAATGCTAAATATTTTTCAACAGAATCGGTGATAATCCTCGACCAGGCCATGAACGTATATCAGTTCACAAGGTGCGTACAGACACGTACAGATATGTACAAAATCTCACGATTTCAAAATGTTGCGAATTCAAACCCAAATAGTGCTAACCCAAGGCCAACCATAGCTTGCTGACTTCGGGCTCGCACTTGAAGTTCCTGACGCTGAGGAATTGAAAAGAAGTTCTGTCCAAACGGCGAGCATGGCTCAAGATAGCTCAAGGACGCAACACCTACCATGCACCTGTATGAATCTTATTCATTAGTTTTCCTTGCACTTCAAGCTCCGCTTTCGATCAGGCTCACCATTCATGTCACTCAAACTAATTCATCAATAGGAACAATATTCGGTCAGCAACCCAAACCGCGTAATAGGCACCTCAACCGACCTGTGGAATGTTGCTAATGTTATTTACCAATGCCTAGTGAATAACAATCCTGTGCCCGACAATGAGATCTTCGAGACGGGAGTCGACCCCGACCCCCATATAACATTCTCAACCATGGGCAGATATCTCTTGCATCCCGAACTAGAAGTTTATAGTAGGAGATTTAGGGGGTTGATCTTAAGTCTTTAGCACTTTATCCCGGAGCACGTCCGGATGTACGGGATTTACTAGTACAGGTACAAGAATCTGTAGATTTTTGGAATTTTGGCGATAGCCACGACTTGTTTTTGGAAGGCATTTATGGGGGGGAATATGGGTGGGATGAAAAATATCCAGACGCTATTCGAGGATCAAAAAAAGATGAAGGTATGCAGATGATCAGGTTGCAAAGGGAGAGGCGGCCACGAAAACCAGACTACAGTAATCCAAGGTGGTGGAAACCGGCCGAAGATGAATATGATTATGATGATTCTGATCTTTTGTTTCCGACTCGCAAGGCGCTTCAAATGGGGTATAGAGAAATGCCGTTCGAATTGGGAGAACCGATACGCAACCCGGCATTCCCTAATTGGAGAGCAGTGGACCAGATGGAAAGCCGGTGCAAGATCCTGTAGCGCCAGACTTTGATGATCCACAAGATGACCCTGAGGATGATGCAGAAGATGATCTAGTCGATCCAGGATACTATCCGAAAGGAGGAGATCAACGCGCCTACAACCATGGAAAAGGAAAAGGAAGATTAGAACCAATATTCGAAAGGGCCTTGGCCATCGAGCGAGGCGTCAAAAGAATGCGCACACCCGAAGAACAAGAAGCTGCTCCCTGGATAAAGACCCCTGCTCCTGTCAATATCGCCCCAAAGAGACGACCTGGAGGCATACCCCGAAAACCCAAACGCCGAATAGTCCCACGTAAACGTAAACAACTTCGTGTGGCGCCTTACCGCGATGCAAAGAGACAACGAATAGAGGAACCTAACTCTCCCAAGTTTTATGGAAAGGAATATAGAATGAATACTGCGGGGAAACTGATGGTTCGGCGTGCGGGAGCTTCGCCTGGAACGGGAGAAATGGAGGTGGAGAGGAGCACGCCGTGGGCTTTGAATCGACCAAGTCCGAAAAAGCCTGTGGTTAGAAGGGAACAAGATAACTATGATAACTGGTATAATGAGGCTTGAGATGTGGAATGGATTTTCAAGGTTGTGGACCGAACTTGCTCGATTACTTTAGATGGCATATTGTGAAAGGAGGGAAAGATTGTTCGCTGTGCTGGGGGACTTATGCGTGAATGACCAGAGTACAAGCGATGTATAGGCTTTTTAGTCAAGCTCCTATATTGAAGGCATAGAGTGAAAGTATATTGAATTTTATATCTTATTGTGATGTTAGATAGGTAGTATAGTATCAGATTTTAATGAAATTCCGTTCTCCTGAGCTATTTTTTGTTTGGAGTAATACAAACTTAGGCATCTCTCCAATAGAAAAGACGAGGTAGAATTGCAAAGAACTAACACCTGTCTCTATGGAACCCAGGAATAACAGAAGATTATAATTCGTCAACTACAGGCATGTCGTTACCAACACCGATCTCGGGTTCGACAATTACATTCCCTACTTCGATTTCCTCGGCAGCTGGCTCTGAGTTGGTTTCTGTACTTTTCAAAAAATCATCAACTACTAATCTTGCGACATTTTTCCCCATCAATGCACTTGTTTCCATAGTGCTGATGAAAGATTCGATACCGCTAGTGTAGTAGATACCATGCGCTAGTTGAATCTCTTCGAATGTTACGCGAGGGTATTCGTATGGATACGAGTTCCAGACGTGGGGGTAGTACCATGTTATTGTGTTATTTGCTGTAGGAGAAATGGTGGTAAGGTCTTCAGGCACAGGGACTTCGCTTTTGAGGATTGAGGAAAGGAACTCGGAAGTCAAGGGGCGAGGAGAGAAAATCTTGTAAAGATTTTCGTATTCGAGGGTGGTAGGATTGATGACTCTGCGAAGAGTGGAGATGGAGAAAAAGCCAACAGGGCCGGCGAAGTCTTTGGGATCAGTGGGAGCGGAGATGTTTTTGGGGAGAGTGGTGAGGATTGTGGTAGGGACCTGCTCGGTGGGGCCGAGGTTGAAATAGGCTGGGTTGAGGCCATAGGGAGAGGTGAAGAGGGTTACGTGAAGGGTTACGTAGGGGATCTCGTCGGGGGTATGTTGAAGGAGGTCAGACGACATTTTGATGTCGGTGTATTGAAGTGGAGCGGCGATAATGATGGTGTCGAATGGTTCTTCATTAATATGAGAAACACCGATAGCATCGGTAGTAATGGTTTTGACATTGTACCTTTCTTGATCTCGAACTTGGGAAATCTCGGTAATGGTGTGGTTTAGACGAACAGTGGCATTTGAGGATTGAATCATGTTGTCAAAGATTTGCCAATTACCACCTTGAATCTGCATTGCACCTTCGATTGCCATACAAACCATGGTCTCTACGCCATGAATGACGTTTAGGTTTTGACCATAGTTGACCCGGGTAGATGCTTGAATTAGATCAGTTGTGAATGATCCTTCAATCTGAATTTTGTTAGTTTCATTATGATAGGACATACATTTAGACTCACATTGTTTTGAGCCAAAAACTGTTCGCCTGTGACGGATGCCACAGTTTTGAGGTCTAGTTCCTCTATCCGTTCCGTGAGAGATCTAAATGGAAAGTATGGTGCTTCATAAAGTTGTAGGAACTTTCCAACCACAGTTTTCATCAAGCGTTGAGTCTTCAATGGGGCAAGTCCATATTTCCAAAACATCTTTGCAATATCCCAATACTTCCAATCGCTATCCTTCTGAGTATAAACAAATTCTGCGCCATCCCAGATACCAAGGATTTCAGCTACTTCTGTATTGGATGATTTTGCATGCAAGTCGAATTCTCGGCTTGCATTCTTTAGAATTGCGTTGACGTCAACGAAGATACTAGCTCCCAATTCCACGGGCTCCAATGAATTACCATATGCGTTCACTGTGGTCGAACGACCTCCAATATAAGAGGATCGTTCGAAAACAGTGACATTAATTGCAAGGTCGGATTCAGCAGCATACTTCTGTAAATGATATGCCGAGGAAGACCCGCCTGCTCCAGCACCTGATATTCTGTTAGTGAAAGACAATCGGGATATTGCTTGTATTTGAAGCTGAATAGAAGTATATATCGTTGTAATATCTGATGGGTATGCAGCTTTCCATGAACCTCGAGGTAATATGCAAGAGAAACGAAGGCAACAGATAGATAGTAGCCAGCTAAGGGATGGGGCAATACCCCTATTTTGGGTCCCCTTTGAAAGACAGGAATTATAACAAGAGTTGTTCTTAATACAGGGAAGATCATCATGGAAGATCACACGGCAACATTGATGATAATGATATGGAAAGAAGTATCAATACATACCAATAATTGCAATTCGTTTTGCATGACTATCCGCATACTCGTACGTTGTTGATTCTATGATAGGCTCTTGTTCAGCAACAGCTTGAAATTTAAATGGCCATGACAAAAACCCAAGACTTTCTCCAGAGAGAAGAGTGACAATAATTGCCAATACGAGATTCCAGCCTCGATACATTTTGAAAATATTGAGCTAATAATGAACAAACAATTGATGGAATTATATATCAACAGATTCGTGGTCAGAGTAAACAATGCCTTGTGGCTTAAAGTGGTAGCCTCGCCGTAGTACCAAATCGAGACTAGCGTGAACCTCGTGTGGGAATTCACGTCGCCCATAGAAAAAAAAGCTCGCGACGTTGAGGGACAAAATACACAGCTTCTCGCCACGATAACGCCATATAACTTCATTTTAACTACATACGAAGTTATTGTATTCTGTCAGAATGTCTGCCGCACAACTATTGAACCCAAAGGCGGAGTCCAGAGTATGATTTTTCCTATCTAAATTTGAGGTCCAGCTACTGATTTGTAGTAGAGAAGAGGGGAAGCTTTGAAAGTCAATATCAGTGCAGGTGAAGGTTTACAAGATGTTTTAAAGTCAAACTTGGGTCCTATGGGAACCATTAAAATGTTAGTTTTCGTCCTTCCCTGAGGCTAGAATATGCTAATTTTTCTAAAGGTTGGTTGACGGTGCTGGAGCGGTATGAAAGCCTTATTGATGCAACGAAAACAACTCTCTAATAATCGATCCGCAGATAAAACTTACGAAGGATGGAAACGTTCTGTTACGTGAAATGCAAATACAAAACCCTACGGCAGTTATGATTGCACGAGCAGCAACCGCACAAGATGATATTTGTGGTGATGGCACAACCTCAGTTGTTCTTCTCGTAGGAGAGCTTTTGAAACAGGCAGATAGATATATTTCCGAAGGTTTACATCCCAGAATTATCACAGATGGTTATGAGATTGCAAAGACAGAAGCGTTGAAGGTTGGTAGCATATCAACTATTGGCGGGTAATACTGACACTTTGCAGTTCTTGGACACTTTCAAAATTGAGAAGGAAGTCGACCGTGAACTTTTACTTTGCGTTGCGCGAACCTCCCTTTCTACAAAACTTAATCACACCCTGGCGGAAAAGCTCACTCCTGATATCGTCGATGCGGTCTTGTCGATTTACCAAGCCCCGGCAAAGCCTGATCTCCACATGGTCGAAATTATGAAGATGCAACACAGAACTGCCTCAGAGACTCAGTTGATTCGTGGTCTTGCGTTAGATCACGGTGCTAGACATCCAGATATGCCAAAGAAGGTCGAGAACGCATTTATTCTCAGCTTGAACGTCAGTTTGGAGTACGAGAAGTCCGAAATTAACTCCGGTTTCTACTATTCGAGCGCGGAACAAAGAGATAAACTCGTGGAGAGCGAGCGTCGTTTTGTTGACGAGAAATTAAGAAAAATTGTTGAGTTGAAGAAGGAGGTTTGCGGAAACGACCCCAAGAAAGGCTTCGTTATTATCAACCAGAAGGGTATTGATCCATTATCACTTGATGTCTTGGTTAAGAACGGAATCTTTGCTCTGAGAAGAGCTAAGCGAAGAAACATGGAAAGATTACAATTAATTTGTGGTGGTACAGCACAGAACAGTGTGGATGATTTAACCCCTGAAATTCTTGGATGGGCTGGAAATGTTTATGAGCATCAATTGGGAGAGGAGAAGTACACTTTCATCGAGGATGTAAAGGAGCCAAAATCCGTGACCCTTCTCATCAAGGGACCAAATCAACACACCATTACTCAAATCACCGATGCAGTCCGTGATGGTCTTCGAAGTGTTTACAACATGATTGTAGACAAGAGCGTTGTACCAGGAGCTGGTGCTTTCCAGGTTGCTTGCGCAGCACATTTGAACAGCGAAGCTTTCCGCAAGACTGTCAAGGGTAAGGCGAAGTGGGGTGTTCAAGCTTTCGCTGATGCTCTTCTCGTTATTCCTAAAACTTTGGCAGCAAATGCTGGTCATGATATTCAAGATTCGCGTAAGTTGCATTTCCACCCGAATGTTATTCATCTCGCTAATATGTGTCACAGTTGCTAGCTTACAAGATGAGCAAGCAGAAGGCAACGTTGTCGGTCTTGACCTCAAAACTGGTGAACCTATGGATCCAGTCTTGGAGGGTGTATATGATTCTTTCCGTGTACTGAGGAATTGTGTTGCATCGAGTTCTGGTATTGCATCCAATCTCTTGCTTTGTGATGAATTGCTCAAGGCACGTCAAATGGGTAGAGCAAAGGGACCGGGTGATATGGATGGATAAAGTCATGAATAAAAGAAGCCTAATGATCATTTGTAACGACTTTATTGGGAAGGTAGACAAAATACATGCATGGTATTTTTATAGGTTCGCATCTCATTTGTTTTGAGATGTCACTCTGTATATTATTACCGTATCTAGAGAGGCCATGTAGAGTGTCTACCATATTCATACCTAGGTAAATAGAGATGAAATGAATGATTTGATGAAAATGATTATTATGATGTATATGTATGTAGTTTACGATAATTCCCCCCCAAGAGGACTTTCTCCGCATTTCTTGTCTTGGTAATGATGGATATTTGTTTCGGATAAGCTCTGCCGTGCCAAGAAGTGGCTGTGGATGTTTTGGATGATTTGCGGCATAGGTGGCCGCCTCCCGAATTGGATGATGTGTGCGTGAGCTGTCGGAGTCTTGAGTCTTTGACCTTTTGGAATGATCTGATTGCTTATTATTATCATGTCATGTGCCGACTCGCATATTGAGGAGTGATGGGAGGGTGATGGATTGATGGATTGATGGATTGATGGATTGAGGAATTGATGAATTGACCTGATTGTCGGGATGATTGGATCGTCCTGGATAGAGAATTGGAAAGTTGATTCCCAGGAGAAGTGAGTGAGCGAGTTACAGGAGTTTAGGTTTCCAGGAGTTGGGTTTCTAGAAATTGATATAAAGAACCACTTTATTGAGATATTAAAAGGGGGGGGAGATTGATTAATTTGATGCTTATATTCAGGGTCATGTTTTTTTTTTCCTTTTCTACTTTACGAGTACTTTGTACGGAGTGCTCGCTGGATCATCGGGACCGAAGGAATGGGATGTTTGTTAGGTACCGGCACCTCGATATTAATAGTTTCATCATTCACTCCTTTCACGGAGATATTGAAGATACAGGTACTAGGTAGGTAGGAATCATGGCGGCCCCTAAAATTCCAGCTGATACACTTTCATCCCCACATCAAGATCTCTCTTTTCCTCATTCGTCACATTTGGATGCTTGAGATCTCAGACGCCACAAGTCAAACCTATCAAAAGCAATATGTATCTTATTACCATGAGTCCATGACCTCCACCTGCTCCAATTGTCCTCGAGGGATCCACTGAACTCTAAGAGAACTATAACAAACGCCAAGAGCTATGAGCGTGCTCCTCCGTACATGAGAGTGAGAGTACAAGTAATGAATGTAATGTAGCAACTACAAAGTCGACAATCCCTCGAGGACCCAAGGACTATACATTCACCATTTCACACAACGGAATATAGGATTCGGTCAGATAATTCCTATTGGAGTAAAGTACTCGTCACCAACATTCTTTAAGACAAAATACCTATGAAGACTCGGAGTCCTTACTTGTGGCATTAATAGCTTGGAAGCGTGATGAGGATATTATTGGTTCAAAACCTATCAACATTTATTCCACGCTGAACACGCGACACAACCTCTGACCCCCCAAGTACCACCACTCTTTCTTTTTCAATTGCTAAAACTTCTGGTCGAGAGACCACGGAGTAGCAATTCGCATCATGTTGCGAATTCGCAGATACCGAGCTCTGCTTATTTTTGCCGTCTTTATAACAGCCATTCTCGTTCGTTTTACACATATAAGGGATTGGGAAAGGTATACTGTAGGAGGCCCTGTCGACATCCCTGACTCGAAATTTGCATCGGAAAAGGGAGAACCATACACATATACACCAAATGGAGGCCATCCAATTGCACCGGAAACTCTGAAAGAACAATCAGAAGAGCCATTGAAGCCTGCAGAGGATGAAATTAAACCGGCACCAAAGGTCGCAGAAAAGACACCCTCCACAACTAGCAGTACATCGACCACTTCGAATGTTATTGCGTTTCAAACAATAGATACAACTGTGCCGAAATATACTCTTCCAGACAGGAAGCCACCAACCCAAGGTGTCTACGAGGATACAGGGTTTGAAGATCTCCATCCAATTGCGCCAGATGGAAGACAGGACTTTCCTGTTTTCTCAGCAGCACCTACTACCATTCACTGGTCTAAGCAAGCAGAACATTTCCCAGTACCTACTGAAAGTATTATCTATCTGCCAACTGGTGTGCCAATCTCAATTCCCAAGATTCAACATGTTTTCAATGACGAGACAACGGACGCAAAAATTACTCGGGAGAAGAGGCAAAATAAAGTCAAGGAGGAATTCTTGAGGTCATGGAAAGGTTACAAGAAGTTTGCATGGGGTCATGATGAACTTTCCCCTGTATCGACCAAATTTCGAGATCCATTTTGCGGATGGGCAGCAACTTTGGTGGATGGATTGGATACATTATGGATTATGGGATTTCATGATGAATTTGAGGAGGCCGTTAAGGCTGTTGAAAAGATTGATTTCACCACCACTCCAAGGATGGAAATACCAGTATTTGAAACTACCATTAGATATCTCGGTGGTCTTTTAGCTGCATATGATGTTAGTGGAGGCAAATTCCAGGTTCTCTTGGATAAAGCTACTGAACTGGCGGAGATATTAATGGGCGCTTTTGATACCCCAAACAGAATGCCGGTACTTCACTATCCATGGAAACCAGTCTTTGCATCTCAACCTCATCGTGCCAGTTCCAGATCTAATTTGGCTGAACTTGGATCATTGTCTATGGAGTTTACACGCCTTGCTCAACTTACAGGGGAACAACGTTATTATGATGCTGTAGCTCGAGTCACTATCGCTTTATCGGAATGGCAAGATCGCAACACAACTAATATTCCTGGAGTTTTCACAGAGGACGTCGATGCTTCAGGTTGTAATCGTACGGCCACCATGAAAAGAGAAAGGGAGAAATTCGAGGCTTCATTGGCAGAGGACTTCGCTCTCAGCAATCCAAAGACGACTACACTTTTGGACGAATCCCCTGAGGGATATCAGCCGCCTTCACCAGAGAACGTAAAGGAGCTCAAGCCAAAGAAGAACCCTAGCTCGGAAGAAAAGATGTTGGAGATGCAAGTTCTTCCGGGTGAGCCTGGAAAAGCGCGTATCAAGGGGTGGGAGGAAGGAGGCGTGATGAAAAGAGATCCGGAAGAACCAGCATCAACTAGCTCGACCACGGCATCTTCACCACCTGCGCCAGCAACAGGTCTTCCTCCAGTAAGCAGGACTGGAAGTGGTCTTAGCCATCAAGTTGCGCCGGACCTACCAACAGTCGAGTCATCAAGTGAATGGGACTGCGTCAAGCAAGGTCTGGAGTCGTATATCATTCACGGTAGACAGAAGTTTTCGATGGGTGGTGGACAAGACTCCACGTATGAGTATTACCCCAAGGTATGGATCAAATTCGTGAAATCATTATATATAACTAACACAGCTACAGCAATATATGCTTCTGGGTGGCCTTGAAGAAGTCTATAAAAAATTGTACATGAAGACCATCCCTGCCATACGGGATCATATGCTCTTTCGGCCAATGATTCCAGGAAATGACGACATTCTTATCTCTGGAAAAGTCACGAGCAATGGCATACGGGAAGAAGATCTATTGATTCCAGAGGTTACACATTTAACTTGTTTCATTGGAGGTATGGTTGGAATGAGTGCGAAGGTTTTCGGCATCGAAGGAGATCTCGAGATTGCAAAGAAACTTACAGATGGTTGCGTTTGGGCGTATGGTGCAACCCCATCAGGAATTATGCCTGAAGAGTCAGAAGTTATTGCATGCGAGAGTGTTGAAAATTGCTCTTGGAATCAAACCCTCTATTATGAACGCTTAGATACTTCCGCCGCCTACAGAGATGCGAATCTTAAGGAGTATATCGAAAACAAGGAGAGACTTGATGCCGAAGCAAAGGAGATGAGTTTGAACCCCACAGATGCTGCGCGTGAGCAGAACGCTTTGGCTAAAGCAGAGGCTGTTGGTGGACCTCAAGGATATGTCGGTCATAAAGATACTCCTTCTTTAGCAAAAGACTCGGCAGAGACAAAATCCGAAGACGCAAGTGCCTTCAAGCCAAAGGATGAACCCGCATCGCTCACGAAACGCCAAACTGGCGCCGCTGATGGTCCTGAAAAGGAGGATATGTTCAAGCTGAAATCCGCAAACACGGAAAAGGAATTGGAAAGTATGGCTGGAGGTCGTCAATTGGAGAAGGGTACCAAATCACAAAAACCACTCCCTGCGGAAACATTACCAGATCCATTACGCCCACTTTCTCACAAGGAATATGTTGAAGGTCGTATCAAGCAAGAAGCTTTGCCGCCTGGATTCACAAGTATACATGTCAGGAAATACATTCTTAGGTAAAGTTCCGCTCAAATAATTTTTAGTAACAGGACACTAATGTCAATACCTAGACCCGAAGCCATCGAATCTGTCTGGTACATGTACCGTATCACGGGTGATAAGACCTGGCAAGACAAAGGTTGGAAGATGTTTGAAGCAGTCATCAAAGCAACATCAACTGAGCATGGTAATTCGGCTATCTTTGATGTTACAGCTGAAGAAACGTATCAAGTGGATGAGATGGAAAGTTTTTGGTTGGCGGAAACGCTTAAATATTTCTATCTACTCTTCTCCACTCCGGATGTTATTAGTCTTGATGAGTGGGTTTTGAATACGGAAGCACATCCTTTCAAGAGGCCTACTGCTTAGAAAAGATTAAAGGGTGGCTATAGGATAGAGCATCAATATGCTTTTGGGTCATACAAAATGGTTTGGCATTGGGAGTTTAGTGAGTTTGGTCTGTATTTCTGGGTGTGGATTTCGATGTGAAGGTATGAAGGGGCAGCATCCACATTTTGTTTTGCAACATGATAGGGATTCTGTGAAAGGGGTACAAAATCGGTATCGGTTACGTATACGTATGCGCATGCGCATGGGATTCGAATGGAATGAAATCTATCCAGGATGCGTAGTTACGAGATTCAAGGGTGATTGGATGGAAGGACATATGAGTCTCAAATGGCGTTTGGAGATTTCGACGGCGTGTTTTATGGTTTTTGGGTCTGTTTGGAGAGATGGGGCAGATGGGGGAGATGAGATGGGAAGAGAGGAGGGGAGGGGAGATGGACATTGAGCATGAGAATGGAGCTTGATTGAGATGGGAAGTTATTCCCCTAGATGAATAGGAAGATAGGTATAAACAAATGTCCAGCCAGCAAGCCCAGTCAATCAATTAATCAATCAATATTATTATTCAATATTGTTTTTCAAGTCAAGCTGATTTTTTGAGAGATAAATAGATGGATGTAAACGAATGAGATTATAACAATTGTGTAGAAAATCGAAATGTTAAGATCAAGTTTCTTGGATAGTTTGTTTGGGGGAGAGTCTGGTTTGGAAAGTTTGGAAAACTGGATTTGGGGGTGGAAGGGGGTGGAAGGGGGTGGAGGGGAGTTGGTAATATTGGTGATGTTGGTAAGTTGATGAGTTGATGCGTTAATGAGTCGGTGTTGTAATGTTGTAAAGTTGTTTATTATGGGTGAGGAAGATGAGGAAGATAGGAAGTAGAAGGAAGTTATAAATAAGATTTGAAATAAATAAAATGAAATTTTTGTTAAATTTTAAGTGAGGAAATTTGAGGAATTGGGTATGTATTTGGATTGGTAGGGGGGTAGGTGGGTAGGGTAGATGGGTAGATGGGTAGGTAGTTGTGAGTTGTAAGTTGTAAGTGATAGATGAGATTTGAGGTATGAGTTCTCGAGTCTGGGTTTGCATTTGAGTGGTTAGAAATTATATTATTGTTCTTTTTTATATATTATTTTTTACCTCTTCTCTTGGTTTCATTTCATTTTATAAAATTTTTTCTCTTTCTGAAAACTTGAAAGAATCGAAATGAATTAAGCGAGATTGATTTTTGTAAGATTATTTCTTTATCAGATGTAGTGGATTGATGAATGAATTATAAAGTTATGAGATCTAATGCTTTTGAATGGATGGATGAATGAATAAGTGAATAAATGATTAGGAAGATCTGAGAATTTGGGTTTGTATTTGATTTTGTGTGTGGTTTTGAGGGTGTGGTCGTGGTTTTTATAGAAGAGTGAGATGGGATTTCAAATATTTTGTTAGTGAGGAGGGGGAAAGATAAAGAGGGAAAGTAGAGGGGGAGGAAGAGGGTGAGGTGAGAGGGGGAGGTGGTTTATAAACTCGTTTCTATTTCTATTTCTATTTCTACTTCTGTCATTTTCACATGTAAATTTTAAAATATAGTATATAGTATTTACAAAACTCTAGTCAGTTTATTTCCGGTTTTGTTTCCTCTGAGTTACTTTTTAGAAGTTTGGAGTTTGAGTTTGATAGATTCGTATTGTTCTCTTTTCTGGGGATGAGAGTACAGTAGATGAGATTAGTTTGAAGCATTTTGATATCTATCTATGAGTATATATTTTATTGCTTATGTTGTATTGAAAGATATTCTTTGGGATTGGAGAATTGGAGATTCCTTTTTCCTCTTCTTTAGATTTTGGGGGTTGAAATTGATTTGTAGGTCTTTCTTGTTTTATCTGAAGAATCTGAATCTATTGGAGAAAGTATCGTATGTATCGAGGAGAGGGTATATGTTATAAGAGTAGTTTCTTTTCTTTTCTTTTATATTAGATTGAGTTATATCTATATAATAATATCTAGTTTTGTATATTATGTTAATATCATATCTTAGAGTCTGGTAGGAATCGACAGTTTCGAGGTATTAGGTTTTCGATAATAAATTCATATAGTAATGTTTTATGTATTAGTTGATTGATACCTTTAGAATCTAGTCTAGAGTAGCTGGAATCTATCCTCCCTCCATCATAGAATCTAAGGGGCATAAGAGTAAACCATCCGTTAATCTTCTAGTATGAGAGTAAATTGTCGTTTTATATATTGTAAAAGTAGTTTTTCTTTATACTAAGTTAGATCGTGTAATTACATAGTCTATACATTATATTTCTCTTGAAGATTCTTTTTTAGTGCTAATGAGGGAGAGCCTGAGGAGAGAGCGGAGGAGTAATAGACTCAAGTTGTGTATAGATAATTCTTCTATATTGATATGAGAGAAGTTGCAGTATACTCCGCTGTTGAGGTTGCGGCTAGGATGATAGGGAACCTCGCTCTCTTCTTGTTGGTATCAACTTGGTTGATAAGTGTAAGTACTTTAGTCTATTATGGTTGTATTTGTTCTTGATCATTATTATCTATGGGAAGCTAGTATTTAATATAGTAGAAGTGCTAGCGCTAGTATACACGCTAGTGCAATACAGTGCCCTCTTTTGATCACATGATCGATATCCCGACACTTCTTTCTTGTGAATGAGGGATGGGGTTCTAGGAAGAGGAAGGGAGTTGGAAAAAATAGAGAGAGAGAGAGAGCGGAACTCTATAAGACGGGCATCCAAACAACGTATATTGTACATGCTCTCAATATAATCATATGGTTCCAAGGCCTTTTAATGCTGCAAGGACCTTAGAAGGAAAAATGGGAGTCGTAGCCTGATAGGAAGTTCCCTTTGTGTCTACACTCGGCCGAAGGACTCTAAAACTCGCCTGCGGTCGTATACCTCGAATTATCGAAGGGGAGAGTGGAAGCTTCTCTGTATCTTGGTATTAGAGAATTCAAAGATCATTGTGTGATGATGCTGTTTCATGTAATTTGATCTAGTATCAGCCCTTACAGCATCCTTAAATCGATGATGTTCTCACAGGTTTCAAAAGACGTATGGTAAGTTAGTTGGTGGGCGGTAGCTTTTTGTGAGTGAGTATTATATATGGTCTGAATGTAGATGAGATTATTGTAGGTAGGGAAGCTATGAAGTATTCTTGTCGTCTCATCGTAGAAGTGTTTGGAAATTCGGAGGGGAGAAGATTTTGGAGGCGAGTAGGCTCTGTTTCGTCTTGAGATTGTGTGCTTGAGACTGGGTAGGTGCTTACTGGATAATAGATGTAGTCATGACTCAAGAAATTGAATGCGCTGGAGTTTGTTATTCGTCATTGCGATTGCAGTTGTTTTGTTCGTCGGGGTTTTAATCGCGATGTCTCTCTCCAATTTGGTAAGATGGGGATGCTCATATTGAGCAAGCGCTTAGATTACGTGGATTTTAAGCTGTGGCTTGAGTGTGTTGGCAGACTTCAATTAGTGTTGATATTCTTTGGTTGTGGTTATCTTACTCACCATATGAAGATGGTGGTATGAAACAACGATAAAATTGATGTTTTTGATTTCAGTATAACTTTGTCGCAATTTGTTTGCTCGTGTACTTCACTATTGGTGTTGGATGATCGTGGGGGCTAGGCAAGTACTGCTGTCAGCATTTTTGTCGCGTGCTGAAACATGGATGGGCATTGCACAAAGCGATTGGAGTTCGAGGCGCTTGTTTTTGGTAATGCAACCACTATAATCTAAAGCTTTTTGCAAGTCCCTGGTATGAGGCTCAATAATGAATATATTATTGCTGTCACACCCACTTGTTGCCGCTTGGCAATTAGGAGCATTATATTAACATTGCTCACTTGCAGAGATGGGCCCTGAGTTCTATATTCCTGAAAGTATGTTGAAGATCTAGAACTTTTTTGTTAGCAGGATATACTAATTCGACCATAGAAGCCGAGGAGTGCTGGGCTGAAGACCCTGACATGCTTGAAAAAGCAAAATCATACGGAATTCAAGCTAGGAAGGTTGGTGATAGCCTTGGATGGTCAGCTGTGGGAAATCATGCCTGGATCGACAATGAAATACCTCGCTGTGTCCTTAGAGTTTGCCTTTTCGAGTTAGAAGGAAGCTCTTTGCAATCAAAAAATCAGCCACAGCACTCTCAATCCGCTCGCGACCTCCGCTTTTATCTTATGAATTCTCGCGTCGACCAAAGCAGCTCGGAGATGCAAAAGAGGCTAATCATTTTGGAGGATATTGATCCAAGATTCGCAGAATTACTTGGAGTTATGCTTGAAATCCCCCCCGCGTTTTTCATATCTCACTACCACAGAGATATTAACCTGAGCATATTGGACAGAACATATGCCCAAACTAAAAATTCGAAATGCTGGAAGACCGCAATTCCAAGGTGTTCGACTTTAAATCCCTTAAAAGACGATTTTGAGGATTATGAGGGCGATTATAACCTGTTTGCTGGAAACTTTTTCCGCAGACCAATTTGGAATCAAGAGATGGGAGACTTTCTTCATTTTCATAGCGTGATGTCATACTGGGGACAGCAGCTTGGTGACAGCTCGTGGACTAGTAAGTCACATCAAATCTTGGATGATCTGAATCAATGGTTGACGGGTCATTCTTAACGGTTCTTCTTGTTGATTCACCAAAAACCTACCTTCTACCCGGAAAGGCTCATTTAAGAGACCCTTCTCAAAACGCAATCCATCTAGTCAATACTAGACCTAAGAACCCTTGGTATCAGCAAGTTTTGTTGGATCCACCCAATTCCTACACTATCGCGTCGAATCGTGAATGTATGTATGATTTCCTTACAGCAGTGTTGCATGAGGATATCTCAAAAGCTTGGTCGAAGTTGACAGTCCATAGAAGATCTAAAGAATATGGATCCGATGACTCGGAATCTGAAACTAGCGACAGTGAATCAGACTACACCAGCTCGGAATCTGGAACTAGCGAACGTGGTTCAGAGTATGCAAACTCAGAATCAGAGATTAGCAACCGTGAATCAGACGACAAAGGCTCAAAAAGAAATTGGTTGAGATTTTTGAGGAGACAAAGAAAAGGTGCTACAGTCGACGAGGAGAAAGCGACAGAGTCGCATTCGATTAGGGAAAGATCATTCCAAACAGCAGAATCAGACTCAATTATTTCGGCAGACAACAGGCCTTTCGAAATAACAAGACTGTTTTCAATTAGATCGGAAGACAGGTCTTCTAAAACAGCAAAGACCAATTCACTTGCTGTAAGAGAAGGATCTTCTATTGTCTCGAAAGATCCTATGACGAAGAAAAGGAATACCCTCTAACATGATCAAAGGGTAGCAACGAGATTAAATTTTATTGCTTCAGCAGCTGATCTTCTGTTGTTTCGGTGTAGCGATGATTTATAGTGCTTAATTTGGCGTTCAGCTGGTCTGCCGTTGGGGGTTTTTGGTAATCGTGTCGGGCATGGAGACGGCGGAATGATTTTGTTTTGCACAGAGAAATACGCTTCTAGTTTTCCCTCTTTTAATGACTGGCCATAGTCGAGTTTTAGTCAATGAGTACCCAATAATTAGTACTTCAGTATACCTACCTAAGTAGCCATTGAAACCAGAATTCAAGACTTGAACTCACTATCATAACGTGGTATTTCCTCGTCTGCATTGACAGGATAATTACTCTCCCAAGGTATCCAGCTATTAATATTTCATAAGTGACGAGGAAGATAAATCAGCAACTTAAGACAAATTCAAAAGCCCTGCACACACTCAATAAATTTCTTTGCTCTACTTAAGTAATAAAGTTGAGAGATAGAGCATGGAAGCTTCTGTGTTGAATCGAATTCGGAAGATCGGAGTGATGATACGCTACAATATGATGCGCAAGTGAGAATAGGATGAGGATGAGATCATCAGTCTTTTCGCTAAATCTAAAATGAGTTTGGAGAACTCATGTAGCCCAAGCTTTCTACAGCCAAATTATGGGATAGCTTTTGAAGAATATAGCATTGTTGCATTAGCACTAGGGAATTTTTCTCGGCTATTAGGTCAATCAGATTTATTCATAAGTTACCCCCTCAATGTAACAAGAAAACACACATAACGTGGCCTCAGAAGCAATCTAAGTCCACAATCCATACTCCAATACAATTTCTTACTTTCGAACAACAATACGAATACCTTTACTCCCTTTTTTAGGATACGGAACAAATCTATCAGCGGCCATCTCGACATCCGTCTTATCTGTCTGGTAGAGTTCCAACCAACCCTCATCTCCTTTATCCTCTTTACATCCAAATTTTCGCCACAGAGATGCAAGCATGAGATATAATTCTGCATACGCAAGTTGCATACCAAGACATTGTCTTGAACCATGCGAAAATGACATAAGATTGCGTCTTAGGCTTGGATCTTCGGTGAATCGATCTGGGTTGAAAACGAGAGGGTCGTGGAATATTTTTGGATTGAGGTGGATTAAGGGGGTTGCCATACCTACATTAGTCTGGTTGTGTCAATGAATTATCAAATCTCTGGGCTTGAATGACTTACATCGGGGGGAATAAGCCAGACTTTCTTCCCATCGTCATATTTCATAATTTGGTCAGGTGCGTTTCTTGTTTGTCGATTGCTGGTACCCATTGCTATTCTAAGACCCTCTTGAATTACTGCACTCAAATACGGAAGTTGTTCCATCTCTTCGAGAATCGGTTCAATTAAAGGATCAGGAAGAGCGGCCTTTAACTCGGCTCGTAATTTAATCAGAAGTTTCGGATTGGACAATAAGTAGAAAGTTAACGCCTGGTATGCTTGTTAGGAACGTGTAGGGCATTTTGCATTATCCTTGAATTCTTTCGCTCAAAGTCAATGAAGTTGTTTCCGTTCCGGCGATCGATATATTTCGAGCCTCATCAAGAAGTCTTGATCGTTGTTTTTCAATTTCGGGAATTTTGCTGGCGGTAATTTCATCGAACAATGTCTTGACTTCCTTTCCTTCCTGATGAGAAGCTGCCTTGGCTCTATTGGTTTTATCTATATTGGACAGCAGTTCCTATAGGGCTTAGTAGGAATTGCATTGTAATTTGTTCGTATGTTCACTTACTTGCTTGAATTCAAGGAATTTATTTCCCCCAGGGTTCATACTCTGGCGCAAAGTCTTTGGAATGGCATTTATCATAGGAATAAACCATGAGAACTGCACCGCCAACGGACCAAATTTATGGAAGCCATCCATCTAATCCCAGTTAGAATGCAAGTTCGCAGCTCTTTGAATTCGACCAACCCACCATATGATAAAATGCAGCATTGAAATTCGGCGCACCCAACCAATTTGGATTAAACCCAAACGCATATTCCGAATAAGATCATTAGTGAAGGCTCCAAACATCGGCAAACAATTAATCGGTTCTACCGTCTCCTGGAATTGTCGAAGTCTCACAAGCAATTTCTCAATGTTCAAATTCATCATCGGTTCAATTCTCCGAATCGACTCTTTGGAGAAAAACTTCGACATAGCGCCCCGTCTCATCCGATGTAAATCATGATCGATCGTTGCAGCGCTCGCTTTCACAAGCCCAAACATCTGCATCAATCGTACGCATTTATTGCGGCGACGACCGCCTGCTGGCATCAATTCGGAGACGAATGAGGGATCGTTAACGTGGAGTTCATCAGGTGTTACCGTACGATGGGTCCGTATTTTTCGTGCATTTCTTTGATTTGGAAGATATATCGGCCGCCGTGGAAAAAGTCATAGTAGAACTCGTACCAGAGGGTTATGGCTGCGAGTTTGGGACCGGGAAATGATGCGAGTGGATGGAAAGTGATTCGATAGAGGTAGAGAAGGACGATGTAGAAGAGAGTGGTAACGCAAAGACTTATCCAAATGAAACTCATGGCGATATGGATGATATCCATTTTTACCGGATCAAGTAGAGAGGTATTTCGAGTTTTACGGAGATGCTATTCTTGACGCAGCAGAGACAGTGTTATCTTAATTTGTTTCTTAAGATATCAATGTATATCTCCTATGGATATGACAAAGTGGACTGGTGTTCGACCTTTCCGCCATGATTGTACCATCAACACGTCGCAGTGTTGTACATGCCAGATGGCTACTCTACGTGATCAGAGATTTTATAGATATTTTGGAAGTTTTGGGAAACGTCGGAATCCTCGTTTGGTAATCTTTTCACTACTCTGAGTAATGTGTCTTAAAAGTGTAACGCAGAAATTTATTAATTATGTTGTGTTTTTCAGTCTCTTGTTACGTGAGCTTAGACATCCTAACGAAAGTTTCACTGAAATACCAAATTCATCGGATTCTTCTCAAGTATATATCACCAGTAGAATCATTTTCATGAAGGTCAGTTGCAAAAGATCTCAATTGACAAAGAGACATCAATCACAATGACAGAGAAATCACTCGAATCTCTCGCTTCCTCTATAAAACTGTTAGCGTCCGAGGTTCAGAATGCGCGAGAAAAGGGCAGTGAAGATATAGAGGCATTCGAAAAACTTATCGATGCATTAGATGATATGCGAGCAGATCTCGTAGGTCCTATGCGATGGCCCGGAACACTTTTCGCCCCTCCAGACTTCGCAGCTCTTCAGACTGCCTTCCTCCACGATGTCTTTCAACATGTTCCAACCAATGGGAAAGATACTGTGAGCGCTTCGATACATGTCAAAGACTTATCCAAATCGGTTAAGATACCGGCAGATACCCTACTTCGTATCATGCGTCTTCTTGCTGCCAATAAAATATTTCTCGAAATTGACGAAAAGGTATTCTGTCATACTCCTTTATCAGCAGGTATGGTAGATGAAATGGTTTCTGCTCGTTTAGGGAGTCTTTTCAATGGTGTTTTCAAGGCATCCTCGAGTCTTTCGGATGCTATTGATGCGGGGAAGAGAAGTGCTTGGGAAGTTAGATTCGGAATGCCCATGTACGAATATTTTGAGAAGATTCCCAAGTCTGATAGAGAACGTATGGCCAAATCAATGGCCATTTCTCAATTGAAGAGATTGAAGACCTTTCAGTCATCTTTCCATGGGAGAAGTTTAACAAAATCGTGGATATTGGCGTAGTGCCGGACACTTGGTTGTCCATTTGGCAAAGGTACGAGCTTTCATTTCCCCTACTGGTAGACCCATAACTAACAACAATCTAGAAATTTCCGCATGTTCAAACCGTCAGTCAAGATCTCCCCGAAGTAACAGCCGATCAAATTCGACGCATTGCATCCTTATCTCCTACTGAGAAATCCCTCTACGACCGCGTCGAATTCGAATCTCACGATTACTACACCCCTCAAACACGAATCGATGTGGATGCTTTTATCCTACGCCGCTGTCTCCATAATAATCCAGATGATGACTGTATCAAGATGATCAAAGCCGTGATACCCGGTCTTGAACATAATCCCAAAGCAAGATTACTCATTAACGAGAAATTGATGCCGGTTTGGAATAGCAGTGATACGAGATACAAGACTAAGATGTTGAGGAGAGAAGACATTGCCATGATGATTATTGTGGGTGGAAAAGAGAGGACCCTGGAAGAGTTTGCGGGGTTGATAAGGGGTGCGGATAAGAAGTTGGAGATTTCCGAGGTTTATTATGGGAAGAATTATTTTTCTGTTATTTCGGTGAGGTTGGCGAGATAGAGAATTTTAAAGATAGGAGAGGTGACGGGAAGAGGGTTTTCACATTTCAGAAGTTATGAATAAAAGGATACCAGTACCTATATAGACTTACGTTTATAGGTAAAGTTTGTCATCAAAATTCGAGAAGTTGTTTTGAAATCTTATACATTCAGTCAGTTTCGCAAAATCTCTACCTTCTTGATTTCCAACTCATATCTGCAGGTTTCGTCCTGGGAAAATCCTTGGTAGCAATGCGTTTGTGTTCGTGATGTTAGTAGATCATTGTTACCAATAAATAGCCGGACATTGCACCACCTAGTGTGTCTTTCATGTGTCCTCTGGACAATGATCCAAAACAAATGTACAAATTTACAAACTCCACCTCTGTTGGAAGTACGTGTTAAGCTAGTTCTAGCCTATAAAGCTAGCCCTTAATCTGGGGATCGTCCGGCCATCTAGCCTATATACCAGGGTAGCAGCCAAAAGCAATCATGGTAATTGTCCGTTTACCTGTATAAAACAATCTTTTTGAGAATTCGAAATGAGAGAAAATGCCTGCTTCTAGAATGCTTATAATGCTCGGAGAAGACTTCCATACACGCATGATGATTACCTAGTGGTTGATGAGTTGACCCTTCCCCTCGCTTCAATCGGGTCTTATGCCGATACTGGGATATGTAAAATGATAAGGTACGGCACAGACTTTCAGGGACTGGAATCTTACATGGCGATGCCCCACCAAGCGAATGCAAGTATGTAAGAAGTTTCGTGTGCGGCACTGAATATTGTTAGAATATATTTAATTTAAAAAAGGACTTTTTGAGAATAATAGAAGAAAGAAAAATAGAAAAGCTCTAAGCTGTCTATAATTCTTGTCGGAATCCAATTTCTAAACGGCTGGAAAATTCAAGCATTAGTTCATATATTTCATCTGATATCATCAAAAGTCTGACTATAATGTCTCACGAATTTAAAGAGTTGTATAAACTTACCTATCAAAGTTGTTGGTTTTAGATGGTTCTTCTAATTTGAGCTTACGAGATTTACATACCAATTGTTGGTTTTTATTTTGAATTGTTTAGACTGCTGATATACTTTCCATTTATCTATAAAGCTACCTGTAATCTATTATTTTTCTTCGGCATTTTATCAAGACCACTGTACCACAAAATATCATCCAACATCATGACTTCACACGCGATCAATGGAGCTGGAGCCCCTTTGCCTCAAGCGAAGACTCTTCTTGTACACATCGTTGACCATATGGCCAAAACAAAGCCGCAAGCTCTATACGCCGAGTTTCCCGCCTCGCCAGTGACTTATGATGAAGGGTTTCGAAAAGTCACCTATAAGGATTTTGCTAATGCTATTAATGGAGTTGCATGGTGCTTGCATGACAATCTTGGGGTGGGAAAGGAGCTTGAAACTCTAGCTTATGTTGGCCCCAACAATTTTATTTACCCATCGCTCATCTTCGGAGCTGCCAAAGCCGGTTACAAGGTAAGAAGACATAAAGATAAATTTTGATCTCCTGCTGAATATTTTTCTCTAGGTGCTCCTTCTATCGCCACGAAATAGTGTCGCTGCTCAACTTGATCTCATGAAGGTTACAAAATGTAAATCATTCATTACCTCTGGTCGACCATTACCATCCGTGACAGCAATTCTAGCTGCTGCGGGTTCTGCACTGCAAACACTGGAGATTCCAAACTATTGAAGATCTTTTGACCCGTCCCTCAAAGCACTATCCATATGAAAAGACCTTCGATGAAGTATGCGATAAGCCATTGCTCGTCATGCACACTTCGGGGTCAACTGGCTTTCCTAAGCCCATCAGCTGGACGAATGGTTTCTGTGCAGCCTACGCAACGTCATTATCATTGAGTCCTCCAGCAGGGTTCGAAAGCATAGATAAAATGTACGAAGGAAATCGAATATTCGTTATGTTTCCTTCTTTTCATGTATGTGCTTTCCTTCTTAATGACGAATCAAATATCACGCCGACCGACCACCAGGACTAACACGCAAATATAGGCCGCCTATATCGCGCATGTGATTGTTAATGGAATATCATTCCAAAGTTCCGTGATCCTCCCATTGCAAGCTGCAATACCTTCAGCACAGTCTCTATCCGGGGCATTGAAAAACAATAAAATTGATGTTGCTTTCGTCGTGCCATCAATCTTGGAGGAGATTAGCAAGTCACCGGAGCTCTTAGAGCATATTTCTAACAACCTCGACACTGTAGTGTATTCTGGAGGAGATCTACCTCTTGTTGTGGCAATATCGTGGCATCTCAAGTAAAACTCATCAATTTTTATGGAACCACTGAAGGTGCAAGTCTTCCTTTGATTTCTTCAACTCAAGAAACGACACGGGAAGATGGAAATATCTTCATATACATCCCAACGCGGGTGTAGAATTTCGCCCCTATAACGACACAATATACGAATTATTCATTGTCCGCGAAAAGAACTTTGAGAATCATCAGCAAATCTTCGAGACTTTTCCTGATCTTCAAGAATATCAGACTCGCGATTTGTTTGTCCCTCACTCCTCGAAGCCGAACCGCTGGAGTCATTATGGAAGATCTGATGATATTATCGTTCTTGTTAATGGAGAGAAAACATACCCTGTTCCTACTGAGCAACACATTCTATCTAGTCACCGAGAGATAAGTGGGGTGATAGTAGCCGGCTCTCAACGTTTCCAAACCTCGCTGTTATTAGAAGTCACGAGTAAAGAGGAATTTACGCCCGCGCGTAAATTTGACCTGGTGGAGACTATATGGCCTTCGATCGAAGAGGCAAACGCAACATGCCCAACGCATGCGCGAATAGCTAGATCTCATATCCTTTTCGTTCCTTCAGATCGTCCTATGGTCAGAACACCCAAAGGTACTATCATGAGAGCAGCTACCCTGGCGCAGTACAAAGAAGAGCTTGATGCACTTTATGAAACGGCCGACCAAACTTCGATCGAGTCCAATACGACTTTAATCCCACACGTGGATCCTCATAACTTCGAGAATCTGATCTCGTATCTGGAAAATACTATCTCGACACTTACAGGCTTGACCTTTGACGACGAAGACAACTTTTTCATAAACGGTATGGATTCCTTACAAGCGTTGATGTTCATACGGAATTTGAAGCAGGTCTTCAATCTTCCAAAATTGGTCGTCAACGACATCTATTTAAATCCAACACTCATCTCACTCGCCCGAACTTTGCAATATTCCTTGAAACAAGAAGAGGATGTGAGCCCGCCGCTAATCGCCGAAGAAACACGCGTGAAGAATATTGAGTATTTACTTGCGGAATATTGCAACTTAATCGATACCATTCATCCTTTGAAAAATAGTCCTATTTCATTACCTGCAATAAAAAGCGGAGGTATTCTGCTCACAGGCTCGACAGGCGGGCTAGGTTCTTATATCTTGCAAAATCTCTTGACTACAGCTACCACTGTGCATATTTACTGTCTTAATCGATCCACCGACAGCAAATCCTTGCAGATTGAAAGAAACAGGATTCGAGACCTGCTTACAGAATTTCCCGACGATCGTGTTACATTTCTTTCAGCCGATCTTTCAAAGTCTAAGCTAGGCCTCGGGCATGAAGTCTACAATAGTCTTTTGCAAAATGTTACGCAAATTATCCACAACGCCTGGCCGGTCAATTTTCATATCAACTTATCATCATATCATCCACACCTTCTAGGAGTTGTCAACTTGGCCAAGTTTGCGAGTGAAGCTTCGAAGTCGCCATCACTTATGTATATTTCCTCCGTCAGTGCAGTATCCAACTTTACCTCCGTCGGAGACTCAGTCAGCAGAATTCCAGAAGCAGTCATTCATGATGCCTCGGCGTCGGAGTCTATGGGTTACGGTGAGAGCAAATATCTATCAGAACGCATCTTGGACTACGCAAGCAAGAAAATTCAACTCCAAGTTAACATTGCACGTGTTGGTCAGATAGCTGGTCCTATCCAGGGGCCATCTGTATGGAGTCGAGATGAATGGTTTCCAAGCTTGATAATTTCCTCTTCTTTTGTGGGTGCGGTGCCGGATTCTCTGGGATTGGATTTGGACAGGATTGAGTGGATACCTGTCGATGCTTTATCTGAGATACTCATCGAACTTTGCCAAATTTCACAGCATGGTAGAGAGATCGACGGCGCGAAAGTGTTCAATTTACTCAATTCATACCAGGAAGAGTGGGAAAATCTTCTACCAACAGTCATGAAAGCACTCTCTTCAGGCAGCAGTACCGAAACTGAAATTGAGAGAATAAGCTTCGAGAGCTGGATTCAGAAGGTGGAAGGGACCGCGGATCAGCAATCTTTTCACAGCACAGAAGAGACGAACGCAAAGGAAACGCATTTTAATCACTTGGTAGAATTGAACCCGGCAATCAAACTAACCCATTTCTACAGAGCAGAGGAAAGAAGAAAGGAAGGTAAAAAGTGGGAAACTGGAAGAGCGCAGAAGCAGAGTGAAAGGCTCCGGAACTTGGGGAAGATCGAGAATATCTGGTTGGAAAAATGGATCAAGACGTGGATGAACAATAACTCTAATAAGGTTGTAAAGAAATTGGGATGTTGGAGAATGAAGCTATTTTCTTTAAAGGATATCTCGAGAGAGGAGTAAACTAGGTTTGGTGCTTATCACCAAAAACATACAGTCGTTTCAGCATTGCTTTCCCTGATCCTCGTATCAAACTTCTGCAAATGAACTCGGCACTATCGTCCGTGAGAAACTCTATAAGGGATCAGTGCCATCTATAAGAAAACGTATCTGTAAATTAAGCCCTTGGAGATGGAAGTCCAGAATCGTAGTAAACGGCGAGAAGAGCGGAAACCCTCGAAATTTCAGAGAAAACACGGGATCTTAAGAATGTTTTTTCACTCCTCAAAATGACTTGAACCCACTAAGAAGGAATTGAGAATCATTGAATTGCGGGATTCAAGTATCATTTTCTTTAATCTAGGGATGGGAACCATCAATGCAACTGAAGAACCCCTCTACTTTGGAGAATTTCCCTCCCGAGTTTTCCGATGACATATTATTTACCTTTACATTACCAAAACACAATGAAACGACATTTAATAAATCCTGTTACTATCAAGTTCCTAAAAATCAGGATTCAGCACTACGTTACACGTATCCGTTTCAATTATTATTACCACATTGCCAAAGATTCCAACGCGTTCCTCTCCCTTGCTCCATCAAATTCCACACGCCTCACTTTAGGAATGCAATATTCCCATCGCGATGATATAAGCCCAGGATAACTGTCCCTCCAGACGTACATGGCAAAAGGTGAATTTATTGCACATTAAGAAATCTCTGCAAATATGACTACTACAGCAGCAGCTTCAGAAATTGGCGGTATAACCGATGGGGGAGGACTTTTTCCTACGTTTGTCCCGAGTGATATTGCGGGTCAGACTGTGTTTGGTTGTCCTATTGTAGGTTTCTATTTCTCCTTCCGTCGATCTCGGCCATATGTCTTGTTGTTTTAGAAATTGTCGTGTTACTAACAGTCTTGTTGCAACAAAGTCATCTTTCATGTCCCTCGATGCCAAATGTCCCATCACCGGCAGCGGACTCCCCGCATGCGCAACGCAAACTGCCAGTTTTGACGAGCCTTGCTGTGGTTCCCTAAGCGCCTTCGCGACTAGTGTTGGAGATTGTTATAGCAGTAATGCACCGGACTGTTTGAATCTAGAGGGTGGGTTATTTTCACGCGTCTTTCACATCAACCCTCAAAGCCAGATCATTAGAATCATACCTACCAAGAACAAGAAAAAAGATGGAGTAACTACTAAACCGCACCCAACTAACAAACACCAGAACTCACTCGCAGCCTAACAGCCTTCAGCGCCACAGCAACAGATCAACAAGTCACCAACCCCTGCGCAGTATTCGCTTCTACAACCAGCAGTAGCAACCCTACGGAGACAGGAGGACAAGCAGCCGAGACGAGTGGATCTGGAGACTCTGTGGAATCTAGCGGTTCTGAAGAGTCCACTCCCACAGGATCTGCAACCGACAGCGCCAATACTGCTGAAAGTACAACGTCCAACTCTGGGGCTATGAAGGAGAGAGGAAACATGGGGCTGAAAACGATTGCTACTTTGGCGTTGGTGGGAAGTTTGGGGGTTTTGTGGTTGTAAAGGGTGAGATGAACGATGACAAGAACAGAGAAAGAGGGGTATGGTTGATGGCTTTACCGGTATGGATGGTGTGGGTGCTCGTTATTGGTCTTTGGAATGAGGACGAAGGTTGAGTAGAGATGAGAGTGGCGTTCGGTTTTTGATTTGGTGGATGTTATGTATGTTGTCTTTCGGTATTGTGAGTGGATTTGGGACTTATTTTGGTGTATGTTGAATATGTTTGATTGAATGATTTCGTTTGGTTCCCTTGTTTGAAGTTCGATAGTTTATCTAGAAATATATCTTACTGGAAATTTGCTGCCTGCTCCACACACGTTCGCCTCTTTCACTAGAAAGGTGTCAAATTTCTGCCCACTAATTCTTCATCTCGATGAAAAGACAACTTAATCTTGTATTGCCGCATTGATATGTGCCAACAATGGCATCTGTGTGGAACTTCTTGTATTTAAAATGACATCTAAAGATCAAAGTAATCATAAGCGAACGATATACACACATTGTCAAAGGAGAGTCTCGCAAAAGGTCGTGTTCTACAAATCCATCATGCAAAAAGCGCAGGCAACATGTAAAATCCCAAACACCATATCCCATATATGCGCCCATTTGCCTTCCCATCCATATAGATCATCATGATCGTTATCATCTTAACTCATCAATCATCAGGGTCCAGTTGTTATCCCCACGAAGTTGTGTGTGCATCAATCAATCATCAACCTGCACAATCCTGACGCCCGCCCCTTTCTTCTCTCCCCTGCCAAAACCAAAACTAGATTGGATAGAACTTTTCTTAACCTCCACTCTCATCTCCTTCCTCTTCTCCACTTCACTCACCAACTTCTTAAAATAAACTTCCGCTTGTATCGTAGCACTGTAAGCAATCGGAGTCCACTTCCACACATTTCTCATCTCTGCATTCGCACCCGCCGCCAACAATGTTCTTAGTACCAGCATATGTCCATTACTACTTGCAAAATGTAATGCCGTGTTTCCGTCCACATCAGCATTTGCAAGTACTGCTTCCGGATCTTTGTACACCGCTGCACACGTCAAGAGGATTTGTAGACAAGTATCATGACCTCCACGACTGGCATACATGATTGCATCTCGACCTCGGATATCTCTTCTGAGAATACCAGATACGGAGGGACCTTGGGAACAGAGAAGATTTACAATGTCGGTGTGGCCGGCACCAGCAGCGAGCATGAGCGCAGTTTGATGTTCTTCATTGAGTGAAATGGATAAGGATTCATGACCGAGAGAGAGAAGGAGAGAAGCAACTTCTAGATGTCCGAGAGAGGAGGCTAGATGTAGAGATGTGTTTGAGAGACCGTGAGGTGAGATATCGGGATTATGAAGGAGATTGGGATGGGATTTGAGGATTCGTTTTACGAGAGATGCATCGGGTGTATGGATTGCGCGACGAAGACGGATCGTGGTTTCAATCCTATTTGCAAGATATTAGAGGTGAGCTTTCGCTTGTTTGGGTTGAAGGGGGGAAGGATGTTGATGTTGTTTGTAGAATTTGTTGGTTCTTCAATCAAACAAAAGGAAATAACTTACATATTCTCAGCATATCTACTCTTTCTTTGTACCTATAAACAACAAGCACTCTGCAAATATAAACAAATCGATCCAAACCCGTTCAACACCAACTTGATGCTCTCGATGATACTTCTGATCTCTGCAGCTGCCCCGCCAACATTCAACGGTCCTCGCAGTAGTGTATGACTTCCCCATGCTTGGCGATCCATAATGCATTGATCGCTTACATAATCACGATCAGATTTGCGCGTCATAGCAACGTTTTACGGGTTCGCGGAAACTATTATTACTTTATCATAGACAACACCATACGCGCATTCAATAAATCAATTCCTCTCAATTTCATATTCCACATTCCACATTCCACATATCCAATCCAATCCAATGCCTCACCCTTGTTTCGACCCTTCTCTCGCATACCTTCCCATCAAAACTGTAGTCAGCGCATCCTTTCTCTATCCTTTCAAAGGCATCTTATATTTTCTCTCCGATCGCCAATTCTATCCTCTGTTTGGCAAACGATTGATTCCCCTCACCATAACATCCATTGTTGTTCTCGGTCTTCTCTTTACTTTTACATATTTACCGCAAGTAGCTTTTCTGGCGATATGGCATGGACCAGGAGCATGGTTTAATGCTGTTTTTCTTGTGCTCGGGGAGGGACAAGTTTTGATCGCGTTATTGTTTGAAGCATTATTGGTAGATGAAACATTGGTTGATGTTTTCGATGTATGTACTTCTCTTTTCTCCAATTCGCAGGACTAACAAAATCCAAAATAGGCAACACTTATCAAAGAAGGACTCATCGATCTCGTTTCTCCTTCTCGAATGCTCAATCACGATGCCCAGAATGAAGTTAAAATGCTCGGAAAGCCAACCACATCCGCAGTCTACTCCCCCTTTTCCTTTCGACAAATAGCGGAATTTGTTATATTCCTTCCTCTTAATTTTATACCCGTGATTGGAACACCTGCTTTCTTGGTCTTGACGGGTGCGAGAGCTGGTCCTTTACATCATTGGAGATATTTTAAATTACGGGGTTTGACGAAGAAGGAAAGAAAGAGAGAAATTAGTAGTAGGAAGTGGAAATATACTTGGTTCGTTATTCTTATATCCATATTGGAAACGAAGATATACTAATAGTAAATAGGTTTGGAACAGTTGCTTTACTATTACAACTTGTACCTGTGCTTTCGATGTTTTTCCTACTGACTTCAGCAGTTGGATCGGCATTGTGGGTGGTGAAATTGGAGGAACAAAAGAGATTGAATGCAGCGGATAGATTGGTTAATAATGCTGGGCTTCCTAATATTGGAGAATATGATGAGGAAGCGCCTCCTCCATATGCCGATGACCCTATATAGTTTTGATATTGTTTTATACCCCGATTGATAATAAAGATCATATTTCTACTAGATTCTTTTGTCCAGTCCCAAAAAGACTCTCCTTCTCTCAGTATGTGATTTGACCAATCTTGTCTATCCACCAGTGCCATATAACCTAAGCTCACAAGACAATCGCAATCGTCGCTTTCTAGATAATATAATAATCTAACAATTTACCCTCACAATACACCTTTCTCATCCTAACTAACCTAACTACTCGACCCTCCATAGTGCGCCCAAAACAATCTATTCATCCCCCAAGAAGAATTAACCCAAATTCCCTATGATATATCATCCAGAAACCAGAAACTCTCTCACCTGCTATCCCTTATACCACATCTTAAATCCAGCTTCTCAAATTCAAATCCAGTAATCTATACCCCATTCACCATTCATTCGCCACACATCGTACAACTCTAACTTAACAAATCATCAATCAAGAAAGCAGACTTTAGAAATTCTGAGTAGTGAGCTGAGCTGAGAGATACATGATATGATGATTGTCCGAGTAACTTAGTAAGTATATAGAGAAGAGAGAGAGAAACAATACTCGGTAAACGAAAAGCGACATGTAATTAAGCGAGAGATATTATATCATATTGAGATGAATATGCTATGTTCTGATGGATGTACTATGAATATAGGGATTTGAGTATTCTTTACTGATTGTATATCTATTTATGCTTTAGATACTTATCTAAATGATTTATATAATTCGTATAATAGTCATATCTAGCATTGTTATTTAGTATATCGAGCTAATAAAGAATTAAGACTTAAGATAGATTGATTATTTCTACTACCGCTTACATCACATGTACTACAACCACTCGATGTATCAGTATTCTCGTCTTTGAAAAACGCATATCGAAAGAAACTCAATCAATTAGATCTATTACCAGATTCTACACTAATTAGAAAGCGAAACTTTCTTTCCTGCTATCAGAAAGCTAGAATAGAAGGTTTAATACTTCAAAATATCACAGCTGGATGGAAAGCTAGCGGTCTTTAGCATAAGAATATGATTAAACCTTTTATGTGTCGACTTTTACTTGAAAACAGTAATAACGAAATTCTATTATTCAACTCTGAGGTTGACAATAATCCTCTGATTCAATTGGATATAGAATCATCTTTTGTTTTATAGAAAACTCCTTATAGCGCACCTGATATTCAAAAAATATAAAGATATAACAATTTAGAATAAACCTCTGAATTTAGTAATACAATGATTCTTATTTTGTAATACAAAGGGATTCGGTATCAAGAATTGTAAACTTTTGGAGATGGAGAATAGGATTAGAAAGTTGGAATATCGATTGGATCAATTAACTTCAAGAAAAAGATAGAAAGTTTGAATGTCTTCAAATTCGAAGTTTGTAGGGATTAAAGCTATAAGAGAGGCTCAAATTGAAGCTAGAGATTATGAAATTAATGGAAATGAATCCCATATTACTATAGAGAGTGATTCTATAGACAATTGTATTGAAGTTCAAGGGTCGTTGAATAATTGAAGTTTGAAATGTATATAAATTCATTTCTTGAAGTATTTGAAATGTAAGGGTGTAGCCTTATATCTCTTTACGAACCGAGCTGTCTAATTCTTCCCTTTACTCCCCCCAATAATTTTCTTAGCCATATTCCTAACCATCTGACTAGTAGCAGGTATCTTCCTAACACTCAGTCTCTTGATATATCCAATTAAAGTCTCTTCTTGGCTGTCGTAAGCCTTTTCCTAGAATTAGAGGACACCACCCCACGAGATCTAGTCACTCTCCTATACCTCCTAGAAAGAGTAGAGTTTAACATGGTATTTCAAAGCTGTTTTGGTAATGTTTTTATGAGTCTGAACATTCAAATCAAGTATAGCCAACTCAATTCTCTCATCATAGGAGCCCTCCATATTGATGTAAAGAATAAGGAGGGCGAAGAATTCAGGAGAAAATTCCGTGCATTCTGCGGGGTTGTGCATGTACCAGGGAATACGTTTAGACTTTAAATCAGCGAAACAATAATTCGAATCTCTTTTTCATATGATATTAAGTCTAAAAGATTCTACTTATCAATATAAAGAAGGCTCAAATTTACATTTAGGATTTTTAGATTTCAATATTTATTTTGAATTAAATTTATGATTCAATAAATAAGCGACATTGAGATAGGTTCAAAAAGTTCAATTTCCGCCTGTTTTTTCGCTTACGTAGAGTTAGGGTAACCTCATAAGCGTAAGGTTAACCCCTCGGTAGTTTTAACCTTATCTGGGCAAGGATACACTCCTTACAACGACCATCTTCCATTTATCGTTGATATGATATTTCCTCAACAAATCTGCTTCATTTTCTTTTTGATCTCAAGATCTTTTGCTAATCTCTTTTCTTGAAGTGTGTACCATGGCCCTGTTCCTTCGAAGAACCCTGTTTTCCCTGCCATTCTTTCTTCCCATGAAATTTTCTTAATAGTTCTATGAATCTTGTTAGCGTCTCTATACTTACTTAGTGATTAAATGGGAGGCTCACTTCTTATCAAGCTTCTTATACGGCCCCGTACCATCTAGATTTGGCTTTCTTGGTTTATACCCATGACAAAGCAAGGTAGATATGGGATCTTCAATAGCAGGCAGGCGTTGAAGAACCCTAGTATCGCCATATGTTGAGTAGCAGGTACACATTGGGAAATTTGGTCTTTTTCCGACGTCTAGAGTTGCAACCCATGGTACGCAGAAGATAGTGTTTGGATACCGTACAGCTAGCATAGGATAGATCCATTCCTCGCGTCCAATATAGTAACCATTGGCATCCATATCGATTACTGTCTGCATGTATCGAACAGCAAAGTTCAGCATACCTAATGACTTCCCAGCATAGGCGCCCCCTGCGAAATGTTGGCTTTGCCATACTCTCCGAGGATTAGAGAACCACTCATGGTTTATATCTTTTCTTCCATGGTCTCCGTGATCAGCGAATATTCTATATTGCCCTATAACTACCCCGGTGTTTACAGAGATTCCAATAGATCGATCGAATTTTTTTGCATCTAGTTGCTTCGCTATAACATCTCCCCATAAAACACCCTGAGAGTCTATTGGACCGGTCTCAGTAAATAGCCCAGCATCCATATAGATCCATCTGTCGGAACCAAACGGATTCCTAATAACAGCATCATAAGTAACAAATGCTTTAGCATTGTATGCTGCCATTTGATGAGCATGATTATATGTTGCATTTAGTTTCCAGTCTGGTCTCTCCCCTTCCAGCTTTTTGAAGAGTTCCGTTTGTGTTTTTTTGAAGTTGTTATACTGATAGCTATTTGTCGGTATATCCCAAATTGTCTTGTATTCCGAAATAACATACCAATGAGGATCTTTCCGCATTGCCTTCACTGCTTTAGCTATAGTAGGACATACATAGATGATTGTTTGCTCTCCCATTTTCGCAAGATTTTCGATTCTTTTGAGATACACCTCTACTGGTCTTCTCATTTTGCGTTCGGGATCAGGGTAGAACAATGCTATTATAGTCGGTGCACCTGATCTAATAGGAGTAAACTCAGGTGTCTCTAGAATCTTTGGAGATTTCTTCACTTTGAAGAGCTTCTTCACCCATTTTGCGATATTTTTCCCATAAACGCTTGTAGGGATGCTCAAAAGCTTTTCAACATTTATTGAAGATGCAACTGGAAATGGAAACAATGGATCGTGAAGTGGTCGTGGTCTAGAACTTTCTCGATAAGGATTCTTGATCAAGATTTTTTCGTTTTCAGTAAGGTGCTGATTCCCTCTAGAAGATTCAGCGTCGGAGCCACTCGATGAGCTATTGGAATGTTGAGAGTTGTGATCATTTATGCTAGCTTTTCCAAGCTTAGTTTTGCCCGATTTTGATGGTTGAATATCTTCAACATTTTTAGGGGATACAGAGTGTGAGCGAGTACTAATTTTAGTCTTAATAGACTCTAACTTTGTATGAAGTTTACTACCGGAGCTGCTGGATGCACCATGCCGGGTTCTGTCCGATTTTTGCATGATAACTCGGAGTCTTGGTGGTATGAGGTGATGCTATACAAGCGAGCGTTTTAAAATGTAAACGAATAATTGAAGTAAGTTACTAAAGGCTCCTTTGAGTGGAGTGATTTGAGAGTAGTAAGATGTTTATTATTCTCTTTCTTATTCTCTATTTATAGATCAAAATTCTACTTCTACTTATAAAGTTTACAAACTAACATTGCGTCCTTTTCATTGTCCTCCACTATCAATGATCATTCGGAATAAACATTACGTCCTCTTCATTGTCTTCCACTGTCTATCATTATTCGGACTTTCTTCGATCGGAAATCTGAAACTTCGCATGGGGGCCTCTGAATGGCCGATGCTAGACGATGTGAGCTTGCGCCCTCTATCTACTATAGTGACCACGGTCTGACGATGGGTATAATTTCTTTAATTAGTACCGAGGCCGATTTGCATTTGGCCAAAACACTAAAAATAATCTTAGGCCTCCTTTAGGGTTCACACTTAAGCGCTAAACCTACACGCTCACCCTTTTTATAAAAATAGTCAGTACCAGACAACGTCGGCGGTGGTCGGGTCTTAAGAATGGTGAATATAACCAGACCTAGTAAGCTACTCCGAACCACGATCAATCTGGAATTGAACGAGATAATACGTCCTTAACCAGCATGGTAGTAAATCACCGACTGCCCCTCCGGATCTCGACCTTGTTAGAGAGTAGCCCTGTCAACTACTGGCGTGGCGTAGTATCTCGCAAGTAGAAGATAAAAAATCGACCCTCGCCATGTACGGGTGATTACTTATCTAATTGCTTTTATCGTTACTTTAACCCGTACGTTGATACATGGTCATGTGATAGTCTACCATTTGATTATCTCAGCACTAATAGACACCAAGTCATATGAACTTCAAGAACAAATACGTATAGCGTTAAACGTACTGACGATGAAAGAAACGTCGAGTGACTGGATGAGCAGGAGTAGCAACCCGATAACCCAAAGTGGAGTGTATCCCCTAAGGTGTGCTGGTGCCATTTATGGGCGCCGTCGCTTAACCGGGTCTTAAGTCGGGTACCCCACTTTCTGGCCACCCCCCTCTTGGGCCACCTTTTCATACCAAAATTGATATTCTTAATTTTCTTATTTATTAATGGAATTTATTGAAAATTGATATATATATATATATAATTCAGATTATTCTTAATTTACATTCAAAATTTCAGACTTTTAGGGTTTTTCTGAATCGATTTCTGAACCTTTAAAATGTCGATTTTTTCATTTACTATAAAGCTCTCAATTTCATTTTCTAACCTTAAGCTCATATTTCATATTTTTCTCACTAACATTATAAAATAAAAGTCTACCTTTAAGAGGTCTATAAGTACTAGCGATAACATGACTATATGACAACGAGTAAAGAGGGGATTGACTATTAACCTGTTTTGCTTCGTACTTCGGAATACCCATCTACATCGAGAGAGAAAAAACCTTGACGAGTTACAATTTGTGCAACTGGATAGCTGAACTAGCTTATGGTTTCATCACAACAAGTCTGCCAACACCAGTAAACCCTGCAGCCGTATCAAAAGCTTCTTTCCACCCCTCCAAGCTAAACGATTTCACATTTACGAATTCCTTTCCTCTGGGAAGTAACCCACTCTCCAACATTTTCACAAACTGCACCATGTCATCTCTTTCATACATCAGTTTTCCCTTCAACGTGATGTTATCCCCCATGACTTTCCAGTCGTTAATGTGGTACTCTCCAGAACCCATAAGACTAGCTCTCCCGCCTTTTCGAAGCGAATTGATTGCGCTTTTCAAATGTGTCGATTGAGCTGCTGCAGGTGGAGAAATATCTAACACAGCATCAATTGTGCCAAGTTTCTGTAGAGCCGCTGTATCCGTCTCCACATCACCTGTCATGTTGACAGTTTCAATGCTTGCACCTGGAGTCCCTCTTTGGATATGTTGCTTCAACCTCTTCAATTCCTCTCCGTTCCGCCCCATAGCAATAACCCTCGCTCCCATCGCGACCGCCACTTGCACTCCAGCACCACCAAATCCCCCTGTTGCCGGACACACCACAATCGTCTCCCCTGGTTCCAATTTGATATCTCTCAATCCGCCATATGGAACCAGAAGATAACACAGATACGTCAAGTCCTGCAACGAGTATCCCAGTTCTCCACAGAGTCTCGGCTCACTAAGCGCAATGCAATTTTCTAAAGGTACTCTCGCGAATTCCGCAAATGTACCATTCCTCCAAACATCTCTCATCAAACTCTTACTGCCCTCACTAAATCCGTCGTGGATAGCACTCAAAAAAAGAGTACTGGGGTCATCACGTCCACGCACAACACAATCGATATAAACTAATTGACCTTCCTTGAGAGAAACGGCATCAGGCCCAAGTGCGATGATGCGAGCGATAGCGCTGAAGCCTCCAACGATAGGAAGAGGAAATGGATATGGGCGTGAGCCATTGTATACTTCACGATGGTACGAGAGAACACCAGTACAGTGAATTTGAACGACGGCGCTTCCAGGCGTCGGGAGGGGAGTTGGCAAAGATTTGACGAGGAAGTCTGAGCCTACTGATTCGAGCACTAGGGCGCGATGTTGAGATGGCAAGGAAGGCATTGTGGATGGTTTGTTTGGATTTGTAGTTCATACTCTGAAGAATATTTAGATTTGAGTTGTAAAAGCTACCGGCACTTTGAAGGATATAGCCATATATATAGTAAAAAGATCTTTTTTTATTTATGGTACCATACTCTTTTTTTCCCGTGACAAGTTGTTCTCATAGTATGAGAAGTTCAATTACAGGCTCGGAAGACCGATCATATCCGAGCTTATACTCTTGAATGTGGGGCATTGTCTTCGGCGATAATCGGTGCTATCTCCAAATTATGGCAATTGCAGCTACGATCTGTCTTTTTGGGATTAGCGCTTGACTTTTCGTACATTCCAAGTGGTTTGGCTAAGCTGAACATGTTGAATACGATAAACATTTGTGAGGTATCTCGCGTGCTCGGGGTTAAGTTGAAAATGCCAACTAGAAATCTTGAAGCACGAAAACATCGACAAAACTTCGCGTTGAAGACACACACACTTAGTTCGGTCTATCCCGAGCTCTATGCATATTCTTTGTAGTCTGATTTGTTCTCAATTGGCTGCTAGTTGTATCATATGCACGAACTAATAGACTACTAAAACTGCCACATGCTATCTAGGTCCATTCCCAGATCAAAAACATCACTTTCAAACTGCTTTCAAGTCAATCAGTGTTCAACTGAAATTAAGACATCATACTAACATCAGAAATGTTCAACCACGAGAACGCCGGAACTTCTGTGGCTTTATACGCAGCAGATTGTCCACCGGGATTGATGTGCTCTGTGGACATTTGTGAAATGGAATCCTGCTGGATAGGAATGAACATATGACGTTGGTTTTCGATACGCTTGTGATGTAGATCTGATAAACTCTGTGAAACATCGAGCTTGCCGGTCTCTGGACTACCTTCTCCTGCATGTATGTTGAGTAATGCAATAGCCGTAGCCATAGTCAGAAAACACCAAGGCTCTTTGTGGAATCCATAAAGATATCTGTTGCCCATAGTAGGAAGGCATTGCTTGAGGAAATCAATGATATTAGTGGAATCGCTCATGATAATACTGCTTGAGCCTGTATTCTCTCATTAGTATGGTACAAATTCCGATGATGGGAGAGTATTGAAACGAAACATCAGCACTTTGTTTTCAAGATGCTAAATCTCAACATGAGAAATACGAGTAAGCTGACCTTTGGGCTGTAGCAAAGTGACACGAGTGAGTGTTAATGAAGCCAACAAAAGATCTTCTCGAAGCATTGTTAAACTCTGATTTCCCGTGCTTATCAGTTTTAAATTGAGTAAAAGTATATCTCGCGACATCTGGTAACAAACATTTTCAGAAAGCCAAAACTTGCGATTTTCTCTCTTAAGATATGGTCGATGGATAGCTATAATACATTCACTAAGCTGGAAATGTAGGAATGCATGAGCGAGAATAGGAGAGCAGGCATGGCTTGTTGCCCCTGAATTGACTTCATCCCAAGCTGGGAGGGAGTGAATTTTCTGGGTCAATTGATGGGTCAATTGCAAGACTTCATCGTAGCTCAATACTTTTGGTGATCCTGTCGCAAAAAGTCGGCGAGATACGTCTAAACGCAACCCCCAACTATGAGAGCTATGAAATTGATAAGATGTTCGGGTACGTTTGTGGAATGGTTCTGAGATTGGAAGTGTTTTCGAGGTCTCGTCAAACTTGTCATCATCAATATTTCCAGGGGTACCAGTTTTAGCATCAATTGTGTTCAGGAGAGTTGGTATTCCAGTCTCAAACGAGTTTTGCAACTCGAGTTCGCGAATAACAGCCCACATCCGTCTTTTCATTTCTCGCGTCAAGATTGTATCTCCACTTGAAGTCGGATCTCGGTGTAGCCCATCCATAATTGCATTTTGAAGCAAAGAACTCGTTTCCTTGAACCACTCTTTCTTCCTAATCATGTGCATTCGTCTTGCGAGATATAACAAACAGCCGATTTGATAATGCACAAGCTTACGGCCATTTGAACTTTGCTCTCTTAACCATTTGTCACACGCTGAGGTCCCCTGCCCTGGAGCTATTTGGTGATGGGAAGGTGTGAGACTGTTGTAGCTGGCGGGAATGCATATTGAGATTGATATCATAGAGAGGACTAGTGCCGTCATGGTAGAATGACGAGTACAATCAGGTACCCAGAACTCGGCATATTCTTTCTTAAAAGTAGGAATATGAACGATACGATGCAGTTGTTCGAAATTTTCGAGGTAAGACTGTACTAAAAAATCTGTTACCTCCTTTGCCGGAAGAATGGCCTCCAACTGGCACTCTGCCGTAAAATGGCTATAAGCTTGTAAATCATTCCGAGCAGCTTTGTCCTTTCTAACGCGAGCCCCATGAGGTGCCAACAATTCTTCATACGTTTCTTTCATGAACGGAAAGAGTTCAGGAATCTGTTTTGTGATATAAGCAAATTTTGTGAAATTATTATAATACACAGAATCTCACCTCTTCAAAGAAGTGAAACAGATGATGTTGCGTGTAGTAGCTAGAAGGAGTTCTCGCGTTCGGATGAATAAGGTCATTATCCGTCGTTATAATGGATCCATAAGTCTCCTCGCAACGCTTGTCTGATAGCAGCCCGTAGCTAATTTCCGAGACACCAGTAGCAGTCACAGGCTCTGCCACAATAGTGCCTTCATTTTGAGAATGAATCTTAGACAGCAGTACTCTCAATTGCGTCACCTCGGACCGGAGTTTTTGAACTTCTTCGCTATCAGTCTGAGCTTGCTGCTGCTTATGCATCGTTATAGAGGGCTGTCCTGTTTCGAATGAACATTGTCCCGATCGCCCGGTCCTTACACATCTTTGGCAAGGTAATCTACGATCACATGAAAGCTATTTCTCGAAAGCCAATTAGGACATATTTCTTCATAATGAGACTGAAAGTGGTACTGTTTGCACTCACTTTCTTTTTCCTGCATTCCCCACAACTTAGTCGTAGCCGTTTTCTCGGCACCTTTTGTCCGTCACTCGTCTTGCTAGTCGAACTTGGTATTTGGCTATCCATACTGATATTACCGTCTTGAAGTTTTCAGGTATACCGATAGGTCTAATGTAACTCTCCCACTGTCGTGAAAGGTCATCATCTCCAGATGATTGTTATTTGTGTTACTCGCGGCGTTAATCGCTGGCGGCCGATCATCTCCGAGCTTCACGCTTACATGTACCGAGGCTGGTAACCTTAACGAGCATCAAGTCAACAACCCTACCCCACCCGACCACCCCCTATTTTCGACCACAAAATTCACCTCGCTTTAAGTACATACCTAGATACTCGCATATAAATTTTATTTAGAATTACTAAAAAAATCATAAATGAATCACATTAATCCGATTCCTTAAATCGAATTTCAGATTAGTTTAGTAAATCTTGAATTTTATAATCTTATAACTAATATAATTTACTATCAGATCGCTATTTATTTTTATATATAGATATCCTTCGTGATATTATATAATGCTATTTGTTCTATAACGTGGTTTAACACCGAGTGCACCATATCACCGAATGCACCACTTCAAAATACACCCAAAATTAGCCTTTTCCTAATATTTGTATTTTAATAATTAATCAATATTTTTTAAAAAGCAAAAAAGATTTGTTAATAAGAAAAGATCTTTTATAAAAATATTAAGTTTTTATATAAAGATATCTGTTATATTCTATAAAAAGTGGAAATTGTCACGATTTTCGTTACAAAAAAACTATCTCTATAATAACTACTATATTAATTCAAATTTTTGATAAATAATTAAACATTTATAATATTTATATAATTAAATGTTACAATTTAAAATTTTGAAAAATTATATATCACGCTAAAAGTGATATCACCGATAGCATTAAGCTAAGTGGGTTTATATAGGCTAATTCTATCGTGATATTATATTATTAAATAAAGAAAGTGCACGGTTACGCACAGACGTATTTGTATGTAAAATTCGTGGTGCACTCGGTGATATGGTGCACTCGGTGATATGGTGCACTCGGTGATATGGTGCACTCGGTGTTAAACCACGTTAGATATTTATTCAACTTTCCTTTTGGGTTTGATTTGATTTATTGTACTTAGATAGTATTGTGTGTTGCTTTTATATATGATTATGTAGATTTCTATGTATATATGTATATGAGAGAGAGTATATAATTTAAAAATCTTCATTATTATCTATCTCCCATTCGATAAAAAACCAATCTAATCTACTCTGTCCCCTCCTTCCTCCCCCCCCCCCCTTTCGCTACCTTCCCCTCCTACCCTCCCCTCCTCCCCTAACAAATCCCCCCAACCCCCCCCACCACCCTCCCAAACCCCTGCTCCTCCTCCCCCACCCCCCTAACCCCTCTCTAATCCACCCCGCCAACTTCCCCTCACCCTCTCCCCCTAAATCTCTCATCCACCATCAAAATCCCCGCCCAATCCCCTTTATGTCTTATCGCCCTACCCACACTCTGATTCACCGCTCGCATACACACATTCTCAAAGAACTCCTTCGCTTCTTCTTTTGCTTTGTAGGCGATTTCTTCTCTGACCTCTTTCGGGATTTGAATTTCGATTCCCGCATTTCCTTCCCTCTTTCCCGTCTCCCCATTTTTATTTTCGTTCTCTCCGTGTTCCAACCTCGTCAAAGAAGAGGAAATCGAATAATCGCCCGATAACCGCTTAACAGCACTCTCCTCCACAAACCTCAACCGTCTCCTCCACTCCGCCGTCCTCGCATTCGGAAACGGCAATCCGACAATCACCACCGCTCTCCCCAACTCATCCGAGAAATTAATCCCCTCGCTCAATTTTCCCCCCACAACACTGAAAAGTAACCCTCCCTTTCCCTCTTCGATCGCCTTTCCATATCTCCTCAGTATCTCTTCCACACTTTCCTCTTTCGCTTCCCGCACTACCGTTTTCTTTTCTTCTAATCTCTGGAGGATGGATTTGGGTTTACTACTATGAATACCATTACTACTATGATTATGACTCACAACTGCAAACCTCGCCAGAATTGTATCCAAAACCCTATAACTGGGGAAGAAAACCACCACGCCCCCAGGAACAACCGTACAGACATTCACCAAGACTCTCCCCAACTCATCCATCATCTCCGCATTCGCGCGGTTTTCATACGTCCACTTGAAGGGGTATCCCGTGGGGCCTTTGGAGACGACACTCGCGAAGAGGTTGCTGGATGGGATGACGTGGCCGCAGGAGAGAGTGGTGATTTTGTGGGCGGGAATGGAGGGAAAGAGGATAGAGGTGTAATCTGAGAAGGGGGACATGGTTCCACCTGCGAGGATGACGGCGCGGGCGGAGGATACGATAGAGTCGAAGTGGATGGCCGGGTTGAGGAGTTGGAATTTGAGAGTAATGTCGGTATCGTGTTTGAGGAAGAAGAGTTGGCCTTCGGATGTGGGGTGGGTGAGGGCGAGGAGGAGAGATGTTAGGGTATGTAGAATAGGGGTTGATTTGGGGGGATCTTTGGGTTTGGATGTGGAGATCGAGGTTTGTGGTTGGGGTTGTGATGTTCGGATGTGGTCGGTGTAGGATTCGACTTTGCGTGCTAGTTTACTTTCTTGGAGATAGCGGATTAGTTTGAAAAGATCGATTTGATCGGCTCCTTTTCCGGATAGGAGATCTTTTTGAGAGACTACTCCATCTATTGCCTATTTTGTTTGTTAGCTTTCTTATACCTATTCATTCATCTCATTCTCCTTCTTCACAGCTCTCAAACTCAAAAACAACCTCCAAAAATAGGAGAAGGGGAAACAAAGAACAAAACCTACCGACCCCTCCAACATCCTCACCAAACAACCCACCAAACTATCCACCACCCTAATCGTCTGCGCCACATAAATCCTATTCTTCCCCCCCAACCTCTTCGCAAACTTCCTAAAATAATTCCCCAACATTTCCTTCGCCAACCTCAACTCCCCCAACTCCATCTCCGTCCCATAGATCCCCGCAATCGCATCCATCAAATTATGCGCCTCATCAATAATAACCACATGTCCCTTCAAACTAATCCCCAGCGCTTCCCTCGCGCTCTTCTGCAAAAGCAACGGGTAAGGCAATGTGACTACTTCCGCGGGTTTGATGGCAGCTCTCGAGGCATAGTATGGACAGATTGAGATTTCTTTCCCCAGAGAACCCATATCTTCGATATCGCGGATCGTAGCGAGTGTGTGATCGCGAAAGGTGTTGATGAGGGGTTTGTTATCTTTGTTGGGTAGATGAGGACATTTTTGTTCTTTGGGGGTTGAAGATTGTTGGAGTTCAGCGCAACGTTCGTTGATTGCGGTTACGGAGTTGAGTTTATTAACTTTGGGGTTTATGCAGAGATTTTTGCGGGAACCGAGGGTTAGATGCTTGAGGTGTTCGTGGAGGGGTTCTTTCTTTTCGCCTGATGATTTCGAGGGTGTGTCTGATGGAGGTATAGATGGTGGGAATTCTACTCGTCGGAGTTCGTTGATAAATTGAGTTAATTGAGAGTGAGTTCTCGAACAGTAGAATATCTATTACCTGTTAGTAATTAACATGAAACTATCAAAGTTCATAAAAACCTTTATCTCATCGTCTGGTTCCTCATCTTCATCTTCTACTCCTTTACTCCACAACCCAACGCTCTTCTTCAACTCCAACGTTTCTTTCGAGAAAATAGTCTCATCTCCCGTTCCTCTCTTCCCACTACCACCAGCCTCCCCATCACTATCCCAATCCTCTAATAGAAACTCGTCTTCATTCCCACCAGCACTCTCTCCCTTCATATCCCCATCTTCATCTCCCCCAATCTTCCTTCTCTTCCCACTCCTCCCATCACCTTTCCCATTCATCCTATCCCTCTCCTTCCTCTCTTTCTCTCTAATCCTCTCCAACCTCCTCTCCATCTCCTCCCTCCTCGAAACCAACTCCCTTTTCCTCCTCTCCCTCGCCGCCTCAATCACCCACTTCGGTTCTGTCGAGCTTGCTAAGCCGTCCCCACCCCCACCCCCCTCAACCACCCCCTCAAAAACCCTCCCCTTCCACCCCCTCAACCACGTCACCCCCCCACAAATCAAACTCAAGCTCTTCCCCGTCCCCGTCGGACTCTCCAAAATTCCAATCTTCCCCTCTTCCAATACCTCCCACACCGTTTGCATGAAAGTTTCCTGGATCGGATAGGGCGTGTACGGGTGATGAAAATCTCTTTTGCTGTTATGGATTTCAATCTCCGTATCCAGATCCGAGGTGATGTTGGTAGGGGATCCATTGTTTGCCGGAGGTGATTTTTGAAGATGATTTGAGAAATTGATCGATTGAGAGTCTGGTCATCAATCTCGGAAAAACTCGAGCAAGACCTCAAGACTAATAAGTAAGAGAGTTGTGAGTCCTAGATACCTAGTTTCCTTTTTATCAGTCTCTTAGCTCGTGGCTCGTGGCACGATGATATTGCAGTTTCCGAAGGTTACCCCGGTATTTTCAAGGGAGACGCGCTTTGTCCAAATTTCGATTTGCGAAGTCACGTCTTTTGGCGCAAAGTGCAATGAATTGACAAGTGGATATGTCTAGTAAGCAAGCATCTATTTCCATGTAATTAGGTACTGTTGGGAGATCGACTGACAGGTCCGATGAAATCATAAATTGTATATGCCCATGCAAGTATTTGAAAGGTAAGAGTTTATCATCTCGTTTGCATAGAGAAGCCATTGACGCTGAAGTACGGTTGTATTAAATCACTTCTTGAATCTCTCAAAAGCCACTTTTTGACAACCTTTGATACAATCAGTCCTAAAGGTAGAGTGTGCAAGCATGAATTAAGTCATCGAAATGTCATATGGATATTATGCCATGCCCGCTATCTAAAGTTACACTCATGATTTCTTATGCTCTCTCATCTATGCATATCATTTTCTACCCTCCCACCCCTCCATTCCTCCCATCATTCAAGTATCATGCACAGCCAGACGCAATATCCAGCTTATACAATCGTCTCCAACTCTCTAGCATAACCAAGGGTATTCTCAATAGCTGTCATACTAACTTCCTTCTCCTCGGCGACCTCTCCAGCTTCCACATTCACACCATTCTTCAACTTTTGGTTAGGGAAGTATATCCGTCCATCTTCAATCAACCATCCTCTGTGTTGCGCAAATTGTACTACTGCTCCTTCTGATGGTAAGAAGAGGAGGTTCTTTGTGGATGAAATAGGTAGGGATGGGTATGCTGTTTCGGAAGACGAAGCAATTTCAGAGCGAATTTGGTTGATCAAGATCTATTCGTAAGCGTTAGTTAGTAAGGTTCATAAAATCCACAGCAACAGCACATCCAACCTTGCGGCTGATTGAACAACAAACCAACTTACCTCACTGAAAACCCCATACTCCTCACTCGGCACCTTACCACCCTCCATTGCCTTCCAAACCAAATCATAACTTCCCTCCATCAACCATCTCTCCAACTTAATCGGATATCCCAAGTATTTATCTTCCTCGACCCTCTTTCCACCATCCTCCCTCAATTCCAAGCCCTCCAATTCCGTGTGAAAGCCCGCATAATCTCCCTGTGTCAACAACAACAAAAGATATAATCCTGTAATCTTATTCTTCTCTCCCGAGCTCTTGGCGCTAAATTTGTCGTCGGGAAGCTCGTAGTATGGAGTTAATTGATGAACGTAACGTGTGAAACCAGCTGGATCCTTGGCCCGAATGGAAACTAGAGCACCCGTTTCAAAGACTTCGCGAGCGAGAGATAATATCGAAGGTGAAGTTGTTGCTTGTGGAGTCAAGGCATTTAATTTGAGAAGTGTTAGTTTGGCTTTGGAGAGGAGTGACGAGCTCTCTTGGTAGGATGTTGATGGGGATTTGAGTTTTTGAATAATGGTTTGAAGGTCGCGTTCTGACATCTTGATTGTTCAAGTAGTAAGTTTGTTTATTCCGTCGTAAGATTTGGAGAGGAAATGGGTTGTTTGAGTGATAGGGCGAAGAAGTTGGTATAATTGTAATTCGAAGCTTTTGGAGATGGCAAGGTAGCTATGGAGCCGCGTTGATGGAAGCAACCTTAAGACGCTTAGTCATATATTATAACCTGAGGCTGGTCAAAGCTCATTCTGAAATCACCACCTGATTGGTTTCCATTTTTGGGTTATGTGTAAGTTCAGCTCATACAATTATTGGATACCTTTATATTATCCACCCTCTATTCTCTTCTGTTGCATATCTGGTTTATTTTGTTTACTCGTAAATACAAGCCAATCAGAATCAATGAATCACTCACTCACAATCACTCACAATCAGAATACTCATCATATCATAATCTGCAAACTCTCATTGCCATTCTTTCTTCCAATCATTCAAAACCATTCTAGTATGTATGCAGTATTTGCAATGATCTTTTGCCTTTTGCTCTGATCATATTACCTCATAAAAGAACTCCCCGCTTCCCAAATGAAGAAAAAGACAAAACAAACTCCCATATTTCCCAAATTTCCGTCGTTACCCTATTATGCAAAATCGCAGAGAGAGCGAATGAACTTTGTGATCAACTCCAGTTGTATTATAAGAAACCCCAAGGTCAAACTCTCTATGATACAATCGTGATATGTTCGGAGATGTGTGTGCAAATAAGTCGAATGTTGAGCGCTGATGTGTAAATGTGAACCGAATAACCAAGGGTACAAGAGAAGTGAAGATCGCAATTCGATTTATGTATGATGAAGTCCGAAAGATCCAATAGTTAGATAGTTAATCGACACTGCGAATCGAACCCCAAAATTGAGAGTCAAAATCATTGTTCACCAAACATTCCATCGATACCACCGCCGTTGGGTTTTTTTGTTGGAATGGTTCGACCCCCACCAATAGCAGCTAGATTTGGGCTCTTGTCACTTCCTGCGATGTTCCAAGGACTGCTTTTCTTTTGACTTCTTTCATCATCATCCATACCTTCCATGTTGAAGACAAAATCACCCTGTTCCTCATCAATAGGTGTTGTGAATCTGCCACTGCCACCAATACTACTTGAGCTAGTTTGTCTATCAGCTGCAAAAGGTGATCGACTTGAACTTGTAGGAGTAGTTGTAGTGCGCGCTGATGACGATGAAAGAAGGCTGGATCCGCTACCAATAGGTTCAGTTCCGGAAAGACGAGTTCGTTGGAGTTGCTGAGAAATCATAGACAGAGGGGTATGACGAGGAGGAGACGCAATGAATGAAGATGCATCACCAGATGTATTAGGTCGAGCAATTGCTCTAGAGCCAGGACTGGCTCCTTCATGAAGAAGGGAGTTGCGAAGAGGAGAGCCAACATGTCCAAACACAGACGCTCGAGAAATTTCTTCTTCCTTGGGTTTTGATTGAAAGTAAGCATTCCACCTTGAAGGACTTCCGTTTGATGGAGAGCCGAATTTTGTCGGGGTGTCATTGCTTGGGGTGTAAGATGTAGATCTGATCTCGTCGTAGAATCCTCGAGATGGCTTGGATTCGTCATACGCAGCCCGAGAATTTCTTCTAGCTTTCTCTGCGGGTGTCATAAGATCGTTGAGAGATTCTGGCAGTAAATCTTCTTCAAAGTTAAAAGCCTCACCCCAATCTTGCTCCTCGCGTCCCTTAGGAAGACTGGCTGATATCATCTTTGGTTTGTTCGATCGTTGAGAATGCATAGTGCGCTTGCCAAAGTATTCTTCGGATGGTGGAGATGATGCAATGCCATGGAATCGATCTCTGGTATCATCTCCGAATGCAGAGCTATGTAGGTTTCTCAAGGCATCCGATGGCTTTCCCCCACCGACTGATGATGCTGGAGGAGAATCGATACCAAAGGTCGTAGGAACTGAGGATGCAATCTTTCCATGTCTTGCAATCCACGAAACACCATTACTATCGAAGGAAGCTGGCAAAGGAGCATCCAACACACTCAAACCTTTTGCTGCAACTGGCGAAAGTCCCCCACCAAATCGATCCATTATATCATCTCTAGGCGATCCATAATTTGATCCGGGATGCGAGGCATAACTCGCTTCGATCGTAGGGATACCGATATCAATACCTTGCTGCCTGCCAATCATGGGAACAAATCCATCCTCTTGTATGGCAAAAGGTGAGTAAGGTTGACCATATGGTGAAGGCGGTACACCTTGAGCTCGAGCAAAGGAAGTGGTTAAAGCCGAGCCTTGTCCATGATATGGATCTGGGTTTATTCGTCCTCCAATGTTTAGTCCCGGAGCCATCGGTGGCATATTTTTACTATAATTGATTCGTCTTCCATCGGGGAGAACGTGTATATTTGCGCATTTAGGTCCGAACTTGCAGTTACCCTTCGCAGAAGATTAGAATCCTGATTTGACTTTGTGAATAGAATGTAATACCTTTGAGAAGTATTTGCAGACATTATCAGTTGTGCTAGCTAGATCGTGACTGAAAGGACAAGCTTGACCAGCTATAGATTACTTATTAGTCGAAGGCTCCGGTGGTGGTGATGCTTCAGAATACATGACATACCTTGACAAGTACCCTAACAATTTTCAACCATCAGCAACTCGATCATTTCTCGTAGATTAGAAGCATGAAACTTTACTCACTTGTCTAAAGAATTTACACGGAACATGACCGGTATCTATGCAAGGCCGCATTAGCAACGTCATCAGCAACAAGTCCCCGGAAGCTTTCAATTCTTACTTTGTCTAGTAGGAGGACTTCTTGCAACACCATCTGCTCTAGCAGAACCACCATTGATAGGACCCGATTGACCATTTGGAATATTTAAGCTACCGGTGCTCATATGACGAGGATATTGAGTGTTGGAGCTGCTGCCATTTCGCATATGCTGCGGCTGCGGCGGTTGTGGCGCTCCGTTACCCAACATTGTATCCATGCCCGAAATCTTTTTGGATGGGAATGGAGATTAGAAAAATGGAATGTAGATATGATTGGAAAATTTATGTTGTTGTTTAAAAGAGTTGGATGCGGTCGGCGGGGTACAAGACAAGGTGAGGTAGGTGGTGGATGTTGGATGGTGGATGGTGGGGGGATTATTGATCGAGGGTCGTGTGTGGTGAAGAAGAACGAAAAGAAGGATGGAGGTTTCAAGATTAAGAGTAGATTGATTGATTGATTGATTTGACTTGATTTTAGCTTTGGATTTCTCTCTCTATCTTAGCCTCGTGTAGGAAAAAAAAAGAGGCGAGAGGATAAGGAAAGTTTTGATAGTGGAAAGAAGAAGGGAGAAATAGTCAAGTACTAGGTAGTAATTAAGTAGTAATAGTAGTAGTAGTAGTAGTAATAGTAGTAGTAGTAATAGTAGTAGTAGTAGTAACAAGTAATAAGTAAGCAAGTTCTTGTTTTTGATAGATTTCTTATTCCTTAATTTCTAATTCTTTCGAGTCCTTGTCTTGTTCTGGGTTGTCTGGATGTTGAAGAAATCAGATACGAGGGAGGTAGATAATGTAGGTATTAGGTAGTGTGATTTGTAGTGTTGGTACCTAGGTATTCCAAGGTTGTATCTTCAATTCATGGATGGTGGATGATCAAGTATGATGGATAGATAAATCGTCAGAGAGATAGTCAGGTAGATTCTACCTAGGGAGATCAATGATACCCAGATACTCGTAGATATGATACAATATGAACGAAATACTCGGTATGTATAATATGAGGTGTGCAGAGTACCTAGTATGAGGCAAGTATGAGGCAAAGATGGCTGTGCAAGCATAGAATGGCTGTACCACCTGCAGCATTCAATCCATCTAAAAGTGTCGAGGCTGAAATAACTTCGGACTGCTAACTTCTGGGGAAAACAAGCCTTATGGTAATCTGGAAAGTTAACAGAGGAATAATGAAACCTTGAATCAATGAATCAATCCTTTCTTATTGTTCTCGATTCTCGATTGACCCGACTGACAAAGAGGAGAGTTTCGACTTTCGAGTTTCGAGTTTGCTTGGCTTGGGTAACCTTATGGTCGTGCGTTTTGGTGTCATGTAAAAAGTGTGGTTATGGTGGCACGCCGTCCGTATCCCCAGTATGTTTCTGGACTAACAAATTGCATGTGCGAGGGACGGAGACTCGAAGATGATGTCCAGGAGATGTCCAGGAGATGTCAGACCGCTTGTTGGTGAAGTCTCCTAATAAAGATTCCAAGCATGAACTATGAGTATAAGGTTCAAGATTGATGGAGATAGCGCAATAGACATTCACTCATTGACCCCCGTCCGCCTGATAATTGCGCAAGAATATACTTTGGAGTCTTGGAGGAGGAGGAGGATGGGGGTACAGGTTGATAACCGAGGATCTGGGCTGGGTCTGGGCCTTTCTTGGTTTCTCCTGGTCGACGGTTTGGATCATTCCCGATAACATCCAAGCAAGACTTATTTGGCCATGAGATACTATATGTACTTCATCACAGCCTGAGAATAACAGAGGAATGATATATAATAACAACCGAGATTCTCATAAAATTTCTATCCGACTTGATTATTGGCCAGAGAATGATGATTCACATAAAAATGTCCCGGGTGGCGGCGTCGACCTACTTAGTACCTACACATCTCATCAACCATCTCACCGTCCCAAACAGGACTCCGGTGTGTAAAAGCGCTTGAGCAGGAAAACAATAACAAGTCTCACTTCATTTCCTAGTTGACGTTGATACAATACAACACATCAAGTCTATCTACCAGGTACCTAGGCAGAGCAGGCAGGTATGTATGGTAAACCCGACCCCGTGACTTCTAATCTCCAGCAACAATATCATCACACACCCAACCACCTCTTCAACTAATGATCCAAAACATGAATTAATCTAATCAATTATGCCCAAATAAGTATATACTACCTCAATAGATACTAGATACACACCCCATTCCATCGATCCATAATATCCAACATCCATCATTCTCTCCCCCCAAAAAGTCTCTTATCAGCTGCCATCCATCCAAACTCACAAGCACGCAAGTACCCTTCCAAAATGTATACATCACCATTATGTCGCAAGCCGATCAACCATGCAGAAAGGATCCAATTCCATCTTCATCAAGTAAGACATACATGGCATCCATACCAGAATAGAAAGATCGATCCATCTTGCCACCTAATCGGACACCCAAGTAATCCATCACTTGCGACGGTAGGTCAGAATCTCCTAGCCGCTGATAGCGCAGTGGGTGTAGTGTTTCAGAATGTCCATACGGATACGAAACCATCCATCATCCATCATTCATTCATCACAGATATCAATCTCATTCCATGAATTCCCATCATGGGAATTGGGGGTTCGTGACCAATGATTCATACGTTTGATCCCTTGGGAGAGTGCATTTTGATGCCTGTCTATCGGTCTGCATATCTGAAGCATGCCCTGTACAGAATACTTACATACCGCCTATCTACCTATCTACACATCCGCATACAGAAATGAGAGAAGCTTAAAAACCATGCAAATACTCATCAAATACCATCCCACCGTATCCGAATACCTACTAACATCATTCATTCATTCATCATTCATTCATCATTCATTCATCATTCATTCATCATTCATTCATCATTCATTCATCATTCATTCATCATTCATTCATCATTCATTCATCATTCATTCATCATTCATTCATCATTCATTCATCATTCATTCATCATTCAATCATCATTCAATATCCATCCACACATCCATCCATTCCCAAGCACCAAGAATGGCGGGAACCCAAGTATCAGATGATATAAATCCGATCCGATCTGATCTAAACCTTATTAAACGAGTTCGATTTCTCCGAAGCGATATCGATATGCATACCCAAGACTCCCAAATACTTGATAAATAGTAATCATTCAATATATGTATATACCTAGATACCTAGTATACTTCTTTACATAGGGATGGATACCTACCTACCTAGTACATATCCAAACAAGCAAAGTTGACTCCCAGCCTTAAACCACACAGCCAAGAATCATTAATATGGATGTCATCGAGTTCGAATCATCAGCCACATTTTTTCTCAATCTCAATCTCAATCTCTCTCGCCTCATCATTCATTCATCATTCATTCTATCTTTTGATCTCCGTACCTACCTACCTACCTACCGATCAGTCCACGGGTATCCTATCCCATCAGCCGCTCTAGCCACACATCTACCCATCCATCCCATTCATCCCATTCATCCCATCCATAGATCTCATCTATTACAAAGCATTCTTCAGTATGTAGGTAACTTACAATACCTACCGATATCATATCACATATCACATGTCACACAATCCACCCCTCTATCTCTATGTCTCATCCCATCCATCCCTCATCCCTCATCCCTCCATCAAGCCCCCAGTCCAACCCAACCAAGAATCTATAAACAAACACCTACCTAGGTAATTGATACAGCTCTAAAATCAGGCAAACGAGAATGAATGAATGAATGTTCATGTGGATAGTATCACACATACATACAGGGACACACACACACACTCACATCCACTCACATCCACACACTCACACACACATTCATCAACCCAACCCAACTCTGGAGATAATTCTCCGCTTCGATATCGGTACTGACATCGGTACTGATAATAGTATACCTATCCTATATACCTAAATATACCGCTTACCTAGATCCGACCAGATCAAGTGAAGCTGGGTTGGGTTGGGTTGAGTTGTACAATGGATACCTACCTAGTTACCTATACAAAAGAGATATGGAGTAGACATATACCTACCTATAGATGATAAGATTACATCATCAGACAAAAGTACTTGGTGACTCTAGCAGTCTCGATATCAGTATCGCGTAAGCTGGTGTATATTGTATATTGTATATTGTATATTGTATATTGTATATTGTATATTGTATATTGTATATTGTATATTGTATATTGTATATTGTATATTGTATATTGTATATTGTATATTGTATATTGTATATTATATATTGTATCTAGATAGGTAGGTAGGTACCTGTATCTCTGCTTTTTTTGTCTGCTTTTGTTTTGTCTGCTTTGTTTTGTCTGCTTTGTTTTCTCTGCTTTTATTTTCTCTGCTTTTGTTTCATTTCATTTAATTACTTTCCATCTGCTTTCCCTATTCGCGATATACATACCTACCTAGGTATCTATACATACACACAATCTCACACAATAAACACCAAGTAGGCAAATCAACATATCTAAATTCACTCTTCATATCTATCAAGAATATCAAACACCATGCATTATTACTATTACGAATACTATAAAAAATAGATGATACTAGGTATCTTCCATGATATATTAATATAGTATATTATATATAAAAGTATTAGATATTCAAGTAAAGAAATTGATCAATTTAGATCGAATATTTATAGTAAGTATTTATTACAAAATAAAAGAAAAAGAAAAAGAAAAAGAAAAAGAAGAAATTCTTTATATTTATTTGATATTGATATTGATATTGATATTGATATTAATATTGATATTGATATTGATGTTTACGGATTATGGTTTTATATCATAGCTATCATATCTATTACGTGATATATGGAGTTCAACACTATATAAATTCATTTCATGGATATGAGTAACTATGGATACACTAATTCGAAACCCCTTTCCTAAGTCATAGGACAGAAAGTAGAATGTAGAATGTAGAATGTAGAATGGAGAATGTACACCGGCACCACTGGTTTTCGTTTCGTTTAGGAAGAGGCGGGTTATAGAGGGATGTAAGCAATACCTAATTACTACCTAGATAGGTAGAGATGATTAATTGGTATATCTCATCATTCCGAAAGTTCAGGAATAGTTGGTGAATATCATATTATATCATATCATATCATATATCCCAGCTAGTTCATGGCTAAGAAAATAAAATGGGAAGATTTCTCGAATTTGAAACTCTATTTGCAAAAGGCTTGAGAGTCCTTTTTCTCGTCGGCATTCTATATTGAAAGGTGAAGTATACGTGACCTCTGATTGGTATATCTTTTCCAAGTGCCAGATAGTCTATGAAGAAACCAAGTGACTAAATTAGTAACAGTTGATCATTTATCACGTGTAAACAACTATATTCGAGACTAAGACTGGATTCATCGTCATAGAAAATAAGAGAACAGATATGTATGATTCATCCATCCATTTCATTTTCTTCGCTCATACTTTCCCACATAATATAAAGTCATTCCTCTATCCTCAAAGCTTTCCGCTGTATAACACACCAATCAACATCCATCACAATGAATCCTCTTCGAAAGCTCCTTGTCCTATTCCGAAAGCCTCAAAAACCCACTCCTGCACCGCGACCCGATGCCTTATCGTCTTCCATTCTAAAAGCGCGACCCGATGCCTTACTATCTTCCACCCTAAAACATATACCAGTAGACATCCTCTTCCATATCATGGGCTTTCTCCCTCTCGAATCCGCAGTAATTTTTTCCCTTTCCTGTCGACAACTCAAAGAAAAACTCGGAGGTGAATACTTCTCAAGAATCGCTTCCTCAAATGAACACACACTTGCACTCTTGAATCTTATAGTCCTCGATCTACCAAACTGCGTTGCTTGTTCTGCCTGCAATCGACTGCACAATATGGAAAATTTGCTCAGATATTGCTATATAACCTACAGTGCTGGGAGTACAACACGTCGGTTCGATGGGTTGCGTCTTCCAGCTTGTGTGTCTGAGGATTGGGGGAGATGTAGTAGTATAGTTAGTACTCTTTTTGGTTCGACTGCGGTCAAGATGGCTTTGAAAAGAGCGCATCAGAATCCCGCGTGTACGGAACTGGCGACGATGATGTCCAGTCCGAGCGTGAGGATGATTGACTGGGAAAAGTATGTACGACAATATAGAGAAGAATGTCGTATTGTTCAAGGGCATCTGATGCATCGGTTGCAAAGTGTATTCATTTCTGATGGCGGTGAAAAACACACTGCGTTTCGAAGTTACTTCTCTCCAGCAGAGACGATATGTACGCATATTAGATTATCGCCCCGTTCTTTCTTGGATGCTGTCGGTTTTGGGGTGATGAGATGTGAGAGATGTCCTACGGAATACAGGATTGATATTGTGTATTGCGAAGGTCTTGGATGGGGAAGATTCTACACTAGATGGATGGACTTGGGATCTGAGCCGCAAGGGGAATTGTGGAGTCAACATCTTCCGCCGACAGAAGAAACGCAGAGAAGACTACTGAGAAATCTGCTGGAATGGAGAGTTGGCGTTAAGACTGACAAGACAGCTCAAGATGAAGTAAAGGTTCCACCAAAGGCTGGAGAGTTATGTTCTGCTTTCGAGGGTGGTGAGGACTTCAAATTCGACTCACTCTTGACACCGGAGAATCAAGCCGAGTTCTTGCAATTCAGAGAGCTGTACTGCAGAAAGTAAGGTAATTCAAAATAAGCTACATCTAGCCTTCCAGGCTACCAGTCTAAATTATTAGACACCATGCTATCACTGTTTTGAAGCTCCGAAATAACACGCTGTTTCAACCGCATTCGATGTACAAAACGACTTCGGCACATCAAGAAGTTTTATTGTTCACATTGATGTTGGGTCTTGGACAATGGTTCCAAAATCAATGACCTCGAGCGGCAGCAGATGACTCAAGCGGCAGCCCGAAGTTGTACGTTAAGCTCTGCCATTTCTGGCGAGTCCTCTGCGAAAGGAACGCGGGAGCTGGTGGCGGCGGCGGCGGCGGAGGAAGAGGCGAAGCCCCGGAAACTCGCCAACCCATTCTGTCAAAAGCGAAAGGGGCAGCACAAAGTACTGCCAAAACAGTGAAAATGGTGGCCACAGTGACTATAAAGATGGAGTTTGCCTCCAGCCTCTCCGAAATCCAGAGAGAACCCTGCGGAAACCTTCCTAGATACCCTCATCCAACAATTCCTTACTATTCGTGTCCCTTCGTGGTACATTAATCCTATTTTTACGGTTATTCTTTCGAATTGTGATGTATATAGTATTATAAAAAGTACTATGAAATTGGCGTTCGCTCCTGGCCTCTCCGAAAGTCAAGGAGAACCCTGCGGAAACCTTCCTGGATACCCTCATCCACCAATTCCTCTCTATTCGTGCCCCTTCGTGGTACATAAACTCTCTATTCGTGCCCCCTCTTGGTACATTAATCCCATTTTTATGGTCATTCTTTCGAACTGTGATGTATATAGTACTATAAAAAGTACTATGAAGTTGGAGTTCGCTCCTAATCTTTTCGAAACCCTCTCCGATCCTCCCCCCTCCCCCCCTCTCTTTCCTTTTTCGGGTCTCCACCAATCGCTGGCGGCAGTCGTTTTTGGGCCATTCATGTGGTTTTGATGGAGAAATAAGGGTGCCCCCTCTCTTTCCTTCTTTAAATCTCTCCCCGTCGCTCGCGGTCCTTATTGAGCCATTTATGTGTTTCCTTTCGTACCATCTCGGACAAGGGTAGATGAGTGCCCAACGACACCCAAAAGAGCTCGGAACGAGCCCACGGCATAAAGCCGATCCAATTCCAATTCATGGCATAATGTCGAGAAGAGAAGAAAAGACAAGTAAATATACCCTCTAGGGAAAATGAGCCCATGGTATTAAGCCAATCCAGTTCCAGTCCATGGCGTAATGCCGAGAAGAGAAGAAAAGACAAGTAAAAATACCCTCGAGGGCAATTATTCGAAGACGGGTCCGTGGGACGAGGGAGGGAGGCCTAGGTGGGACCGGGCACCAACAGAGACAGCCAAATTTGGCTATAGAATAGCCCAATTTCTGAGCTCAACAAATATCAATAGGCATTCTACTGGTTTCATTATTTAAATAAGTCTTATAGCGAGACTTATAACCCCCGCTAGCAGAGGTTCCAGGCCCCACATATAATTTGGGGGGGACCCCGATTTCGCTCTGAAGAGCTAGATGCTCCTGAAGAACGTCGAATTTTGTGGCGAAACTTGAGAAAAGTTCAGGGAACTAAAGAAGAGTTGTCATTTAGAAGTGTAGTTATTGATGAAGACTAGAAAGGAAGTTGGAAGCTTCGCTTCCAACTTATACGAAAAACTAGCTAAAGCGGCTAGTATAGCCGGTTACGTGCCCAGAGGGTACGTGCGCCCTCACAAAACTTATACTAGACTAGCTTAAGCTGGCATTATAAGCAAGTTGCCTCTGTTCCGGGCTACCTTGGGTAACCTGGGCACTCATCTACCCTTTTCCGAGATGGTTCGAGGGGAAATGGAGCTTAGCTTCGAAGAGCTAGATGCTCTTGAAGAACGTCAAATTGTGTGGCGAAACTTATACTAGCTAAGCTGATATACTCTTTCCGTTTTGGGGAGTATTGATATCCTGAATGGGAAAGAACGATCACGATTTGGCTCATATCAGACTTGATTGTCTGAGTCGCGGTTAAATAATGAGGAGGTTTGGGTTGCTGAGCCTTGTTGGGGAAATGGATGGGTTTTGATTGTTGAATATACTATAAACATTGAATACCTTTTAGATATTGAATAGATTTCGAAGATTGAATAGATTTTGGACATTGAGTAGATTTTGAATATTGAATATGTTTCGAAGATTGTTTACACTTCAAACATTGGAACCCTTTTGGTACAAAGAAAGTATGAAAGAGAGACAAAGTTCTTATTTGTATTAGATAAGGCTATTTATATATGGGTGCGTTAGTGTTTAGTATACCAAATGCCCCCCTCGAGAAAGTTTTTCTATATCTTTATAGGATAAAGCAATAAAACTAAAGCTATATCTTTCAAGCATAAGTATAAATAAGACTTCACCACAAGCTTAAAAGCATTAGTGTTCTGCCTATAGCTCAAAGCGGTTGACAATAAATGACGCCCTCAGGATGTGGGCTATTTCGATTCTGGTTTATCAGAAGAATTTGGTGGTGGAGATTGTGCTATTGTTGGGAAAATATAGTATGGTGTAATGTATATTTGTTTACAGATTGTATTAAAGAATATGTGTTGGGGGATCGGGTATCTATAGTGTTTGCGAATCTGTATATGTGTTTCCAAGGCGAGGCTTTGTTTTGGTTTACTGAAGAATTGGATTTGCTAGTCAAGTGTGGTTTAATGTATATATCGGATGGTGTGGAGCAATGGTGTAAACTACTTATCATATGTTTTAAGGATTCGGTGTCGGAGGCTTTGAAGAAGCTCCAACGAGAGAGGTATACAACTAATGACGCTCGTGAGAACAGAAGTGTGGACTTGCTACAAATGGTACGAAGAAATTGTGAAAGAGAAACGAAGTTCTTATTTGTGCTAGATAAGGCTATTTATATATGGGTGCGCTAGTGTTTAGCATATTACCTTTTAAACATTGGAACCCTTTTAAACATTAAAGAGACTTCAAATATTAAATACATTTTAGATATTAAATACATTTTAGATATTAAATACATTTTAGATATTAAATACATTTTAGATATTAAATCAATTTCAAATATTGAATACATTTTAAACATTTTGAACATTTCAGATACTCACTCCATCTTAACAATCAACTCTCATAAGCAATCGAACATCCAATCCATCTTAAAAACTAAAACCATCCCCAACCTTACTTTCTCATCCCCTAATCTTCCCTACCTATAGCAATAACCTTACTTATCTAGATACTCGCCCATCATCTTCTAATACACTTAGGTACTTACACCATTCCAATCCCTTAATCCTTCTCTCTCCAACCTCTTCCAGCTCACCCCCATTCCTTTCTTCTCATTTATAACATCCCAACAATCCAAAATCCAATCCAAATCTCTCTCACTCTCATAACACCACCAATTCCTCATCACTTTCCTCTCCAACCCCAACCCCAATTCTCATCTACTCAAACTATCTCCCTCCAATCTCCTCATTCTTATCTTTTATTACCTAGTATTCTTACAAATAACAAACTCCATTACCTACTTGCAAATGGAATCTCATCTCTATACTCCATCCATCTCCATCTTCCACTACCTAGGTATCCAAACAGAATTCAAACAATCAAAATTTCCTCATGGTCTATAAATCACTAGGTATCTATCATTGACCATCTAAGATAACCTACCTAATACAATACCTTCATTTAGTCAATATATTCACCTATATATATATATATACTCATCAACAAACTTATAGAATCAGAATCACTATAAAAATCATTCCAACCCATTCCAGCTCCTCCTCTCAATTTCCCTCTCCCACCAAATCCTCATCACCTCTTCAATCCCCCCTCAAAAAAAATCAAAAAAACTCCAAAGAACATCCATCCATCCCTATAAAAAAAAACAGAAGAAACACACCCTCATAGCACATCTCAAAAATACGTCTCTCAACAAGCGACATAGTAGTAACAAGCAAAACCCGCGGGATAGCAAGATTGTGACAAGAAGATATCGATATAAATCCCACTTAGCTTTTGTTGTAACTTCCAAGGTTCTATCGAAACTATTGGGTATCGATCTAACGCGACTCGGATAGGTTTGCACATTCGAAGAACCTCAATCTACCTACTTGAAGAAAATCAAACAAGCATGTCAAGGACTAAAAAGGTGAAAAGGGATCAATATATACATATATATATATCGATGACTAGATGATTTAATCCCGTCTTGATATTTAAACCACTTGGCTTTGGAAGGGAGAAGGGATGTATCACTTGTTATTGATATAACAAGGGTTTACAGAATAGTCATCTTCATGTCTTTGATGTGAAGATTGATCTCCTGTATTGGCTTCATATATATACAGTAATGATGCTAAATCAGCTATGTATTAAACACTGTGCGCCTTCATGATCCACGGATGCCATTTGATATCCCTCCAGGTCCTGGTTTCCTCAAGATTTTTCCGGATAGAGCATCTCTGGTCTTTATGCCCATCCGATCCTCATACACAAACAAATCTACCTTCAAGCAAAACAACAAGCAAATATCCCCCTTCAAGTCTTGAACATGCGATCCACCCTCAAAACCACAACTCCCCCTCCTCATCCCCCTCAATTCCCGCCTTCTCCCAAACATCCTCCTTCGACATTCCCTCCAACAACAGCCCCTCCACACCCTCAAACCCTCTCTTCCTAACCCCCCTCATCTTTCCCCAATACGTAAATTCCCTCTCCACCCTCCCCACCTCCTCCTTCCTCACAACTTCCTTTCCCTCCCTCAACCCCCTCAACCTCTCTTCCTTCTCTCTCTTCCCCTCCTCCAATCTCTCAATCTCATCTTTCAATTCCTGGACCCCATTTCCTTTTTTAACCCCGCAAGTTGTATATTCAATTTCCTAGCATCCATTTTCAATTCCGGCAATCTACCCTGCAGATCTTCAATCTGAGAATCCATTTCTGCGAGTTGTTCGGGAGAGAGAGAAGAATTGGGATCTTGAAGGCCCAGTATACCCACTGTGAGCCCTTTCCATCGCCATTCGTACCTTTTCCATTAATGAGACCGGAGTTACAGAGTTCTTTGAGGAGTTTGTCGGTGAGGGTTTTGGTTACCTGATGGGGTGTTGGTTGTTAGTATTCATATGTTCTATGGTGGGGTGGATGTAGTATGAGATTGAAAGGATTAAGGGAATGTGAGGTGAGATGGGATGGGATGAGGTACTGCGACGAGATAGACGAGACGAAAATAGAGGGAAATACATACCTTCCCATGTAAATTTCCACTAATATCCCCCGCACTAAAAGGTCTATTCTCCCTACTCAAATATTCCAACAATACCTCTTGTGCCTCATCACCCGTCACAGCTTTCACTTTCTCCTTGCCATCTTTACCTATAACTTTAGTATCTTTCGTTTCCTTATTTTCCTTCGTCTCCTTGACTTCCTTAATCAGCCCCTTTCCTTTCACCTCTTTATCTTTAAGTGGGACCTTTTCTTTAATAGAAGCTTTGGTTTTAGGAGGAGCTTTAACTTTCTCGACTTTCTCTCCTTTCTCGACTTTAGGTTTTTTAGCCTTGGGTTTAACCGGCGTAGCGGATGCGGTAGAAGGTATAGATGCAACGGATGCGACGTCGAAGTTGTCATCTGGGGTGGGAGATTCGGTTGAGGACTCAACGAGAGACTTTTTGCGTTTGGGTGGCATGGTGATGGTTGTTTTCGAGTGTTGTTTGAGAATCGAAAGTCTTGATTATCAAGGTGAGTGGTATCTGATATGGTCGAGTCGTGAAGATGATTAACGAGTATTGTGTTCGTAATGATTGTGAATGAAAGATATAAATGTCTTGTAAATCCACCTGGTCCTAACTTTCTTGAAGTAAAAAGAAGATAGAAGAGACGGACAACTCCCACTTCAATTCCTCTTACACCGACAAGTCGACTGGCGCAGCTGTGCGAGAATAGCACGCAAGATTACAAAAACCAATATAACCGCATGGAAAATAATCATCAAATGGATGAAAATACCTCTCGAAGTATAGGCCGACATGAATTCTCAACTTCCCCTCGAAGATCTCAATAAATCTCTTTCAAACCTCAACCCCACAACCTCAAAACAACAAATGTAACCCCAATGAGAATAAAAACGAGTTCCAACGTATCAACAACCAACAACCAATCGAATCCCATAAATAGAATGGAAATGCGCATTGAATCTTTCTCTCTCTCTCCTTTCTCTCCCTCTCTCAATATCAAAGACGTGTAACACAGTATAAGAATCAAACTCAACACACCACCTCACCAAACAACCTCAAGATAATAAAAGCGATCGTCACAAGAATGAAAACAAATTCCAGTGTATCAATCGTGAGAACCCAGTAATAGCGGAAAAAGAGAATGGAGATGCGCATTTGATCGATTCCTCTCTCTATCTTACTCTCTCCTCTTCTCTGCTATCCGCTCTAACTGCCTGAAAAAGAAGGATGAGAAAGATGAATGAGACAATGAGTAGGTATGCGTATAATATCAAAGAAAAGTATCAATCTGTAACTTATAAGACTACAAGAGAAAAATAAACAAATTCAAAGTATTCCCATCTGAACTTCAAAGTTCAAAGTATATAGAAACTCAATCTGACTCATATACCGTAGTGGTGAAATGAAATGCGCAAGGAAAAGTCAACTCAATTCGACTCGAGTTTCATCCTCTCCAAACCACGCTAACCCTAATCCATTCATCCATCATTTTCAAGCTTCACTTCACTTCACTTGAGCCACCAAGAAAAGATAGAAATTATGCTCTTTCCGAGGAAAAGGAAAGAAGGAAATGGAGAGAAAGTAAGAGAGATTTGAATACTAAGGATATTATGTAAAGGGTATCATATTATTTCTACTAAGAAATGCGTCTCTTCCTAGTTCAAATCCTATTTTTAATCCCCTTTCCCAGCTACCTTAGAATTCACCTATCAAAAATCTTCCATCTTTACCTACTATAGAAGCCTAGATCTACTACACATTGCAAGGACCAAAGTATCTCCAAATCGAACGAAATCCATATCACTTAAGTAAATGCTATGCACGCACCCAATATATATATATGCGCAAAAACTCATGCTCTAATCAAAGAAAATTATTCACAATGCGGGTTCGCAAATAGTCATGCTATATAATTCCCTCCCAAATATGAATCCCTTAGAACTGTAAAGCGCAGTTACATAACGACCTGCAAAATTATTAGTAACCATATCAAACAGAGCTATAATGAATTGAAAACTTACACAGTCGCCTTCACTCTTGGTTTGTGGAATACCCATTTCCTCAAAAGTGGCAGGTCCTTTCTTAGCAGGAGCAGATGGTTTTGGTGGAGCTGCAACTGGAGTAGGAGCAGGAGTAGTAGGAGCTGACGAGACAGAAGATTGTCTCGAGTCTTGCGGAGACATTGGATTACCAACTGGTTTTCTGCTTGCTGTAGAGGAAGCAGCCGAAACTGGCGTCATGGAACCGCCTCGTGGGGGTAAGACGTTCTGACCAGGTCCTGGTCTGGAACCATATGCAGATTGTTGAGACTGAAACGACTGGACGGATTGTGCAGTTCCAGGCCTTGATCCAGAAGTTGGAGGTCTTTGCTGTGGATTCTGATAACCAGATTCGAAACTCATTGGAGGAATATTTGGAGCGCGGTTGGGTGATGGATTGCGACCTTGTGGAGGCATTTGACCCATAGGAGATGATGATCGTATAGGCTCTGTGTTTTGATGTGTAATTCCCAAATGAGGTGGTTGTTGCTGAGAGCGAATACCAAAAGCAGAAGATGGTCGATCTGATGCTGGGTTCGAACTTGAGGTTGATGGTCGTAGTCCATCTTGTGGAGGATATCTCGGAGATCTGGGAGGGTTACCATTACCGCGATTACCAGGACTGTAGTCATCCTCTGGATATGGTGCAATAGAGATTGGACGAATACCCGCAGGTGCACCCTTTTTAACCTTAGGCTTTTGACTGTGCACAGGAGGAGTTGGTGAGGAGTAATCTTCTGCCATAGTTGGCATTGGTGGAGCATTAGCTTGCGTAAATCTCTCCGGCCTGGCTCCTCTTCGAGAACCGTGCGTTGACTTGATACGTTGAATCGCCGCTCCATGGTCACCCTTGGAAAGTGTGTGGTTTGCTCTAATGCTATCGATTCTCCCAAGAGCATCCTGGTTACCGTGCTTGGCAGCCTTGTCATACCATTGTGAAGCTATTTCGAGATTTTTCTTGACATACATTCCAATCTCATAGAAGTAGCCCATAGCGAACTCGGCTGTAGCCATTTCTGTCTCAGCCGCACGTTGCGCATATGTATAAGCCAATTCTTCATTCTTCTCGAAGATACCCTCATAGCCACAAAGGAACCATTTACTGATGGCCATATCGGCTTCGGGCTCTCCTTGTCGGGCAGCAAGAGCGTTATAATGTAAAGAAAGTGCAGGGTCAAATTCGCAGCCAAATAGACAAAGTTCGTAAGCTTGAGCCATCTTGAGTTGTGCTTTGGCAAATCCGAGATAAGCGGCCTTTTCTACGAACATTTTGGCTTCGTTCAAATCATACGGTAAGTATTCATCAGGCATGGTAATGTTTGGCAACTCTCTGGCGAGTAACATTCCGTAAACGTAGGCACCTTGAGGGGCATTCTCGTCCGCAGTGTCGGCTGCAAATTGTATCAGATCTATACCTCTTGCATAATCTTGTTGCATGCCACATTGACCGAGTAAGGTAGCCATTCCAAGCCTGTAGTTTGCCGCGGAATCCTTCAAGTATACACCTCTTTGATAATGCTCAACGGCCTTGGTAGGGTTCATGGTATTCTCGAATTGCATTCCGATTCGGTATTCTGCTCGAGCATATCCTTTTTGTGCAGCTCGCTGGTAACCTTGGAACGATTCCTTTTTATCCATTCGATACCCAAATTTACCAAACTCTAACCACATCGCCTTCATGAATTCTGCCTTTGGATGTTGCTGTTCTGCGAGAAAGTTGACGATGCTTATAGCGTCAACTCGTAATTGATGTTCAATCTTGGGTGTTGGGGCTCGCGAGTCGTCGTTCTTTCGCTCGTAAGTAGAACTGGCTACCTCTACCCAGGACAGCGCATCCTGAGCCCATGCCAACTGCATTTCTGGGTCGCTAGACTTCAAAACCATGGGTCTAGCTCTCTCCAAAACTTCCTCTTTATCTTCATCCGATAAAGGTACGTTCTGACCTGCGTTTCGGGGTTTTGGAAATGGTGAAAACCTCGGGGAATCAGGCTGGACTCGTGGCGTACCATAAGGCCCCTTTAAATTCTGATATATAGCCGCATTTGTATGTTCGTAGTTTGCTGTGTAGCCCGGTCCGCTGTTTCGATTGCTATAACTCGACCGCGGCGATTCGCTGGTGTGCTGTGAACTGTCATTATACATTGATTGACTAGAAACACTTGAATGTGAGCTTACTCGTCCATCTGAATTCAGTTCCAGATTTGCAAGATTATCTTGCATATTATGTGGTACCTCTGGCATGATTCTATACTTCTCATTAATGGGCGTTCATCCCACCTCGATGTTTGTCGGATGAAAGTGGCAGAATGGCACACCATAGCCATAAACCATTTTCCTTTCTCAAATCGAACAATGAAAAATAAAACCGTACCTTTGTGGCATTGGAGACACTACATTAGTAGTAGGCATATAGTAGTCGTCCCCTCCTCCTGGATAGAAGGTCGCCCCCAGATTGGGGTTCTGTTGATACCCCCCACCATAACCGTTCATATTGTTATTAGAATTTGGAGTTGTAGGATTATTGAGACTGGCGCTGCGAGGAGGAGGCTGATACGCTTCTAAAATCGAAATAGAATTATTAGCTAGATTCCGAGATGTTTATGAAGATGGTCTGAAATTTGCGACAGTCAAGTCGAGGCAGATGTTGTGAATCTTATGAGTGAGTCGCAAAGAGATAGAAATAAGAAAGCCGTGAGTGAGTGCTAGCTGGGCTGGTATGTAGGATTACTATGTACGTAGTGTCACAGCCGGACATCAGCGGAAAGCAAGCTTGCGATTATGCCATGCGCCCCCCTCCCGGGTGAGCGATACAAGGGCAAATCTGGTAATAATCGATTATACTTTTTTCTTTTTTTATCTCCTCCCGAATTTGATGACGTTTGATGTGAATGCCATGTCCCCTTTCGTATTGTTGACCCGATATTGATATTGAGATTGATGTTGGAATAGATTATAATAAAAACTCTATAACATACCTTGTCCCGTTAGTGAAGATTGTTTCCAACCGGCTCGAGCAGGTTGATATTCCCCATGTTGCTCTTCATTGTAATCATCGTAAGCGCTGTTGTAATATGACATGGTGGTCTTGAGATGGTAGGTTTCCGAGGGATGGATATCCTGCAGGCCTGTGGCGGGATGATTTTCCTTGGAATGATGCAGAAACTTGGATATATTTTGGGATCTTGAAGAGTTTCTGCGCGATAGAAGTTCAAAGTATTATTGGTGCTGGTGTATGAATGCTGGGTGAGTTGAGTATGTATGGTGCTCGCAGAATGTGTGAAGCCTTTACTTTTTAAGGATGATTCTTTTCCCCTCCTGCTTTCGACAACAATGCAATACGATTTGAGAAAGAGTGTTCGAGAATTTCAAAGTTGGATTATCAGGAATTTTATCACACAGCAACAAGTAAAAGGAAAGAAAGAAAGGAGTATGTTTACCAAATCGCGACTCGCGAGCAAAGCGAAAGTAGTTAATATGTAGAGAATCAGTACTCCGTACGGTGTACTTTTTTTGAACTTATTCATTCATTCCCCTGTTCTACTTTTTTTCTTTTTTTTCCCTGACAAAATGATTCACTGTGAAAGACCGTCTCTCCCCCTTCTCCTTCTCCTTCTCCTCCTCCCCTCCCCCCTCCCCCCGAGACACCCAAAACAACATCAACCAAGGTCCAAGGAGATTTCGCCAACACAGGCGTAAATGAGATGAAATGGCTGAGCGTTTTGGTGGACAAATCGTGGCAACATGTGGATCTCATCCCAAGATTACCAAGAACCTTCATCTCCCTCTCAATTTGCCTTTAAGCATATATACATTGAATACACGCGGCCCTTTCGTTATTGGTTAAATCTCCTGAGACAATTATTATTTATAGGAGGATATAAATTAACTATTTTCATCGTTTTGCAACATTCAATATTTGAGCGACAGGAAGGTACCGGGCAGCTGAGCTCGTTTACATTTTCTACAGCGATACAATTTCGACGTACGCCATCCCGCAGTTGCATCGCAATCGGGGCTTCGGGTCTACCTTCTCTTCCTTCTCAGCTTCCATCAAGGAGGGGGGAAAAGAAAATACCCCCTTCCAATTATCTCATTGTTTAGGTAAAAAAAAATGCTGATGGAACAATATGCTAAGCTTTGATCGACACAGGCAGCATATGTCCAATATTCCACTCTTTGGGGATTCACCCATGTTCTCTCGGAAATTTGACCCGACATGAAAACAATCGAGCATCTCGATGCGAACCTGCGATGCATTCATGCTCAACGGTGTTCAAAAGATGCTCAAGGCTGAGTACCAGGCTTCTTCCTTCGGCATAGCGAGTCGTACGAAGCAAAGCCTTACATCTACGATAAACAGCTCGCCATTGAGGCTGGGGAATCCTAGGGCTGACCCTCAATCACCCCTCTCGCCGATACAAGAATTGGTTGCTGCATGAAAATCCACAGCATGTCATTGACATTGAAGCTAAATCAATTAAAGATAAATCTGGGTCGAAATATATCAATGCAACTCAGTCCTTGATTTGGGCCCGGCCCAAGTGGAGCTGTCAAATATTCGAGAACATTGCAGGGATTATCTGATATATGAACTAGTGATTTCGGCTTGAACGGGTGCGTATTGCGTACCGACGTTGAGAGCCAGATTCCTTGTTGGAAATTTTTAGAAGAAAAGGGGGTGGACATTCAATGTTCGATTCGATACAAGCCTGACAAAGAATTAGGATGAAGACACAAAGAGAGCCATTCTCGTACCTGAACAGATTCTACAAATGTTTATCCGATCATACTCTATGGGTATATGCACTACCTATGTTTTGACATTTATGCATGATCTTGGGCTACTTCCAGAATGCGGGGAAAAGCTTTTGTTGATCAACAAAAGATCAGCTCCATACGATAACTTTCAAGGAAACGGCGAGCTAGTCACTCCTGAATCTCCGTACGTACCTCAAGTAGCCAGCCCAGAGGACACAAATAACATTGTGAAACACAATGGGCTAGACGTATAAGTTTTATCTGCCCATCGTTTTACATATATACCACTCTCACACATCCTATCTCGATGTAAAGGATTGTGCTTCGTAGAATCACCCGCACGATGTTCGGACAAGTTTCGTATGCCCGGAAGTCATAGCTATGGTCAGTTTTACTGACACACATTCACCACCGCATGACTATAGCTATGATTGTCGATACAAATATTACGCGTGATGTGGTTCCTGAACTGGAGGCCGAGCTACCCTCGATATGTACGGACAATCCTTATAGTCTCTTATGGTAGTGGCCACAGCTTACTCGTTGACAATGAGAAGGTAGATGTCTAACACTATCTTCCGATCAATCACCACCACAAACCACCGAACCTCATCTCCACATGTCAAAAATATAACAAGCCTTTAGAAGAAACCCCACTGGCATTTCATTATTCCGTCATTGTTGGCGCAAATTCCTCTATCTCTACTTAATTTCAACGCACCTGCCATGAAGCTCGAAGTGGGCAGTGCATAATCACTAGATTCATAGCATGTTGGGACTGTTCCTTTTCGATCCTTTTTTTATCCTTATTGACAGTACTCCCATTAAAAATTGAGTAGATTGCTTACTCTTCATCAATAGATGAGGTTCCACAGCCCCTCTTCCAGACTCTTCGCCAACCATATCTTCTACCCACCCTCACTACACCCAACCACTCCCCCTTCTCTTCCTCACATCCATCTTCCCCAAATCTTATCTCGAGCTCTTCAGTGCCAATCTCCCTTATCCTCATATGTTGCGCCCATGTTGTTGATAAATTGATCCCCGCCTCTGTACCTCGAAAAGTTTCTGTACTGCGTGATTTCAATGCCAACGCAATAAACTCTCCTATCAAATTCCAAGCGACTGTTCTCCACCCAGCGAAACACATGTAGACCATGAACCCCAGCGTCGAAATGCAATGCGTTAAAAGAAGTGCTAATGCTAATTTCGTTGTGATTCCACGAATCCCATAGCTATAGCCTCTGCGCCAAATCTCAAATTTCCACTCTAGCCAGCCCTTGGGAAGCTCGGGCTCGTTCCTCAATGAGGCTAGTCGCCTCAAAGTGTTATTATGGCCAAACAAGAAATTATCATCAGATATGACGCTCTGGGAGCCATAACGCGCAAGAGCATCTGTCATGAATACACCAGCATAGAGTGAGATGAAGCCTTGGATATCAGCAGTACTCCTGGGTGGACTAGGTCCCCCAATTGGAAATTGATTAAATGAAAGTGTTCCATTTGCACCGAGAATCATGAATCTGTTCAGTAGACCTTGAATAAGGGTAGCATTAGGTAGATTCTGCGCGGGTGCGGGCGCGGGAAAAGTAGGTGTGGCATGCATATCACCGTTAAAATTGATGATTGGAGCCTGGACTCTATTTGTTTGAGACATTGTCCCATTTATATGGCTTACAGTCAAATCATGTGTTAAGTTCTGCGTCAAGTGAACTCCTGGAACCACTATGTTCGTATATGCGGCCCAACTAGGAGTAATGTTAATGACATCGCTAAATTCTGAGCGCTTTTTCTTTGTCCGCCCTTGATGTGCATCGTTTATAAGGCTTCGTAGCTCTGAGAAGGCTACAGAGTCAGTGAGATTATCGTTGATAATATCGCTAGTTGTCGGCTCATATTTCACTTGAGTTTGCAACCATCTTGCATCGAATGTGCACGGTATGATTAATGTATCCTGGACGGTAGACCAGCCCGTCCCATTGTATACACGTGTAGACATCGGAAGCATAAAGATTCCACCGATAGAAGCGGTTCCGCTATAGTTTTTGTATAGGCCAATCCATGTTAGATCTAAATCTTGCTGGTTCCTGATGCCACTCCAGGAGTCCTTTGGCACTGCATATCCTATTTTTTCATTTAACGTTGATGTATTCTTCATTATTCCATGTAAGAGAGGAAATACTGGAGTATCTGCTGTATATTTACCAGCACTTGTAAGATTACTCTGAGCATAGATATTGCATTTGACCTAAACAATCGGTTGTTTTAGGGTAGTTGTGGAATGAGACAAGAACTTGGGCTGAGATTTGAAAGATTCATAGGCTGCCGCCAAAGTTAGGTCATTCCATATCGCGCCCACAGCGAGCTGAGGGACAACTGACAATGAGGTTGTGTAAGAATGACCTGAATTCATTCCAGCCGAGGCAAGAAAATTGCGCGTGTTTGTGTATGCGTTATAAAAAGTCATGTTCGCTGCTTTTCCTTTTAGAACATTAAAGTCTTGACTATTCAGCCAAGTGTTGATATCTTGCGCTCCACTGGCCGGACATAACAAATTGGCAGATGAGTCTACGTAATTGGAACAATTGACCATTGAGAGCGGTGGAGCCAGTGGTTCTAGGAGGTTTATAGGCCATAACTCGAACTTGGTTGGGAAGCGAAATACCAACGTGTTATTGGTCATTTGCCACCAATCGAGGTTGGGTCGCATGGCAATAGCAGAGGATGGTCCAGCAAGAGCTGTGAGGATGGAACAGAACACCACGAACAGGGCAAAGAGATAAATGCTCAACTTCCGTCCGTGAGAACACTCTAAGGATGACCAAAATGACTTGCGGGTGAAGAATCTAAGGTCTCCAATCTGAAGACCAGCACCAAGTAGTCCAAAGGGTGTACCTTTTGCCTTAGCGAGCATAAATACAATGAAATGGGATACCATGTAAGCCACAGAAGAGCCTATCCAGAGTTCGTGAAGCTTGGCCGCAAATTGAAGGCTATTCAACATGGTATTTTGCCATGTGCCATTAGCCTGTGTGTCCCCCCAATAAACAGACTGCACGTTAAGGTACACCAAGCTCGCGGTAGTAGCCAGAGGCAACGCAAGAAGAACCAAATCGAGTGTGATGAATTTGCACCGGTTATCGAATACGAATTTGGCAGGTTCTCCCGGGTCTGGATATTTGGAAAGATGATGAAATCTTGGGAGCCTTGGTCGATTGAAATTTGTCCATCTGGGAAGAGGTATGCGGAGAACGAGCGACTTGTGTTGGGACCTCATGATTGATTGTGATTTTACTTTGGCGGCAGGAAGGATGATGAGAGTTAGAGAGGCTATGTAAAGAATCGTCGGGTTTACCACCTGGATTCTGTGATGCACTGCGTGATCTGGGCTAAAAGTTTAGAGGAAAGACGCCTGCGAGATATTCGGTGTATATAATCCAGCTTTACGGATCATAGGGAATCAGTTCGTAAATTTGAGATGGATATAAAAGCATATCGAGATTGGTGGAAGGCATCGTCCACAGAAATCACTTTATAATTAATTCCTGCTCACTAACACCAGTGTCATTTATTTGCGGCGGAACGTGATAGTCAAGCGAGGTACATCACCCATCGAAACATCAAGCGCCAAATTGCAGGGAGAAATAGCATCCCATGATTTGCCAATCTCATGTCAAAGAAGAGAAGTTGTGACAATAACGAGGGCAAGGCAGAAAGCTTCTTCGACGTTTTTACTGTACGTCGCATGCGAATCCTCAAGGCCTCGGAGTTAGATCTATTTTGAAACAGGTCGCATCTCCACTTTTTGGCACATTCAAAACGTATCACCTTTCACTTGTGGTCATCATATATTACGCTACATAAAATCCTGTCTGTGGGCTAAATCGATGTTTCTCGGAGACAGCGACTCGAATGGTAAATACGCATTTCTCAAGTCGGCGATTTAAGATAACAAACTGCCTAATCACACATGCAGCGATTCTGCATCATTAAGATGAGTATTGGATATGATGGTCGAGTTCGGGAACTGTATCGATGTCCCACATGTATGAGTGTTTGCTAGAATACTCTTGTTAAAATGATTGAACTTGCACACTTTCGCAGAAAAGTAAGTGTAGAATATGATGTTTCATGAATAAAAGATTGTTTCATGAATCAGCTGTATGGAAAGTACTATTTGGGTCTATGTATTCTGGATTACTAGGTATGGTTTCGATGGGTGGTGGTGTAGGGTAACAATACAGCAGGTGAGGGAGGCGTAGTCAATACGAGCGATACAAATGGGATTTTCACGAGCAAAATATGACATGGAGTGATTTCCATATTGACACCGATGGTGTAAGAAGACGCCACGAACGGGATTTCGCCCCCTCGTCCTCTGGCCAAAAAATTATTCTCGCTACAACAAGAATTCAAGACTCTGTCTCCTTGGATTTTTACCTTGCCCCTTTCTCATGAATCGGCTACCACTGTGAATAATAGCTGTTTTTAATACGATAAGCTCCCTCTACACACTACTCACGAGTTCCCCCCACCTTAGCTCCCGCCGTAAGTCTCGAGTAACACGAAGGTCCGCGACATTTCAAATCAAAATAATCAATCACCACACTCTCATTCGTCGGAATATTATGCGTCACCCCCTTCGCACTCGTGGCTCTGAATTTCGCCCCATAGTCCCACGTCGTCCAATTCGCATCCGGCCAATTCGATTTTGTCGTGAGAGGAGTCTTCGACTGACCCAGTACCGTCGTCCACTCTTTGATTTCCTCCTGCAGATTCTGTGGATAAAGTACCGTATCGTCTGTGCCATGTAGTACCCACATCTTTGGTCTAAATCCCTTGTAGCCTGGATACGCAGCCTGAACAATACTCTTCCATTGCGAACCTGTCTTGATTATTTGGCCCGTAGCGCAGTCGTTGGACCAAAGATCTACGGCACTGCTATTTGCGGCAAAACATCCCAATGCCACACCAGCCCATGCAGAGCCCGCAGCGAAAATATCAGGATAAACGCCCACTAGTACATTCGTCATCATTGCTCCGGACGAAGTGCCCATCGAGAACACGCGATTGGGATCAGCTTTGTAGGTCTTGAGTACATATTTGACCATATTCACAATGGCCAAAGAATCTCCTCCGCCATTGTGAGTAAGTGACGCTTTGGACGAAACGTCCCAGCATTGATCTACGGCGTTTGGAGAGTTGGGAAAAATCATAATGTAGCCGTAAGTATCGGCTAGCGTTGCGAATTGTGTGCCGGCAAACGCATCTTGCGCCGTTCCATGGCACCAATGTGGATTGACGAATATTGGAGGGTTAGGAGCGAGTTTGGTTGGAACATAGAGATGCATTGTAACATTGGAGGGATTGTAGCCAAAATTGGAGACAACGGTTAAATTATTGGCGGCACCTGAAGCTGTAGGTATCATGTAGACAGTAGCAGCAAAGGCAACTAGGCCTCTCCGCAACAGGTTGAAAAACACCATGGTGAATTAAGTTGGTAAAAGAAATCAATGCACATTCAGAGAAGTTGCCAAACTGGGGGATAAGCCACATATACATAGGCCTTGGCTTGGTATGACGACAAAATAAAAGCTAATTCTGATTGCCACTTGACAGCTCATAGGTCGTAACTCCGGTGTAGAATTCTTATTCCATTCCTAGGTATATAATCCCTCAATAAGAGATGTAGAAATCTTATCGGACATCCAGATTATGCACCATATTAGCCATTAGAATTTCCGGCACTAAAGTACCCCGCAATTCATCCCCGGCTGTTGTAGCCGAAGTATTTATCCGCGTGAAATGCATCACATGGCCGTTTTCGATGACTAGGAACGAGGTACTATCAGACTAAAGCCAATTAGAATTCGAGGGAACATATTGCATCCCACTTGAAGATTCTGGAAGTTGACTTATATGGCCTTGAGGTTTGCAAGTTGGATGGATGTAGGTTTATGGCCACATATCAAAATGATATAAATGATGGGTATTCTTAGCTACTGCAGCCAATAGAAGCAAAGCGTAGAATGGAGGTTACAACTCATAAGCTTCGTTATCTCTGCCTACTTGCAATGCTAACTTATAAACCAAACCAAATGAACAAAATCAATTAACAAGAACTAGTGACAGAAGAGAAGAGAAGAGAAGAGAAGACATAAGACATAAGACATACACCACAGCCACAGGCCCAGATCCTTCAATTCACAAAAAGATTCATCAAAACCATATCCCATATCGAGCTAAAATCAAACACCATCACCACAAGCCAACAAGAAATGAAATCATAGACCATTCATTCAAGCGTGCCTTCGTTTTTGAGCCTTCAAAATCAATAATAATCCACCACAAGAACCCTCCATCTCGAAAACCCATGTAAGTAGAAAGCCTCTAAGACACTTCTTCGCCCTCCTCACTGTCGTCTCTCAATGTAAACATTTACTCTTCTTTCACTGTATCCCCATGGTGTGTCATTACTCGGCGGACCGGGCAGTGATCTCTCAGCACCGATGAACTTCCTGCAAAAAAGTAGGATTAACAAAAGTCCAGCCCGCCATCCCATAGTACATCTTCATCACTCATTCTAACTTCAACTCCATCTATTCAAAACATATCAACAGATGCCAGCAGCAAGAAAAACACTCACCAATTAGCAAACTCTCTATTCATCAACGTCGTCAATTTATCCTGCACCAAGCTTTGCAAATTGTTCCTACCGACTACCCCGCTAGTCGGAAGATCTGTCACCATGCCCCGATTCGAGTGACGAAAGTGCCGAACATAAGGTAGATTATAGTCTTTATGATAGCTCCTGTGGTCCAAAGATGCGTAGCGGATAGTTAGACAACGGACTTCCGCTTGTGGAGGCGAAGACAGGGGCTGTCTTGGAGGGGGTCGATGTTTGGGTTCGGACCCGCGGTGAGGGGTTTGACGATGATGAGAATGATGGCCTGGCATGCTGGATCTGTTTCAAGACGTGATAACAAGAGGACTTGGTGCTGGTTGATTTTTCAGTTTCCTGACACTGGGAATTTTTTGTTGTATCGAGCTTATCGAAGAAGAAGAAATACGCGATGTCAACAAGAACTCCATGGAGCAGAAAAGCAGATACATATATATATATTCCTAGCATGCCACAGCCTTACTCGTAATCTTATGCAACTCACATTTATCTTCAGCCACGACTGGATATGACTTCATCTTCTCGAAACAAATCGCTAAAAGATGTGACAGAGATAAATATCAGTTAGGTATAGTGCTTATGAAGAGTATTGCACATGTGTACCAGTTATTGTGACTGCAAGTCTGCCTCATGATGCGCATGGAAAAATCCATTGGATTATAGATGACGAGAAAGTAGTCGACCCATGTAGCGACCCTGGCTGTGGGGGCTATTTGATAAAAACCATGCTTTATCCCAGCAGTGGCTTAGCAAGAATCCTGTTAATACATGTCGAATGCAGAGCATCTGAGGCTGAATGTACACGCCTATGTAAGAAGTGTTCTGGAAAAGATATAAGATGCGTTGGGGAAATACAATAAGTTAAGGTCAACTGAAACGACAGCGCGACACATAAGGTCGGCGGCACAACAAGCCGTCCACTATCGAACCTATTCGTGTAACGATAAGCTTTATATTTACTTGCATCCAGCCTCTTCAATGGTCAATAATTGAACTGCGAAGACACAGAATTATATAACTGAATTTCTACCTGAGTTATGGATGCATGATTAGGAGCCGCAATATTTCACAGCCTCCTGCATCAATTCGCTAGCGTCTGCCTGTAAGCAAATGAAGCATGTGACATGACACAATTATTATTATGATTGGCGTACTTCTCAAAAAAGGGTATCGCGTGCATGCAAACGGATATAGATATATCATGGCTAAAAAATCAAATTCGACGTCTGCCTGTAAAAGATGTGAGGCATACTAAAAATTACAACCATCTTCACGCTCTGAAGTCCCTTGTATATCCTTTATAAATGTTACTAAGAAAATTACATGATCAACCGAGGACCATGATATTTGGTCTCTTCCTTCACTTTCTTTGCAGAAGCAGCACTAACGCTTTCCAGAGTTCTCTTTGGGAATCCCTCAAAAGAAGCCGCATAAGTAGCAACCGAATGAGCGATGAGTTGGGTGTTGACTAACCAAGCATCAAGAGCAAGGTTTGAAAGATCATCACAAAGTTGATGGTAACAAGGATCATACCAATCTCCAGCCTTACCACCAAACATTTCAACTTCAGCGGCAGTCTTGACACCTTCAGCACCAGTTGCGATTCCACCACCTGGAATACCGTTCTTGATGAAAGCATCATAGTCGCTTCGACCATCGAATGGAATGTATGTGTAGTTGAGTTGATGAGATTTGTACCACTTTGTATACAAGTTTCTCAATGCTTCGGATCCATCAGGATTGGTGGCATCAGTGGCGTTGTACACCTGATAAGCATAGTTTGGAGAAGCCATCATGTCGTAATCCATGAAAAGTCGGATTTTCAAGTTCTCCTCGTCGGAAAGTTGGGAAACGTAGTAGTCTGAACCCAGAAGTCCCTCCTCCTCACCTGCCCACCAGCCAAATCGAACACAATTGTTGACTTTGTACTTGGTCAACTGAGTAGCAACCTCAAGCAGAGATATAGTGCCAGTTCCATCGTCATTGATACCCGGTCCTGCCTCAACACTGTCCGAATGTCCTCCCAACATTACACAGTTATTTGCATCGCCTCCTTTGGTCTGAGCAATGATATTTGTGGTGTTGATTTCCTCAACCAATGCATCAACAAATGCAGATCCATCAATGGATTCCCCATTCTTCAATTTCTCGACATATGGAGCTGCTTCTTCGTCTGATATACCGAAAGTGGCGATATGATCTGCATTTGGTGCTCCCAGTGTTCCACTGAGAGATCCGTTTGCATTATTGTAGACAACTGCGGCAATGGCACCTGCTTTACCGGCATTCGCAGATTTGTCTCCAAATGAACAAGTTCCACGGAGGATCAAAGCGATAGAGCCCGCCACCTCTGCGGGATAGTCGGACGCATCACAACCATTGTTGCCAACCAATACTAGTGGGCCGAAAACCGCATCTTTGTTGGCTGTTGGAGGTGTGAGACTCATGGGGGTAGCAGTCTTTGGAACGGCATCGCCCAGTACGAGTCGATAGTCGAAGATGTTGCCCACTACTGCAGGGAATGATTGGTTGGAGATATCATAGTAGTCGCCGAGAGACGCAATAGAAGAGTAGATGTAATCAACAGTTGATTCGTGGCCTGTTACACAGAGTGAGTCAGAAAATGTCTTGAGCAGCTGAGGAGATGAAGGAATGGGAATATACCTTTTGACCCGATAACTCTCGTTGGGTGATTATACTCAGGAATACTTTCCTCTGCAATTTTGTAAAGCTGATTCGCCCGTTTCAGAAGATTTTTTGTCTTTATATCGTTTTGGAGGGAAGAAGATTTGATCAATGGTTTGTGTTTTTCATTGATGAGAGATTGAGAGCTTGGTTCCGCCATGGGTTGTTGAATAACTGCACCTGTAGCTAGAGATGCCGCTGCAAGAAATAGAGTAGAACGTAACATAATGAAGGGAATCGTGGAAGTTTACCACGGATTTGTTATTGAATTGATTAATGATGTTTGTTTTGAAGGATGAGAGATAGAGAGGTTGGGAATGACTGAAGCTTTAAGACTGAAGCTTAAAGCTACTCAGCTCAGATAGCGTATGCACGACGATATCGGCAAGCAAATTGATTGGCCAAATTTTGGGCGGTGAACTTTGGGTGATTCAGTTACCCCTTGCCCCTGTCACCCTCGATTCTTGTACTCCAGACCTGGTGACCTCGCCCCCGTTTCGGTTCTACCTTATTGATCACTCATCTTCACGCCGAGGATGGATAAAGACATGACTTGGCACACGTGCTATCAGTAGATCTTGGAAGTTAATTTATATGTCTTGAGTCAATGCATGTCTGACACACTAGATAAGGACTCAGGCACGCCAGGCACGCCAGGTACCAGTTGCAATCACAATTCATGATGTTCGTCTAAAAATCTAACCCCCTTTAACCGTTCAAGTACGCCAAGATCTCTGCCGGAGCACCTGCATCTGCGGGGTTTCTCTACAACATTCCGGATTAGGTAGGTAGTCTCTAGCACCTAAGTCTTGGACTCGGCACGTCAGAAACTGATTCCCACAAAATTTATGATATTCGTTTAACAACTCTAACCCCCCTTTATCCGTTATCTATATATATGCTCGATCAGGCAGGTAGTCTCTAGAAACTCTTTTATCAATCAGTGCCAAGGTATAATACAATCATTTCACATCATCAATCCAATCCAGTCTCAATCCCAAGTCCCTTCTTATCCATTCTCCAAGGAATCGCCCAATACTACTATCAAAATACGCCATTTGGACAACCCAAAGAACCGTGAATATCCGTTTCAACCGACAAACGTCTGCGCTATTCACAGAACCAAGACCAGTTCTTCACAGTTCCCCCACTACAACAGCTTCAATTCCAACAGAATAGGTGTCCACATGCAACAATGAGACCACAATATGGTCAGTGTGGACCAGCTGTTTCTGAACTCGCATCCCCACCATCTAGATCGCCGTCTCTCGATCCCCCATCCTGTGACCAAGTAGAATCCTCGTCCATCATGACAACGGCAGAATCGGCAGAATCATTTTTGCTATGTTTGCCATCAGAACTCGAGGCCCCCAGACTTGCAAGTTCTCGGACATCTATTGTTTTTTGTGCCCAGTATATCAGCGTTTCCTCCAACCTTTCCTTCTCAACTGGTTTACTCAAGTATCCATCCATTCCCGCCTCGAGGCACTTTTCTTGGTCTCCTTGGATCGCACTAGCCGTCATAGCTATCACTGGAAGATCTTTTAGTCTACTTTTCGTTTTGGTTTGTGTCTTGCCAGTCGGACTCCCCATTTCCGATCCATTCAGATTTGAGTGTCTCGCGGTGGCCAATTTTTTGGCTGTTTCTAACGACCGTATATCATACTCTAGATACCTTTCATATTCTTTATTCGTCCTTAGAATTTTCGTTGCTTCATAACCATCCATAATTGGCATCTGGACATCCATCAAGATGATATCTGGTCTCGGATTAGATGGCCCAGGATTGCTCAAGTAATTCAATGCTTCGCGTCCGTTCCAAACGGCTGTTGCTTGAAATCCTAGATTTCGGACAGTTTTCAATGCGATGGTTTGATTAATGGCACTATACTTGGTAAGCAAGAAATTAAAGGATGTGCTTATAATAAATCTGTCCAACTCACTTATCCTCGACAACTAGAACAAGGATCTCGCCTCGTTCTTCCAGTGGAAGTTTTGGCCCATTATTTTTGTACTTGTCTCCGTTTCTTAGATATGGAGGGAGGACATGATTGGTTTCACTAGTCGAGATTTGTTGGTTTATAAGTTGTTGTTTTACCTGCCCTCGGTGAGAGCTTGGTCGAAGAGCCAGTGGCGTACTCGGCAAAGATTGTGGATCAGAGTTATTGTTGGCGAAAGAAAATTCAAGCTTAGCCGGAGTGTTGGAACGTCGGGGGTAACGGCAATAGGAGGATATCTTCAATGTTATTGTGAATGTGGCCGTGCTCCCAACTCCTTCTTCTGAATCAAGAGCAATCGTTCCAGACATCAGAGTTGCAAGCTAGTCTTAGAATCAGTATCTCGAAGTAGGAATTTCAATAAATACAGTGAGGTTCTCTGGTGGATAGGCCTTGGAAGAATAGAAGAAGATACTTACATTCCTCGATATGGTCAGACCTAGACCCGTCCCACCATATAATCTCGCGGTTGAAGAATCCCCCTGGCTAAAGGGTCTGAACAACTTATCCAAGGTTGTTTTAGATATCCCAATCCCGGTATCCTTGATCACGAAGCTGACCTCAATTGTATCTTTTCCAATGTTGCCTGGATCCGTTATTCTCTTTCCTTTCGCGCTTATTGTTATAGATCCGTTTTCCGTGAATTTAAGCGAATTTGTTAAAAGGTTAGATAGGACTTGTCTGATTCGCCCGGGGTCTCCCAGGACTTCGAGGCTTTCGTCAACCTCATTTTCGTAATTGAATACCAAATTCTTTTGGTTAGCAAAAACGCACAACAATTTACATAGCTCTCCTACAATGGAACAAAGATTGAATGGAACTTCTTCGATGTCGAGACGACCAGATTCGATCTTCGAAAAGTCGAGTATGTCATTCACAATGGTCAGGAGTGCTCTTCCCGAAAGTTGGATGCTAGAAACATATTCGCGTTGCGAAGACGTTAAGGTTGGGTCTTCGTCGAGTAAGTCCACCATGCCAATCACGCCCTAATGCCAACACGTTAGCACAGTGATCTTTTAACTTGGGCAAAAAATATGAGGGGGGACACTCACCGCCGTCGGAGTGCGCATTTCATGCGACATCTTTACAAATCTTGTTAGCGTTCTGGAAGTCTTCACGAGGTACCAATAACCCACATTTGCTAAGAATTGACTTTTCATCTTAGATGAATCTTTGGCTGCTTGTTCTTCAATCATCAACCTCGTATTATCCATCTCTAATTGCGCCCGTTTTTCCATATCCGTAATATCAATACTCAAGCCCAAGCATCCGATGACCTTTGGTGCTTGTCCTCCATCATCGCTGCTATGCTCGAGATCTGCCACCAATCGTGTTCGGTAACTTTTGTCTCCTATCTTCTCTTCGCATGTTGCCATTTCGACCTTTCCAGATAATATTTCCAGGACAGAGTTTTCGTGACCTAGAAATTTGCAACATATTAGTAACGTGGGGTTATTCTCACAGAGGAATGGATGGGATAAACGAACCCGGTATACCCCCTGCCTGCGTACTTTGCATATGCTCAATAATATTTTTCCCAATCAAGTTTTCCTTACTTTGACACGCTTGCTCAGTTTTGGTACCCCATAGCATGGCTCCTTCCGCCATTGTTACTAGTCGATTTTTATCCACACAAAACATGTTGACTTCGGCATGAGCCAGAACTGTCAACATTTGATGCTTGTTCCTCTTGGCCTCAATTCGTGACATCACAATATCCGTGATATCTGTATTTGTGCCATACCACTTCAGAACTTCTCCATTGTCGTCAAGTAGTGGGCAAGCTCTCGTGTGCATCCATCTGTATACCCCATCATGCCTTCGATACCGTACCTCAACCTCGCCATCTTTGCCATTTGCCAGTCCATGAGCCCAAGCTTCTCTAAGAATATTCAAAATCTTCCGGATGAATCACTTTCTCATACCCGGTGCCAACACTTTCCTCCTTAGACATGCCAGTGTATTCGTACCACTACGGCGCAGGTTAGTCTCGTATTAATTGTGAGCAGTTACTAGAATACATCCTTACCCGCCTAGAGTACCAATCGCAATATCCATCCGGTCTTGTAGTCCACACTAGATGTGGCATCAAATCGCAGATAGTTTCATGGCTTCGTAGTAACTTGTGTTGTTTCTCAACCAGGTATTGTTCGTATTCCTGTATATCTTCGCACCAGCAGATCGCTCCTAAGTAGATCCCAGCTTCGTCATAAAGGCATTCTCCAGAAATTAGACTTGTCAATCGATCTCCATTTATGGGGTTTATGAATCCAGATCTTTGATTCGCAAACGGCTGTCGAGTTCTTGCCAAGACTGTTCCAAATATTCATCTGGTGGTAACTGACGAGTGTATCCCTCATCCCATATCTGTAGGGCGTTCTCGGAACATATCCCCTTCACAGCCATTATCTCCCCCCATAGACTTTCCTAAGACATCTCGAACTTTGCGGTTCGATAGGTAATATTCACCATCTGCAGTTATCATGAATGCGGGAGTGTCAACATTGTCAAAAATTGCTTTTCGAAGAGAACAAAAAATGTCATCCCTTATGAAGGCTGGTTTATGTTGAGGCTCTTTTACTTTATTTGCCCACGATGTTGAGCCTGGCCCGGAGTTGATGGGATTCCCATGCAAAAATATCGGTGATTCGAAGGTAAGAATGAAATGAAGGCCACGGTCCTCATTCAAAGCATCAATACAAGCCCGAAATCGTCTTTCCTTCTGATCATTCGACCAAGATGAATTGTTGACCACCACCTGGAACCCATCAAAAAAGCTCGAATCTTCATCATTTGATGAGGTACCGCCACGTCGAAGATACTCTATCTCACTTAGAACCGGTGCCCATGATCGATTATCTAGTAATGTGACACCCAATTCATCCAAGTCCTTTCCGATCAATGCGCTCTCATCATTCCTACAAGAATCTGTGCTACCCAACAAAGCTTCTGCTTTCCAGTTTGTCCATAGCACTTTCCGATACTGATCCAGGACTAGCACAGGCGTAGGCAAATGTTTCAATATAGATAATGGAAGGTCCATTTTATTGGGACTCGGATCCGGCGACCGAGATCCATTGGCGTGGTTTCTACCGTACATCATGTCCCACGTTGAAGTTGCCGGCATTGTTGAGATGGCCTCGAGATCAAGTGTTTGAGTTTCTCAGCTTCCTGTTGAGATACATTCTTCAGCATAACATTTATGGTATCAAGAAAGGTGCAAGTTGTAGAAGACGAGAAGTCAAGGTCAAGCACGCGATTGTATTTGGAATGGATCGAAAGGAAACTCACGCATGGACTCCCGGTTCACTGTTGATGCCGTGGGTGGGACACGCCTCTTACGTAGCTCTTTATATCTTTCGTCACTTCAAACTTACTGTTCCATTTTATTTTGGAGCTTTTGAGGTGAATTTTGTCCTTGTAATATTGATGAATTTCGATCAATGAACTGGAAACAGATTTGAGAACAAACAGACTTAGAAAACAAAAACAAACGGTCTACTTCTGGGTTTTCCACATCATATAAGATCGCCACTCTCGCAACTTTCTTCTGGAAATATCGTTGATCAACTAACAACTAAGATATATGAATTGAGTTCTGGACTTCGCACAACTAGTCTTGAAATAAGAAAAAATTCCAGTGGATTGCCCCTATCAGAAGTATACTAGTATTCATAAGGCATTAGAAATTTGGGGCACTATAAACTATTGTAGTATCAACACTTGATCTATAAAGAGTGTTTATTGGCTACCAGTACTCTGGTCTCTCCATTTCGGGGCTTTTAGACCCTCAAGACCCTCAAGACCCCGTGAGACTGGGGAATCGAGATAATCCACTAGTTTGATCTGCTTGGTATGGATTGAAATTGGTTCCACGTCTGATATCTACTATCTAGTCAGAAGCGTATTGATGTATGACTCGGTATGAGCAAGGCCATAGGTAAGGCCAACTAGTCTTTGGCTGGTAACACACATAGGGACTCGCCACTCATGAGGGAGTAGAATCGAACAATCGAAAGGATCACAATTGATTTGAAGATCATCAAAAACAAATGTCAAAGCACAGTCAATTCTTCGCCTGGGATAGTGAAATAGAGTTTAAGAAAATGAGACGGCGTGTTCTGCAAGGTCAAGAGATGCCGTCTTGGTGGGTGTGTTCTATTCCCCGAAGTTTAAGCGTGTATTCAGCTTCCCGAGGTCGATGATGAAAGTGTTGTGGCTGTGGCTGTGGCTGATCGCTAACTTTTCCCAAACCTAGACAATAGTTGGTAAGTCAAAGCTCTTCCGTAGCATTGTATCTTTGAAAACTAATCAATAACTTCACGCAGTTAAACACTCCAATCTCCCACCCCCGTCTAAATCTAAGATTAGCACGCTATGGGCCTTTTCTCATCCTCAACCTCAGCTTCCTTACCACCCCCCAAAATTGGCGCGGATGGTGCGCCTATAGCCCCGGACCGCACACAAAGATCTCGGTGCTGGGAAGCTAGGGATGCTTATTTTAAATGTTTGGACAAAGCAGAAATTATTGATAGTATTACGGAGAAGGACAAGGCGGAGAAAGCATGTGCAGCAGAGAGCAAAGGATTTGAAAGTAATTGTGCTACGAGTTGGGTAAGTTTTCTTCATTGGGAGCTGAGTATGGGCCGGAGTACCTAGGAAAGAATGTACATGAGGGAATATTTGAGCTGACTTGGTTGTGGTGTAGGTCCAATACTTCAAAAAGCGAAGAGTTATGGAATACCAGCGCGATCAAACTTTGCAAAGACTTAAAGCCGAAGGAGCGCAGGAGATGCCAGGCCAAATAGGACCTCCAGGTCCAGGGCAAAGACCATGATGATATGAGGAAATATAATAAATGTATAACAGCACATGGGTGGAGTAATTGGTTTACAAAAGGGATCGAATCACGATAATGACCATCTCCTAATTTACATCACCACCTTGAGTTTCAATCGCGTGCAGCAGTGGCGTATTTCGTCGAAGATTTCGCAAAGAAGTTTGTGTATTGGGACATGCAAGTGACAGACAGAATTGGGCCAATTCGGAATGTACACTGCAAATTTGTTAGGCATTTCCTCCAGGTCCTCGCAACAATCGGGCACTGGGTTCATGTCCCCAAGTTTCTATGTGCCCAATCAAACTTGCTCTTGCTGTCATAATGCTTGTTGAAATTGTGTCTCCATTCTGTCAACTCTTGGTGGCGTGCGAGACTTTCCAATTTAATGCCTGGCGACACTGCACTGCATGTATACAGCCTTTGCATCCTGTATGTGGCACCATAATTGCGTGAATGAAGGACGTACCAGGGACCTCGTGACGGACTTTATATTAAACAGAAGGGCCCAGAATGACTTGATGGAAGAGAAGATTTGACCTTACTGTTCGAATCAGTCTTCATAAAGAGTAAACAGTATATTCCAGATGCATCAAACATACGCAAAATAACAGGAACCTCTTCCCCTAAATGCTCTAAGTTTCAAGATCATAATACGAGCAGAGACGCTTGAGACACGTACCTCTTAAACTTCCGTGTCATGTTCGTTCCCCGGATCTGCACTTCACATGTGTGAAACATTTTTATATTCGAGTTTCACGCCCAGACATCTTGTTTCGGTCTCTTTTAAATCTTCTCCTCCCCCCAAATATAAACACCGTATTTGTCAAAAAAAGACTCGGATGAACGATAATTCAGATACCATTTCTACAATTCACATCTAGAAGCCAGCTTAGTCACTCTAGATCTTTACCGCTTCCAAAATCAACCCCCTTCATCGGCAGAATAATCGTAATCTTAAACAACATCACACTCACTCGACTATCATGACCATATCCGCACCCCAGCGACCTCCTCCTCTCCAAACAGGCTCAACGCCACCAGCCTCCACGCACAAATCTCAGATTCGTGAAAAGGTTTGGGAAGAATTGCGCCATGTAGCTATCCCAGACTCGAGATTCGACCACGACTACTCTTCATTCATATGCGATTTCGTGGGTTCCAATGATGCAGGTCGTCACTTAATTAATTTAGACTGTTATATGTCTGCCGAAACGATATTTATTGCTCCCGACAACTGTCTACAAGAACTGCGATGCCAGGCGCTGAAAGATGGGAAGATTGTCATATGTACAACGTATGGGATTAGAAGGGGTTTTTTCCTGCTGAATCCTAAGGAAATTCCGGAACGCAAATGGGAGGTTGCGAGTTATTTGGATGGAATGGAAAGATATGGGAGACATGTCACATTGACTGCGATACGAAGCGAAGGATTAAGAATACCATTGATGGTAACCGGAACCGGCGCCATAAATTACAAAGGTCTTCGATTTGGAAAGGGTCATGGATTTTTCGATTTAGAATGGGGAATGTTATATTCGATAGGGGCCGTGAATAAGGATACGAAAATAATAGCGCTGGTTCACGAATGTCAGGTAATGGAGGAAGAATTCAAAGGCGATCAGTGGGATACGGGATGCGATTATGTGATTACGAATAAAAGAGTGATTACTGTTGCTGGAGCGGCAAAACCGGGTTATGGCATTATATGGGATAAATTGGATAGAGGAATGCTGGAGGATATCGAGTCGCTGAGAGAGTTGAAGAATATCATCTCGCCGCCGGAATTGAAATCTCCGCAGGAGCATATGGATTTCTCGGAAGAGGCGAGGTTGTATATGGATTACGCAAGTTTCGATTTTTAGAGCGAGTAGTGGGATGGGAATACATATTGGGCAATTTAGGGTCAACGGGTGGCAATTTATTCATGCCAGATTTGCTTCGATATATTGCTTGAATGGCTACACCACTTCTATACAATGTTTTCAATGTGAATGCTGATAGCAAGCGCTCGCTTATGAAGGTCTAGAATCTTCATATCTTTATATCACTACTATTCATACACTTTCCCAGGGCATCCAAAAGTCCAAAACTAGCAATCGAATACAGAAATCAAAAGCTTCTGATCGCAAGAGTGAAGTCCAGCCTATCAAAACTCCTACATTACCTTGAACCAACACAAAGCTTGACCATCATATTCCTCCTCAAATCCCAGTTTCTGCCTTGTCAAAAGCCATGTAAATGCGCATTTCCCCAGAGCGCGAATGCCCGGCCCAACGTCCCATCTTCTCTACTCTCATCGGTATCAAAAAGGAATCCTGAACAATATAAATATACTTCTTCTCTACGCCATCCGGTGCTTAATCTAGGTAACCCTCCTTCCTAACCAGTGACACATGCGGCATCTAAATCTCCGTCGCCGCATTCCTAATACTTTCATTCGCCTTTCATCATGACCAGGACTCCTCTTGCTCATTGAAGTCCTTTCAGGATTTAAAATTGAAGAACGAGATTTGAATAGATGTGGCGCAACTTCATATACTATAGATAAAATCTCTTCAGCTTCCGCTGCCAATGATTGATTCCAACAAGCAGTTTTCTCAAGATCTCCATCTCATTCGTATATAATTTCTGTGTATATCTCATAGCCACATCACACGTAGCATTTTTAGTACTCCTATGAAAAAGCTGTGGCTCGAAGCTTGATATTGTAATGAGTTGTGGTAGGTAGGTAAGCATCGAGGTTTGATTGTCGTTAGAGAGGGAATCGACAATCAATCATTAGAATGAGAATATCATCAGGCGACAGCACTGTACAATTTGGTGTATTGAAGCTTGATGGTTAAAGACGTGTTGATCCACCAGTCATTTACGCGTCAAAACAAATACGGAAAGAAGTGTTGAAGGGCGGAGAACTCAAAATTTAAATTTAACATTCTGAGTTTGAGGGAAAGTAAAGGCGAATATTCTTAAAATTGCAAAATGAGAAATTGGGCACTATCAATACATAGGTAGCCACGGCAAGGCGACATGAATGATTGAATTCAGGATCGGCCAAAGTAACATTTCATATGTCTTCTATAGTTCACCAAATAACACCTGCCTGCAACGTCACCTTCGACATAATCCATAATTACAATGAAATCGAATCTCCAACGTCTCGAGTTCGAAAGCGAAGCCGAATTCAAGGAAATGATGAAAGCTTGTTGGGAAGCATTTGAGAACCCTTTCAATTCCTATCTTCGAATAGTCTATTATCTCAAAGATAACTCCCCGCAGGAACGAGAGCG